CCACTGACACCACTCCACGTGGAGACACCCAATGGTAGTGCCACGGAGGAGGCTACCCAGAGTACCTCAGCCAAATCTAAGTTCCTGCGTCCCACCAGTTTGCCACTGAAACCGGGAACATTTACGCCAAAGCGTCATCATGGAATCACGCCGACAGCCAACACTCTGCCACTTATCTCGCCGGAGACCCCAAGGCCCTCCAAATCCTGCGTGCAACTATACCTCAACGGTCATGCCTACACCTACTTGGGCCTCAAATGCAGCACCAAGATGTTCTACTGTACAGTGAACTGTCCGCAGCCCTCGTATGTGGCGGGCATGCACAAGCTGTCGATGTACAGCGTGTGGCAGGTGTGTGAGGAGAATCAACCGCATCCCCTGGGATTCAAGCTGAAGAAGGTGATGTCACTGTACGATTCCCGGCAAAGGATGCTAGGAAATGGCAGTTCCACCGCCATGGCTGGTTCGGGGAAACTAAGCTACAATGTGGTCTCCTCACAGCAAACAGTGTGCTCCACTTCTACGTTGGCCAGTGCCAGTTCCAGTGCCTTCTATCAGAATCAATTGAAAACACAGCCCTCAGCTGTCACCGTATCGGTTTTGAGTGAAGCCAATGTGGCGGCCAAGGCGAACGAGGAGGAGGCACAGGCCAAGAAACTGGAGACCAGTCCCTCGGGGCAGCCTTTAGTTGGTGGCTATGAATCGCATGAGGATTACACCTATATCCGGGGTCGAGGACGTGGCAGATATGTCTGTTCGGAGTGCGGAATCCGCTGCAAGAAACCCTCGATGCTGAAGAAGCACATTCGCACGCACACGGATGTGAGACCGTTTACCTGCAGTCATTGCAACTTTAGGTGAGTTAAAGGGAGAGAGAAATCTCTTTGATAAATTATAACTAATGTCCAATTTCCTTTTCCAGCTTCAAGACCAAGGGCAACCTGACGAAGCACATGCAGTCCAAGACGCACTTCAAGAAGTGCATCGAACTGGGTATCAATCCAGGACCCATGCCAGCCGATGGCGAGTTCCTGGATGTTGACATGGACTTTGATCAGCAATCGTCCACCTCGGCGGGAGGTCGCACTTCCTCAATGGCAGGAGAGTCCGATTCCGATGATTACAGCGACAATGAATCGGAGAGTAGTGGTAAGTAAAGCTAGGTTTACGAAGTCCTTTGGAAATTAGACTAAAACACTATCTTCCTACAGACACAGACGAGTCCAAGTCTCGGCTGAAAGAGCACGAAGCAGCCAGGTGCCTGCTGTCGCTTTCGATGACGCCACCCATTCCACAGAGTGTCTCGCCATATCCGCAACTGTTGCAGGACACACCTCTGCCAGCCGCCAGTCCTGCCAATAGCATTGGATCCTCGGGTTCGTTGCCCAAACGTTTGGTGTGCTCATTTACCTCGCCGAAGCCACCTTTCGACTATCAAAAGCAGGAACAGTATTACTCCAATCCAGAGGAGTCCAAACCTAAGCGCAGCGTAGCCAGCGAGGAGAGCGCTCCCATGGATCTCACCAAACCGCGTGGCTCCATGTCCGCCGCAGTCTCGCCATCGCCAATGCCTGTGCCGCCACCTGTTCAGGATCTGCCCAAGTCTCAGGCCCAGCAAATGCACGATGTGATCTTCGGCAGTTCCGGTAATGAAAGCGGCTTCATGAAGACCTTGATCTCAGTGTCGGACAAGGTGCGCATCTCCGCCGAAATGGAGGAGCAGGCCAAGCACGAGGCCGAGGGCGAAGATGTTTTGCTGCATACCTACATCAAGGAGCAGGCGCTGCATCATGCCAAGCGAAAGCAGAGTCAGTTTAGTGGCAGCTATCTAATCAACACTTTGTTCTCCACGGCGTCCACGGTGATGAGTAGCAGTAGCAGTGGCAATGGTAACCTCCTAACCACCAGCAGTCGGCCCATTATGACAATTAATGAGGTGCCCAGCATCGAAGTTCATGAGGTAAAAACGCCGGAGGCTGTGGAAATGCCACCCCTACCGCCTGTAGTTGCTCCACCAACTCCAACAGCCACACCAACACCCACTCCTATTCCTACTCCCATTCCTGTGAAGCTGGTTCAGGAAGAAAGCGAAGAGTCGGATCAGGAGAAGCCTATGGTAGAGCCACATAATGCCAATTTGCCAGCTGCAGTGCAGCAGAAGGATGCCAATGACTTTAGTGGAGTTCTAGGCCATCCACAGTCTGGAGGAACAGCGTCAGTAGCCACATCAACACCTGCTCCTGTGGCTGTATCCACCTCTAGCGCAAACTCGTCTCAGCCCACGCAGCGTACTGTGATTGTCGGCGAGGATGGCTTCAAGAACTCCACGCCCAGCAGCAAGAGCAGTGATCTCCAGCAGCATGTATCTTATGGTAGAGCAGTGCCAGTACCAGCTCCCATTGCCAGCGATGTTCGACCCACCTGCTCCATTTGCGCCAAGACGTTCCAGCGCCAGCATCAGCTGACCCTGCACATGAACATCCACTACATGGAGCGCAAGTTCAAGTGTGAGCCATGCAGCATCTCCTTCCGCACACAGGGACACCTGCAGAAGCACGAACGATCCGAGGCCCACAAGAACAAGGTGATGATGACATCGACATTTGGCGTTCCCACTACCTCCAATCCACGGCCCTTCGAGTGCACCGACTGCAAGATCGCCTTTCGTATCCACGGACACTTGGCCAAGCATTTGCGCTCGAAGACGCATGTCCAGAAGCTGGAATGTCTCCAGAAGTTGCCCTTTGGCACCTACGCGGAGATCGAACGCGCTGGCATTAGTCTCACCGAGATTGATACCAGTGACTGTGAGAATTCGTTGATATCTCTAAAGTTGCTGGCCCAAAAGCTGCTGGAGAAGGATCCCAATAAGCTGAGTGGATACACTACGCCGTCCGGCATGATGCAGCTGGCCCAGGATCCGGCGAATCCTGCCTCGCAGGATAGTGCCTCCGAAGATGGTTTCAGTGCTGCCGTGGCCATCGCCTCGGCCATTGCTTCGCTGGACAATGACAGTGCTGGTAATACACCAAAGCGGGCCAGCTCGATGTCCGAAGACGAAACGGTGGCCAATGGCCTGAATCACAACCTGAAGCGGCGTTTGCCCGGCAGTTTCAGCAGCACGGGCGAGGAGAGTGATAACCCAACCGAGGGCAATGGCGGCGAGAAACGTGCTCGTTCCAGCCAGGACCTACCGGTTGCTGTTCCCGTTGCTGCATCAGCGGCGGCGGCAGCGGCCAGCAACTGACAGTACATGTACATGCTGCAGCCCAGCTGAGGGTATCAGTATCATCCGGCTATCTACCACCTGGACACCAGCTACAATCGCAGGAGCGAGGGTCGCCCTGACCAAACCACCAGCACCTCCAACGAGCGCATATCAAATGTCTAAGCATATCGCATTTGGGCACAACACACACACACAACTAACTGTAGAGCTAGCCTATAAGCACCCACCTCTCTGCCGCTAATCGCGAAATCGTAATCGAGCGATAGGAGAGCCAGATAAGCGAGTCAGCGAGTCAGCTATTCCAGTGTAATCACTCTGAAGAGGGGAAGTACCCAAAAGAAGTTCCCTTCGCTTTGATCTGTGTCTCTTAAGTATTTAGTTTAAGGAATCCCAAGTCAGCTCGGCGGTTCCAATCCGATTATGTATAAGCCAATCCCAACCAACCAACCAACAAGCACATGCAAAAAATCTATATATACATATATATTATATACATGTACCCGTAACTTGTTTTCGAAAATGCATGTAAATGCAAAAAACTCCTGAAGTGCTGTGAGTTTATCTACAAAATGTGAACAAGAGAGCTAGAGAGAGCGTAATTAGTGTATAATTTATAAGGCCTAGCCCTGAAATGAATCCGGAATGAACTCGAAACTGCAACGAGTACATTATTGGTTCATTTTCAAGCCCAAATTTATATCTAAATCCACATTCTATCTACAAAATGTGAAATGAGCGTCACAGAGAACCAGAAAATTGTGTAATTTATAAGGCTTAGCCCTAAATTAAACCCCAAAATGAACTCAATTGGTTAATTTCCAATTCCAAACTATGAACCACATCCTCTGCAAATCACGTAGTTCTTCCTTATTATTTCAAATTGTTATTACGAACAACTAAAATCGGTGAATGATGAGAATGATGTATGATGTATGGTGTACGATGTACGATGTACGATGCCCCTAGTTTTGTTTTAATTTTTGAAAACGACGAGACCACGAGACTCTTTTCAATTGTTTTTGTTTTGATTTTGTATTTTTTTGGCAGAAGAGAAACGAAATGATGATGAAGAAATATATAGCTAACTGTAAATAATCAATATGTTGTCATATATATATATTAAGCGGTAGGTTAGTTAAAGAAAAGAAAAAAAACTACACAAAGTTGTTAGAGATAAATGAAAATTATTGTACAAAATTGCTACGGCATAAGCCGCAGCAAACGTCTATCTACACATATAGATTTATATCTATATACTATATATATTTGAATGTATATGTATGTGGTTAAACAACACGAAAATGAAGTGATCTATTACATTATTGTAAAATATATCAAAAAAACTGAAAAAAAAACAAAACAAAACAAAAATGAAAGAAAACCTTTACAAAAAAATGACAAAAATAAAGAAATCAATGTGAATATACAAAATAAAGTTTATTGAAATGTTTTAGCTCAGAAGCGGGTTTGGAAGTACAGATATTCCTGAAAAAGATATAAAAATTAATAAATTAATTAATGTAATTGGGAAACTGCTTACCAGTAGAAAGGCTGAGCCCAGTATCAAGGCCCGCTCCTTGGACGTCAGCTTTGAATCGCTAAAGTATATATTTGTGGTGTACTGAGACTTGCTGGTCACCCACTTGTGGTCTATGGAGGCCCTCATATTGCCCCCGGAATTGATCTTGAAGTAGCTTTCCCTAGGCAGACAGAAGCAACAGAATCCGGAGTTGGGTGGACCCTCCACACAGAACACAGGCTCTCCGGTGTTTCCATCCTCGATGAAGAACTGGGGCTGCGTGAAGGTTGGAGATTGCACCACTCTGCCGAGCACATTACCCGGTGGTATCCAAACCTCCAAGCTTTTGGGCTGGCAACATAGTGATCCTAAGGCCAATTTCTTGCGGAAAACCAGAGCCTCCTGGTGGGTTTTGTCCAACAGGTGCATCTGGAAAGGGCGTCCGGCTCCCCAGACAAGTCGATTCTTCTCTGTGGAACTCTCGCTGGCCGCAAAGATGGCATCGCCCAACGGTGATCGCACCACATAGCGATTCTCTGAGGAAACGCCTGTGAGAGCTGTAAAGGGAACATATATTTAGGATCTGGGGGATAAGGATATATTCCAATGATCCTAAGTACCCTCATTCAGCTCAAAGGTCTGTTCAATGTGTACCGAAGGTAGATCCGCCAGGCAATCGTATCCGGAAAGGGGAATAAAGGTTCGACTTCCGGTCACGGTGGCAATGGGTACCGGTAGGGGTATGCGGGGAGCCTCTGGACGGGGTTGTGAGGTAATGCTGATGTGGGAGTCGTAAACTGAAAGTAATAAGGGAATGTTTATTATAGAAGGTTAACTAAATTAACTAAAAATCACAATTAAATATTCGTTAATATTGGATATTTCATCACATTTCAATCGTATTATTTTTAATAAAGGTTCCAGACTTTAATCTTATTTCCCATTTTTTAAACATTATCAAATTATTCATTATCATATATTCATATATTATATATCAACAAATTAGTTTTACTTTACAAATTATCGCTGATATCATTAGTATCAATAAAAAGTGTTTGTTTATGATAAAAGTTTAAGGCTTTAAAGAAAATGGAAAATTAAACTGGGTATATATTTCGGTTCCCTCACATTTTTATTACATTTCTTGGAATAAAAAACACAAACTTTCGATCCTGATAAGTTTTTCTTTATGGCTTCTAGTATGTAAGGTCGGTTCGATTGTTCCCAAACAAAGGCACTTCAAGTGTCCCGGGACCACAACAGAATGCCAGTCAGCCGATAAGATATAGCCAACTTGTGGCCACACATCGGCGTCGAACTGTGACACACTCTCTCTGCCAATAATAATTAATCCGGTGCAATCGTTATCAGTTGGTAACACAGGTTAGTTGCCATTGTCCGCAGGTGAATCACTTGTGTTTTCTTTTTTTATTCCTTCAAAATCAAAATAGATTTATTTACCTCTGGGTTCTGTGGGACTCGGCTGCTGGGCCACGCGAATCTCACTATCATATTGCAAAGTGCGCACTGCGTCGTTTTGCAACATTTTCTTGTCACTTTTCAAACTCAATTGATAGCGGGTCAAAATGAAACGGACACCGGACAAGAGAGCAGTGTGACCGTGTCCGTGACCGTGATGTTGAAAATACTGCCGAAAATGGGTATTATCTGGCATCACTGGGTGGGGGTTTTAAAATTGTTGTTTATTTTTTAAAAATTGTTTAAAGTGAAGAAACTCCGGATAAGCAATTTTTAATATATTGATTTAATGAATAACTTTTTTTTAAATAGTTGTCTTTTAAAAACTGTTTATTAAGATTGAAATAAACAGTTTTTGCATGATATTTTTATTGAATTCGTAAAATAGGCATCGAATTTTGTAAATTCTCAATAAAATAAATTCTCAATAAAACTAAAAAATAAATATTTAATTTTTATAATTTCATATTTCATATTTTGTTGTTGTTGCCACCTTATTTAAACTCAAAAATATAACGAATTTTCAGCTACTTGGTATATACCAGAACTTGTAACGGACGTAACACACTAACGCGTTTTTATTCCAAGCGTTAGGTCATACCACACCTGCTGATATATTGGCAGAAAAAAACAGCAAAACAAATCAAAACAAATAAGAGAAAAAGAACAATTTAAGCGAACATTGAGTTAATTTCGAGTGTAAATTGAAATTCCAAAAGTGCCATTGTGTTCGTCGGTCGCAGCCTGCTAAATGAGGTGGAGACGAGCGGCAGGTAAGAGCAATTGACAGCAGTGTTGGCATTTTGGCCCATTTTCTTGTTTTGGAATCTCTGGGTCAATTTTCGGGTAGTTTTTGCAGGTTGTTTCCCAAAAAAGTGGTTTAGTTTTTAGGGTTGAACAGATTATGGGGCATCGGCGCAGGCGCGGGAGCGGCGTAAACAAATGCTTACGTTCTTCCACATGGTGGGGGGTTTTTGCGTCTCCGGAGCGCGAATTACGGCAGTGTTCTCTGTGCCATCGGCGGAATCAGTGGAATCGGGGCAATCCGGCGGAATATCTACGGGAGGAATCGGGGCGATAAGCGGCGGGACCGTCGCCTAGTGCAATAATCAATAAACGTGCGCTGTGCAAACTTCACTTCCAGCCAAAGATAAAACCAAGTTGATTGTGAAATTCCTGCTATAATAGAAATACCTGAAAGCGAAAACATAAATTCCCCCGTATTTGGTTGAAAACTCCAAAAAAAAGCTGGAATTTTCCACTTGCATTTTCCACGCATCCATCATCTCACTTTGGGGTTGATTTTCACCCGGAAAAATCCATGAAAATAACCGTCAAGTGCGCCACGCTCAAGAGAAAGCGCTAAAAGGAAAGGAGTGTTCATTTCGATTCCGGGGGGCCAAGAAGCAGCGAGCACGGCATGTCTCTGGAGGATCCCTTTTTCGTAGTCAAGGAGTAGGTGCCAGACAGCAGGAACTGCAGTTTTCCCAACATTTCTCTTGCATTTTCCCAACACATTTCTTACCTGTTTTCCCTGCTCTGTTTTCCCTCTTGCAGCGAGGTATTCAAAGCTCTGAACAAAACCCGCGGCCTCTATCTACGTTGGCGGGAGCTGGGCGAGAGCGGTGGCACGGAGGCTGAATGGACCACCACCGAGCTGCGTAACTCACTGCGGAGCATCGAATGGGATCTCGAGGACCTTGAGGACACTATCAATATCCTTTTTGACAAAACAAAATCATTGAAAAATCAATTCATTACCTGGTACTCAATTGATTGATTGGAGGATATATTATTGAAGCTTTTTTAGGTCTTTTATAGGGGGTTTTGAATAATAATTGAGCGTAATTATTAATACTTTTAAGGACATTAAGTACAAATGTTGAGGCTTTAAACAATTATACGGACATTAGGTGGAAATGTTGAGGCATTTAACAATTAAACGACTTTTGATAAGATAATAGATAATAGAACAAATAAGATAAGAATTAGACTAGGTTTCCTATATTCAATGAATTGAGTACCTGATATCTAATCTTGTTTTATATTCCCTCTATTAATACTTATCCCTGGTTTCCTTAACCCAAAACTAATCATTTTCTGATCCTTACGCATCGTTGAGAAGAATCCGAGTAAGTTTCGGATTGACAACCGTGAACTCTCCAGCCGGCGACATTTCATCGACAACACGCGCGATGAGGTCAAGCAGATGAAGGATAAGATGAGCCTGAACCGGAGCCGGGACAGAGACATCACCGCACATCAGCCGCTGCTCGACAACGATCGCCACAGCCCCAATCATAATCACAGCTCCATTGCCATTGCCAGCTCGAATACGAACTCGAATTCCAACGAGTATCATCAGCATCCCAGCAACGATCGCGCCTATTTGGTGGAGTGCCCCAGCGGACTCAACGGCAACTCGCTGATCAACAGTGGTAGCCAGGCGGTGGCCAATACAATTGCAGGAACCATGTCAGCGGCAGCAGCGGCCGCTTCCCGCCACAGTGGCACCAAGTACTCCAAGCTGGAGAATGCCCTCGACAGTCCCAGTCACTATGGGCAGCACTCTGGTGGTATGGACAGTCCCAGTCATAGGTATGTGGGCGAGACGGTGTCCATACAGCAGCGCATGATCCAGGGTCAGGACGAGCAGCTGGACATGATCAGCGATTCGATTGGCACCCTGAAGACGGTCTCGCGGCAAATTGGCGTTGAGCTGGATGAGCAAGCGGTGATGCTGGATGACTTCGGGAATGACTTCGAGTCCACAGAGTCCAAACTGGACACGACCATGAAGAAAGTTGCCAAAGTCTTGCACATGAATAATGGTGAGTGTTTGAGGCATTCCAGATGGTAATTTTCGATTGGGAACTGCTAATTGTTCAAGGGTTTTTCATTGTGACTAAGTTGTTTTTATATTTAAAAAATTGCATTAAGATTTGCAATCCACAATCGAAATTATCTTCTAAATGCCACAAAAACCTCAAGATTATCTAACATTTTCTTATAAATATTCTATTTCCGCAGATAAACGACAGTGGGCCGCAATTCTCATCCTATCCGGGCTGTTATTGTTTGTGATAATTTTGTTTATTATTTTGTAATTGCTTTCGTTTTCTGTTCCCAAATCGGTTATATATATTTAGTGTAAATTAGTTTTATTTATAAAATTGTCTTGGTTTTTAATTCAGATTCTTGAAAGCAAATCAAATATATATGTTTTGTATTTAAGCGAATTATCAGCATATATCCCAAGTAAACTCCCTTGCTGTATATACACGACAAAGAAATTTTAACCAGGTCTCTCCCTCTAATTATAATGTGTAATTCCAAAGCTAGACGGACCGATGATGATCATGTAAAGTCAATGTAGGCGGGTAATAAAAGATAACTAACTACTTATGTATAACAAGTGCTCCCGAGTTCTGTCATTCCCGATTTTGGCCAAAGGATAACTGCAACTGACCTGTACATACATCGAAGGATATATCTACATATATATATTTAAAAAGGACCTACCAATATCAAACGAGTTATTTAACGAAGAGTCTTAGGAAATTCCTCTTACCAAAAACTAGCTAAAAACTTGTATGCAGTTGAGTAAATATATAATATATATATATATATATAAATGAATCATTTAAAGTATAAAAAGGTGAAACTTTCTGAGGGTAAACCAGAGTATAGCTTAAGTGCACAGAGAAAAAAATATGTAAATAATCTACGATCTTTTGTGGATGAATGAAGGAAAGATCTGTTTAATTTGAAGATTCAATTAATAAAAGGCAAACTTCTCTTATTTTGTGAAGATTAGTTAATGAAATATAAAGAGTATGTACTTAAAATATATATAGATTTTTAATTTAAAGTTATATCTGAGGCTTTCCTGATAGTAAACGATTAAATATATAAGTTTTTCGAATAAATCGAAAGTAAATTAGTTGAGCATAAAAGAATTGCTTCTGATATTTTTTTGAGTAAAGTTTTTACTTTTTAAGATCTTAGAGTACAAAATATTTAATACTATTCTTCATATCAAGGTTAGATATATTTTTTCTCTGTGCATTTGGCCAAGGAAGGTGGAGGGAAACCACCTCATTTTTTTTCAAACCACTCGACAACCCACTCATTTTTACCCCACTCAGCTGTGCTGTGGGCTTTTACTCAAAGCTTTTCACAAGCTTATAGTCTGCGCAGAACGCTCAGAGGCGTCACCAAGGGGCCGCATGCCGCATAGTCCCCCATTGGGATTTCGAACTACGCCCCTGAACGCAGCATAAGCACACGGACAGAGCAGCACGTTTCCATGTGATGTTTTCGGTTTTTCGGCTTTCAGTTTTGTTTGCATTTCCACCGCAGTAAGAATTTTCCGCTGAGCTGGAGTTTTTCTCACAGCCCAAAAAATAAACTAAAATAAAACAAAATAAATAGAAAAGAAATATATAAAGTAAAAGGTCCGCTTGAAATGTTAAATTACTGAATCAGTTTTCAAAGTTATTTTCGGTGAGTTGAGGCGTGAACGCACTGTGGAAGTGAAAGCATAAGCATAACACACCCTTCTCCTCCCACCCCTCAGTAACATCCCCGAAAATTGAAAAGCAAAAAAGAAAATTCCATTTCTTTAGAGATGTTTTCATGTATTTTTGTTTGTTGCCGCCTGTCGCCGAAAACCTTAAACATTTTTGGCCAAATATAAAATCAATGCTGCGCTCTCGCTTCCGTCAAAGGAGGGGTGGAGCGGCGCCCACTTCCTCTGACTAAAACAGGGAACTCCAGGCAAAACCAGCTAGTCCGGTTGGCTAGGTACTCCTCCTGGGATGGGTGCCCGCTTTCCCACCCCGCTTTTCCGCGAGCTATCCTCTCCCTTTGCAACTATGTGGCTATTAATAAATTCATGTGAAGAACATATTTGTGACTGTGACTGTGCCCAGTGGCTGTGCCTGTGCCTGTGTGTTTTCCTTTCTACGAAAGTGTTGCTCTGGCGGCTGGCTGGTTGGGGGAGCTTTTTCGGAGCTCTTATCACAAAGTCGGAATTCGTTATCGAAACAGATGAGCGGACAGTACAAGCCGTTACTTTTTTTAATCAAAAACATCTTTGTTATTGTGGTGAGCCGGTGTGGTGTGTGGGTGTGTTGTCAAGTGTCTGGAATTGCAGTGCACCAGCTTCACAGGGCAATCTAATGTTTAATGGGTACACTAAAAAAAGGAGCCAAAATTCACTTTAAAAATTATTCAAAAACCATATTTGAAAAACTGTTTTAAAATAATGAGAGGTTAAACAAATGTTCAGAACTTTAACTTTGTGGAGTTAGTATTTTACTCTATGTATTTTTTAAAACTCACTTGAAATTAATAACTATCAAACTATCAACTATTTGGAATGTCTGCCTATAATTTTTATACGTTATTTAAACTTAAGAATAACTTTAAACTATAAGAAAGTAAATATATCCACGACTTCAGCCCATAAACATTATATTATGTTTTTAAATACCTTCCTAAAATATCTATACTTTATTTGAGCTCGAGAATAACTTATTAATATATTCAAATAAATAAATCAACGACTGCAGACCATAATCTTCAATTTGTTCTAAATCGTGTACATATTGTTTGTGTACATTGCACAACGTTTGTTTATTAGTAGCTTCTATACATCGCCTATAAATTGTTTTTAAATAATATGTACTTATATACATTTCTGCATTCGTTTTAAAAGTGAAAGTGTGACGAAAAAGAATATATGTTTATTTTGTTTGTACATAAAAGACCTTTGGTTTTTATAAAAAATAGATGAATTTAAGTAATTTATTTTCTTTTTAACATAGAGAAATAAATTTACGAAGCTATGTATGTGTAAGCTATAATAAACTACTTTACCAGAGATACAAATGAAGGGCTTGCTGGAGTTAGTTTGAAATTCTTAGAAATAAGCTTAGATATTTTTGGCTTAAATTAAAATTAAAGCTTTGATATTTTTAGTTGAAATTAAAATTAATTTAAAAATTCTAAATTTTCTCCAAACCTTATAAAAAGCGTTTCTCCCCGTGTGTTCTCAATTGCCAACGTCCCACTGAAACTTGAGCTGTCTGCCATTAAATTTTGCATACCTTCTTCTGTGCTCACACACACAAACACCCCTTCTTATTATTTCCCAGATCGGATTCAGTTACCCGGAATGAGTGGCGCACAACGGAAGAATCTGGATCGCAAGATCGTTGTCATCGGAGCCGGAGCTTCGGGCGTGGCTTGTGCCACCAAGCTCCTGGAATTGGGCTTTCAAAATGTGCTCGTCGTGGAGGCGGAGGATCGTGTGGGCGGTCGCATAAACACCATTCCCTTTGCGGATAATGTCATCGATCTCGGAGCCCAATGGTGTCACGGACAGAGGGACAATATCGTCTACGAGCTGACCCGGAAACAGGAGGAGGAGCTGCTGGAGACCACCGGTCCGGTGTATGAGAACTACCAGTGCGTGCGTTCCAATGGCGATGTGATACCGGATGAGGTGGCCAGCAGGCTGAAGGCTATTGTTGGTGATTCCCTCGTCACCCGGCAGCTGGAGCTGCGTCACTGCAGTGGCTCCCTGGGCAGCTATCTGACCAACAAGTTCTACGACACTCTCCGGCGACCCGAGAACTCTGACATAGATGCCGAGGTGGCCAGGGAATTCTTCATTAATTACCAGAAATTCGAAAACTCCGTGGAGGCCTCGGACTCGCTGGAGCAGGTCTCGGGCCGTGGTTACCTGGACTACTGGGAGTGCGAAGGTGATATCCTGCTGAACTGGAAGGACAAGGGCTATGTGGAGCTGCTGAAGCTACTCATGCGCTCCCGCGAACTGAAGGTGGAGCATGGTGTCCTGGAGCAGCGCCTACTCCTGGCCACTCGGGTGCAGAAAATCAATTGGAATCGGAACGATGGACGCGTGGAGTTGCAGCTTAACAATGGTGACACTTGCATTGCCGACCATGTGGTGGTCACTGTTTCCCTGGGCGTCCTTAAGGATCAGCACTTCCGGCTCTTTGAGCCGCAGCTTCCTGTGGAGAAGCAGCGTGCCATCGACGGCTTGGCCTTTGGCACGGTCAACAAGATCTTTGTGGAGTTTCCCCAGGCCTTTTGGCCAGAGGATTGGACGGGCTTCACTTTGCTCTGGCGGGATGAGGACCTGGACGACATTAGGGGTACTTCACGTGCCTGGTTGGAGGATGTGTTTGGCTTCTACCGAGTGAGTTATCAGCCGAGGATTTTGGCAGGGTGGATCACCAACGAAAATGGACGGCATATGGAGACGCTGCCCGTGGATGAGGTCCAAGCCGGTGTGATGTACCTATTCCGAAGATTTCTCAAGTGGAAAATCCCCGATCCCTCGAATTTCCGTACCTCTGCGTGGCACACAAACGAAAACTTCCGGGGATCGTACTCCTATCGTTCCATGGAAACCGAGCAGCTGGGCACGGGAGCTCGGGAGTTGGCCTATCCTCTGACTGTGGTGGCCACCACGCCGGAGAGGGAGAAGGAGCCGGATGAGGACGACTTGTGGCAGCAGAGCCGCTGTGATAGACCCATTGTCCAGTTTGCCGGCGAGGCGTCCAGCGAGCACTATTACTCCACGGTCCATGGGGCAGTGGAGTCCGGATGGCGGGAGGCTAGACGTCTAGGTCAGTTCTATGGACTGAGCATGTCCCGATCCGAGACGAAGTCGCAGCTTTAGCTGTAGGAAAGGTGTGGCATAAGGATATGGCCGATAGCGATACCTGAATTGAGTCCTTGTCTTCGCACACAAAACAGAAACAACAATCAAGTAAACTGAACAATACATCCTGGATAGACTTCATATGCATAAGCTAACTTTACATACTTTACATATATATATAGGACATAGGTGATGGATTATATATATATATATATGTATATACTATATATGTAAACATGAGTGCTGCCCAAATAAAGCTGTGTTTAAGTCTGCTATAACCTGAAGAAATCTTTACAATATTCCAGAGTTTGAGTTATGTCTGACCTGGATTTATGTGGATTAAATCAATATATATATCATACTCTTCCATATTTCGCATTTAAAATAGGTTTTTATTAATTTCTCACTTGTTTTCAACAATTTTTTCACTACGCTTTGATGAAATCGGGTTCCAAAAGTGACATATTGCATCCCAATATGCTCTCTAGTTATTCAGTTAGTGGATTGAGTGTATATATACAATTGAGATACAATATGGTTAGTGGTTACGGGGAGTTTAACTTGGTTTCTTTGATTTCAACAACGTGTAATAAATACATTTATAATTTAGTCCTTTCTTTGAACACAAATAAATTTTGTACAACAAGTTATGTTCTTTTGTTTCGGTTCTGTTCTGTTTCTTTTGTTTTCTTTATAATTTAAACGTTATATTGTAAATGTAATTGTAAGATAGATGACGCTGCTGCCGTTTCGAGTTCTAGTTACCTTTCCTCTGTCTATTTATTGTATTCATTTCTTTGTTTTCACTGTTACGCAAAAAGGTACATGTCGTGAAAAGGACTAAGGCCGGGACGGGAGTGCCCAGCAGGACCTTCCTACGGGTAAATAGTGTCGCTCTCTCTCTCTCTGTCTGTCTCTCTAGCAGATTGCTAAATTCGTATGGCAAAAATACTTTGGTGTTGTTTAACAAATTGCATGAAATGCTCATCTCTCCTATCTTCACATTTGGCATCTTCCTCCTACTGCACCCACATGGATGGGGCCCACAGGGGTTCGGTCTCCAGGCGCTCGACATTCTGGACCAGCTGCTCGAAGGCATTGACCAGCTCTCCATTGACGATCTCCACATCGAAAAAGTGGCCATAGAGGAAGTCAATCCGCTCGGCTGACTTTACCATATCGTCGAACTCCTCGTCTGTGAAGCTCCTGGCATTCGCTTCATCGAAAGTGGACTTGGCCCTGGCCTCCGTACGTGTTGTCTTCAGCACATCCAACTCTGGTGGCTTCACATGGATGAGGAACGGTTTCAGCTGAGCTGTGCGAAGCGTCTTGATCGCCTGATAATGTGGACTCAGCACACAGACGCATCCGGCATTCACAATGGACTTGACGCTCTCCGAGGAGGTTCCATACAGATGACCCTTGTACTCGCCATGCTCCACGAATTTGCCCGCCTCGATGTCTGCATCCATTTTCTCCCGGGCCACAAAGATGTACTCACGTCCGGCCACCTCGCCAGTGCGCATTGGTCGGGTGGTATCTAGGATAGAATGTATAGAATATTATAATAGTTCCAAGTACATTTTCCAGAAATATATCTCTTACATGGCACTGGACTGCGGAACTTCTCGGGATCCCTGGCTATCAGCCGGCGGCGCAGCTCATTGCGTCCCACACCGGGAGCTCCAATGAGCACCACGGGACGAAAGACACCTGGACGGGGATATAGCTTAGCCACCTCCTCATACGTGGCAATTTGCTCCCGATCGAAGTCATCGTTCTCTGTCAAATCGTACATTATCTTTTTAGTCTTGGGCTGTCGGCAGGAGGAGCTGCTGCTGCTGGCGGGCAGGCGCGGTGAACCAGGTGGGGTGGTGCAGAGTGAGGCGCATGATCCGGCTGGGCGATGTACGAGTTGGGGTTAATGAAGTTGTGGCCAATTTTGGAGGTTGTTAATTAATTAATTAATGATGAGAGGATTGGCGATGCGACATGAAACAAGATTGGGACTTTTAGTAATGATAGCAATGGTTAAGGGACAACCCATGGAGCAGCAGGCAACGGTAGATGCTTACGCTTCGAGTCCAGATCAGTGCCATCCTTCTGGGATCGGTCGTGAAGGATGCGTCGCTCCTGTAGAGCCCGACTGGGTATAAGGCCAGCTCTCGCCGAACGTTCGTGCTCCTTGCGTGCCTGCCACCAGTAGGCATCATCCTGGGCCACAATGTGCAGGACATCGCCACGCTGGAAGGCCAAACCTGCCTCCTTGCAGGGTATATAGGGATCCACATCGGGATTGTAGTCAAAGTGGGCACGCACTCGCACCTTGGACTCGCGCTGGGCACCCTTGGTGTCCGCTGGCACCAGTTTGAAGGTAATGGTGCCCTCAGAGTTTTGCTGAATGAGTAGATTTGAGATTAGTTGGAAAATACTGTTTTTCTTTGTTTTCTAACCAGTATGGTGAGCACATCGCCCGGCGTCTTGCCCTCCACATTGATGTTGTTCACCTCGATGACCTCGTCGCCGACGTGTATCAATCCGGAGCGGTCAGCAGCGCCGCCGTGCATAATTCTGGCGATGATTATCTTGCCCGTCTCCTCGTCCGTTTTAATGGTGGCGCCCTAAAAGTAGGCAGCAAAACTGTCACTAGAAAGTCAACAAGGCCTTGGGAAGATGTATGTCTGTGTGGTGTTTGTGGTGTGTCCTGTGTTCGGTATGTGTATGTGTGTATGTGTGTAGTGCGGTTTCCGATGTCTGGGCCATATGTGTGTGTATATCCGATGGATGTGTCGGAACGACAAACAACAGAAATGGGGACAAAACAAAATGTATCTCAAAATATGTATCTCAATGTGTGCTGCAAACACATCATCCTTGCAGTGCTTGTGTTGGGGTTTCTGTATATATTTTGACGGTGGAACTATGGACATTTGGTTACTTACAACAATTGGCTCCGCACTCTGTGCTCCTGTCTGTGTTTATTTTTTTTTACATATTTTCATATATTTTTTTCGCATAATTTATGTTGGTTATGGGCGAATTTGAGAAATTGATTTCGATTTTATTCGATTTTTTATTTTGACAAAAGCAAAATTTACAAAATTGATTAGCATTGGGAAGAGTTGATGGCGATTACGGAAGTAGAACGAGTATGAATGGGGGCGCAGAGAGGAGCAGTTGACAGATGACAGTCAGGGAGGAAACGGAAATGAGAGTCGAGAGTGGAAAGTGAGAGAAAGCGAGAGGACGGCACAGAACAGCGATCACGGCGATGAGAGATGGGCATGGCGAATGGCATGGAGAAGGGTTAAGGCTACCCAGCGAAGGGGACTCACTCACCAGAGGCTCATTGCTCTTCACCAGCTGCACAATCTTGATGGTCTCCTCGTCCTCGTCCATTTCAACAGGTGCCTCCGGCAGATGCGGGTAAAAGTCCTTTTGGGCAATGGCATCGTGAGCGAATAGCAAGTGCTGGAAAATAAATATATAAATATTATATACAGGTCTTGCTAAATTCCTCCTTTGATAATCACCTGGACATGGGAGTCCTGCAGCAGATGGAAGGCCTCCTTGCAGTCCTCATTCAGGTGGCAGCGTTGCGACAGCTGCTCCAGCACCTCGTATAGCACCTGGGCGGAGGTGGATAGCACTGGAGCCAGCCTATCATCGCGACCCACCTTGGCCACCTTGGTGTGGACATTGACCAAGGCATTCAGCTCCTTGGACTCGAGCAGGGCCTTTAGGAAATCAATCTCCTGGTCATTGGACAGGTTGTCCGACTCCTTCAGCGTGGTGATCAGTTTCGAAAGAGCTGCAAGGATGTGGGTGCTCAGGTTAATCCATCATCTTCGACAGTTTATTAAGTTTTGTATGCGTCACTCACCTGGATCCCAGTTGATGTCCGATGCCATAACTGCTGCTAGCATGTCACACAACAACCGCCAACGAGTCACTGTCCTTGGTTATCCTTTATGCCTTATCCTTTGCCGCTGTGTGTTCCTATAATCGAGTTAACAAAATCGATATGAGACTTTAACAAAACAGCCGGAACAGAAGGCGGCGGAGGCGAGTGACTTGGTAAATTTGCGCATAAACATGTCAACAGGGGGAGCAGGGCCAAGCCAGGCTGAATGCCAACTACCGAATGATAATTCCACAGGCCCAAGGCTGCCATCACCACCCCAAAAAAAACCATAAACCATTCCCTCCCCCACAGCGACTTCTTTTTGCGTCACTCGCCACAAAAGGACACCCGCGACACAATGTCAGAGCTATGCGAGGAGCGAGGAAAATTACCAAAACAGTGCCACTTCATTAACTCAAATTAACATTTTTGGCAAATAAACAGTAGTGCTATGCCATAAAAATATATTTCTATTTTTATTGAAAGGGAGATAAATTGTTTAGTGTCATTAAAGATGAAATGTTAAGTTTGTCCTTGGTTAAATTAGTTTCTTAATTTGATTTATTTGAACTATTGAAAGAATCTTCTAACAATCAAGGTTTCTAAGGACTCTTAAATACTTATTTTTGTACCCTTACAGGGTATTATAATTTTAGTCAGAAGCTTGAAACGATGGGAAGGAGTCATTTCAGACCCCATAATTCGTATATATTCTTTATCAGCATTAACTGCTGAGTCGATATAGACATCTCCGGTTAAAAAATAAATTTTCGGATTTTTTTCAAAATTTGAAAATTTTATAAGGGGTTACATCATTAAAATTGTCAAAAAAGTCTAATTTTTTAAATTTTAAACGAAGTATGCAGATTTATTAGCCTAACAAAAACTTGAATAGGACCGCTTTCCGAATTAAAATTAATGCTCTTTTGGCTTAGTTATGAGATTTTTAAACTATGGTTTGTTATACAAATTTTCATATAAAAATATAAATAAATCGACTCAAAGAATGGTATTTTACTTTCAGTCAGAAGCTTCTAACACAGTGAAGGAGTCATTTCCGACCCTATAATCCATATATATTCTTGATCAGCATTAACAACTGAGTTGATCTAGCTTTGTCCGACCAAAATCTATTTTTTTCAAATTTTTCGAAAATTTCCATTTTTCATAAGGGGTTACATCATTAAAATTGTCAAAAATTGGCAAAAAATTGAATTTTTTAAAATGACAAACTGAGTATGCAGGTTTACTATCTTAATAAAAACTAACACACGACAGCTTTTCGATTTGAATTTAATGCGTTTTTGGCTTTGTTATGAATTTTTTTAAAATTGATTGGTAGCCAGAAGTGGGGTATAAAAATATAAATATATATTAGCTCAGAAAATGAGTTTTGATTTTAGTCCGAAGGTTTTAAATCAGTGAAGGAGTTATTTCCGACCCTATAATCCATATATATTCTTGATCGGCATTAACAGCTGAATCGATCTAGCTTTGTCCGACCAAAATCTATTTTTTTCAAATTTTTCGAAAATTTCAATTTTTCATAAGGGGTTAGTTACATCATTAAAATTGTCAAAAATTGATAAAAATCTAAATTTTTCAAAATGTTAAATTCATTATGCAGATTTAATAAGCTTGTAAAAACTAAGATAGAACAATTTTCCGAATTGATATTAATGCTTTTTTGGCTTAGTTATGAGGTTTTTTAACTTTGATTTGTCATATAATATGTTCAACTATTTTAAGCTTAGTTATGATCGATTTCTGATTCGATCCTATAATTCAAACTTCAAGTGTATCTAAACTTTGGTAACCCAAAGTTAATTTCCTTGAGTAAAGTCAAATGGTCAAAGATTAAGTTGAAATAGATCCTCTAAATCTTTCGAATTTAATTTTTTAAATAATTCCCCAATTTTGTGAACTTAAGACTTAAGACACATATCTTGAAGCTCCACTGTTTTTGTTTTCCTGTAACCATAACAACGTCTAGCGCCTCATTGAACTTGTTCCGCCGGAGTCGGGTGTCGTGGCCCACTGACGAGGACGACGAGGACGACGAGGACGAAGACGACGACGTTAGGTCTAAAGAGCTCCCGCCGGAGGAGCGCCAATGCAATTAGCTGACATTAGGCCGGGGCCAAGTAGGTTGCCCGCTGTTGTTAGATGTTGGCTTCCAGCCAGGGGGTAAGTTGATTAGAGGAGGCGGCTGAATTTATGGCCTCTATCCGCTGTCCACTGGCCCGTAATGTTGGCGCCCGTTTTTGCAATCTGCAGTCCATTAACTGTTCAGTGACTGCGCTTCCTGTTGCTGAAGTGTGGGGTCGGGGATTCCCTTGTTCTGGGCCAGGTGCCAGATTCCGAGGGGTCACTAGCACACGGTGCATGACCGGCACTCATTAGTGTCAGCTTTGTGGGGGCGATGCTGGTAGGAGGCAGTGATTAGTGTCACCTGAGCGGACGCTTTGGAGTCCAAGAATAGCGTCTCAAGTGGGGTATGCCTGGCATGTCCTTCAACTTGCCAACTTGGGCTCCCCTGGCTTTTGCATCTGTTAATGGAACCCCACACACACACACACACGCAGATTGGCCCCCGTCCGAATATTCTCTAACGACCTTGAACTACATACTCGTGGGTACACAGCCGCACAACAAATAACTGTTTCCAGGGCAAGTTGCAAGTTGCTACGTCAGTGCGTGGGATCCGGGGGTTGCAAGCATACTTCAAGGGTATTCCAAAAGGGGGTGATGGAGCAAGTGCAACCACAGAAGAACAGGCTTTATTCGAACCACCACCAAAAAGGAAAAATGTATTGTAAATATCATGAATTTAAGGTTGAGGAGAGTACTGCTTTTTTAAAGGTTGAGGAAGATTTATTATGATTATAACTCTTCACATTTTCAAAGGTTTTGATATACCAATTTTTAAGGGAAACCATTAATTGATTAAATAATATTCTGAATTGTGACTTAAAATATTTATTGCATATTTTTAATACCTTTTAAGTTATTTCAACAAGTTTAAACTAATTTTGTGGCATCTCATAATAGTGACAAATTATAGTTATTTGATTGTTGTATCGTTAAGGGTTTATATAAAAGTGTTTATACACAATCAAGGCTTTTAAATATAACAAAATTTACCCTACATTTTTGTTTTTCAAAAGATTCCAAATCTACAGGAATGTTTGGAATGTTTTGTTATCCTTGAATGTATTTTGGATTCAAAAATAAGTTTTACTGTAGTTTCAGGGCTATTTTCTGGCATTGCATTTGTTGCATTTGCAACTTTTACTACTGCCAATCAGCCAAATGACAAGCAGAGAAGCCAAGAAGTCGAGTAAAGCCAAGAAGCCTGGCCGCAATTAGACTAATTGCGCTTTGGAACACCGAGACATGCCAAGAGGTCTGGCGAAAAGCGAAATAATGACGTTGCCCGGGGCATTTTGGTGGATGGGGATTTAAGGCAGTCACTGTCACTGTGTAGATAAGGCAGGTACCATGTCTCCAAGACCCCCCAATTACCCCGTTTTCTTGGGGGTAATTGAAAACTTAAAGTAAATGCACTTTGTGTACTTTCAATCAAAGAACTGGTCACACCGAAATTAGTGGGTGGCAAAGAGAAAGCGAGGGAGAGCCGAAAGAGAGGAGAGAGCAAGCTGACCAAAAGAGGGTGAGAAGAGAGAGAGAGAGAGAGACCGACTACAGTTGGAAGTTTTCCCCAGAGAATTTGATTAACAACAAAAAAAATCTGGCCCCGAAAAAGAGGAAGAAAACATTCAAAAAGGAGGTTATCACCTGGAGTTTTTTTTTCCTCTGCGCACTCTGGCCAATACAATAATAACAATTTCACTCTTCTTGGCCCAGCGTTGTTTTATTTATAAACGGATTTCCACTTCACTCACTCACACACAGGCACAAAAACACGGCATGTCTGTTGGCTATTTTCGTTATATTATTTTGCCTGATTTTGAATTTATTTGCTATTTTTAGGGCAGCCAGACGGCGCGCGCCATTGACCGTTATTAACCGTTATTAGTTTGCTTCCGTTTCCTTTAGGGATTCTTCCACATGTCCGCCAAAAAAATGGAGCTGCTAATCAGAGGAGCACGCGACAGCGGGAATCCCAGAACGGCGGATAAGAGCAGGAAAAGCGACTGCACACGATGGAAAATGAAAAACTTTTGATTTGAGAAATTCGTTTGGCTGTCGACCAGACTTCAACGTCGATGTCGCCGTTGTTCTCTCTTGGCTAAGAGCCGCTGCTCATTCTCTTAAGTTTTCTCTTATTTTATGAGCTTTTAACATAACATATTCTGTTACTGTTAATTAACAACTAAATTTGATATGTTTTTGAAACCTGTTGAAACTGATAGTGTATATAATATTGAAAATATATAAGAAATTCTATTTTTTATTTATTTTTCCTTGTTTAACTTCTGACGACGCACCTTTTATTTATTTACCTCTAAATTGAATATTTTTAAAGCATATTAAAAACATATATTTACCATGTTAAAATTTATACATATTCCAACATAATTCTAGATCACTAATACTACTAAATTTTTTATAGGAAATACATGTAATTTGCAACTCAGAAAAGGAGTCATTTTCGATCCTATAAATTATCTATATTCCTAAAAATCAGCATTAACAAAAGAAAACTTAATCAATTTTGTACAATTTTATGTTCTCTTACATTCATGTTAAATTTCAATTGTTCAGTGCTAATTGGAAAGTGTTCAGTTCAAAGAGGTCACCCTAAGAGTGAGTGAAATTTAAGAGAAATTTTTGATTGGGAACAACAAAGCACCACCACAGAGAGCGGGAGAGAGTGGGAAAGCTATTTCCTTGGGGTGAAAACTGCGCGAGTCAGCATAATAATCCAGAGCGTAGGAAATACAGGGTGATTTTGCCTTTAAGGGTTACATTTGGCATAATCTTACTTAACAGTAATTATTATAAATATTTTTTAAGGACTAAAAAACAATCTATTTTGTATTACATTTATTTATTTTTATTAATATTTAAGCTACACAATTTTCTAACATTTATCCTAAAAGAGCTCCACCGCCTATGCCCGCTCCACCGGCAGCTCCGAATCCTGCAAAGCCGCCGCCGTATTTCTTGTCATAGCGGGCACGGAATCCACCTCCCAGGCCTCTGGCTCTCACCCGATAGCTCTCCTTGTAGCGTCCAAAGCCGGCTCCTGCTCCAATGCCGCCGCCAATGAATCCACCGCCACCAGCGAGTCCCAGAGCTTGGGGTTGCTGCTGCTGGATGAGGGGCACTTGCTGGACAACTGGGACTTGCTGGATAACTGGCACTTGCTGGACTCCACCAATACCACCCAGTCCTCCAATGGCACCCACTCCTCCTATTGCACCCACTCCTCCAATGGCTCCCACTCCGCCTCCTCCTCCTGCTCCCAGAGAATGAGCTCCAGTACTCCAAATACAGAGCACGAGGAGCAGCAAAAATTGCACCTGATGATCGCACCTCATCTTCGTTGTAATGCCAAAGACGTATTGAGTTACCTTTGACGAAGTCACCTGGTTTTTAATGCCCTAAACGGCGACCTTCAGCGACCAATGACCAACAACTAACGATGACGATGATGAGGTGTGAACCACTAGCCACTGGGCAAAACCACCAGAAAATCCCAAATACATAGAACCGCCAAACAGAGATGGGGCTTTTTACCCGGGCGCCCCATTTGTAAATTGTTAGGGCAAACAGTGGCCGCCACTAATTAATTTGCATAAATAAGCAGGTTGGGTGTGGGGCAGACCAAACAGTTTTCAGCATCATGTTGTGGCAGTCGGTCTACCTGCTCGTCTTGGCATCCGCCGTGGTCAGTTCAACCCCGATCCTCTCCAGCGGCGATCAGGAGGAGAGCAACGGCATACGCAAGCCGCGGCACATTGGAGGCTTTGGCGGAGGCGGAATCGTTGGCGGTGGCATCATTGGAGGCGGAGCTGTGGCAGCTGCCCCGGCTCCCATTATAGCAGCACCCATACCCGTGGTGTCCACAGTTCCAGTGATTACCACGGTTCCAGTCATTTCCAGCGTGCAAACTATACCCAGCTACGGTTATGGCTATGGAGGTGGCTACCCGGGATATGGATATCCTGGAGGAGGTGGTTTAGGAGGACTTGGTGGACTTGGAGGCATCGGAGGCGGCGGTGGCTTCGTGGGCGGTGCTGTGGGTTTTGCCAAATTCAAAGGCGGCTTCCTGGGCTGAAAATCTACAACTGAATTTGTGTATCTCGAGACTCTAGTGTAAATAATAAATAAACAAAAGTGCTGCGACGAGATCGAGTTTCGTTTCGCCGAGTGTTTGGAATCAACAGATTCGATGAGCTTGCATATTTGTATTTCAACTGGTTATACATATATTTTTCTGGAAGAGTCTCGACCGAGCATGTGTTTGCCATACTATATAGTATATATATATACATATATACAAGCACTCATTCCATATATCTGCCGAATATCGCGCAAAGCGAAACGGATGGGGCTCTTTGAGTGGTAAACATCGAAGCCATCGAGCGATTACAGTGGGTCAAGTTGTCTAACAGCCAGTGCAATTGGATACTTGTCACTAGATACAGAATAATCCATTATGGAATTCGTTTTAAGCTGAAATTTTACTACCGAAAAAAACTAACAGAAACCCAAAAACCTGGGCGTCAAGGTTAAGGCTTTGACATTGATTCATTTGGTGATTATCTGTGAATCTGTACGTTCACATTGAAATTATGATTGAGGATATATTCAGTAAGGTGCATAAAAATTATGACACTGAAAAAAATGTTATATCTTTATTATATACATATACTTTTTACATTTTATTGATAATTTTTAATATTAATTATTAGTGAATGAAAACGAAAGGAAGTCTAAATGGTTACAAGGCTCCCCTGCAGCATCAACGCATATGCCACAATATAATATAATAATAATTATAATTAGGGTCTTGGTTGTTTAAAGAGCTAAATATTTGGTAAAACATAAGAACGATCTGTGCCTAAATTCCTAAAGATGTACATATATTCTCATTAAGATCTTGTCTTACACACCCTTTTACAAGAAGTCAAGTGATATTTTATATCTTTCAATATCTCAGCGATCCAATTACACCCTCTAGAGATCTGTCGGCCTAGAAATTGTCCCACTGTTGCCTCACACTTCCGCGTCGTATTTCATTTCATTCGAACATTAAGATTGGGTCAACCTAATGTATTTTTGTGTATTTGCCTCTTTTTTTCTTGGGTTTTTTTTCACGCTAATAATTATTCTCGGCGGCTTGGCTGGGCTTGGAAATTGAAATTAGACGAAAAATGATATAACAAAAAAGAGACATTCAATGGCAATCAAGCGATGCCAATGAACCTCCTTTGTTTCTGATGATGGTTCTTGGCAAATGTTTGGCTATAAATTAAGGCCCAGGTGGGTGCAGAGTTTTAGTATTTGACGTAGTCTTAGTTGGAATACGACACCGAAATGGATTACAAGCGGCTATACTTCTTGTTCAGCCTGGTTTTGGCCCTGATCTTGTGCAATCTAGTGGGAGCCGAGGAGCAGGAATCGGAAGTAAAGGTGGAAGTTAAAGCAGAACCAGAGGTTCCTCAACTCTTGGAGGCGGGAGAAACGGCCCAGAATGAGTCCGGCGATGAGAGTGTGAGAAAAGTGCGTCAGTTCTATGCCCCACCACCATTTGGACCACCGCCACCACCCTTCTTTGGACCACCGCCACCACCTTACTACGGCGGCGGCTTCTATGGTGGCGGTGGCTTTGGCAGAACCCGGGTCATCACCCGCACCCGGTATCGTGGACGTGGAGGTTACTATGGCGGCGGCTTCTATGGCTAAGCGAGATGCTGTAAATGATGATGAATCAATGCCCATTTTGTGATACTTCTTTGTGCTGGCCCATTGGGTAGCAATAAAATTTATTTACATGTTATGCAAGTCCATTCAAACTGTTTTTTATGACATGAAATTGATAATATTTTATGGTTTATGTTGGGGGAAAGCTCTTGGAGATATTTATAAGAGAGAGAAGTGACTGGGATTCAAAGAAATGTTCCGCCTGTTGCTGCTGTGGGGCATTGTGGCTCTGGTCGCAGCTCTCGATGAGCGGGAGTTTCATCCTCAAGTGGCACCACCTTTGAAAATTGGTAAGAAACAAATACTATACCAAATAGTTATATATTTAATACACTTTTTTGCAGTACCCAAACCCTTTCAGCTCTGGCGCAGTTTTGCCAGCCAGGTTCGTCTGGCCTTCAGTCGGTTTCAGGCCAAGACAGTGACTCCTCATCCTCCTCCTCCTGCTCCCACTATTAAAACCAGAATGGGAACTACTAGCACCACCTCAGAGCCAAAACTCCAATTCTATGGAGCTCTAAATCCCATCTATCAGACGGGCAACTTTTAACTTTTACTTAACTTTACTTTTATTAGGTAATTCTAAGACTATAGTTTGGGGGTTTACATTGCTTATCGGAATTTCTTATTGAACAGACTCTTGAAGCTGCCGAAGCCGCCGCCGAATCCGTGACCACCGAAGCCACCGCCGAAACCGTGTCCGAGACCTCCAAAGCCTCCCTTCAAACCGCCAAGTCCACCCAGGCCGCCGAACTTGCCACCGAGACCGCCAAAGCCACCTAGTCCTCGTGTAACTCGGTCACCGTTCAGCTCATCCACCTGAGGCTGCTCCAGTTCCGCCTCCAAATCCAGCAGGGAAAGGGGTTCGACATTCTCCAACTCCACCGGCAAGGCCAGACTGCAGGAGATGGCCACGAAGGCGAGACTCAAGACGAGGAAGAACTTCATGATGTGCTTGCTGGGAATTCTGTTGAAGGGACTTGGACTGTTAGCTGATTGATGGCTGCTAGCTGGATTGGTACTTAATGGCAAATGCCATGTCATCTTGGCTTATATACTTCTGCTCTGGGTCTTGGGCTCGTGCGGAGAGTTGCTAATTCGCAGTGTCAACAGCAGGTGGGGACCCAGCAACGGCCAAATATACTCGTACTTTCATTCATCCAAAATTTGTTAGACTTTTGGGATGGGTTTGCAAACGGTTGGGTTTGCTCAGGTCTTTAGCTTGGGCCTAACGATAGGTTACATCATGTTTGTACCGCCGATTACCAAGTTTCTGTGGCGCCGCCACCAACTTGGTCTTGAAATCGACGTTGACCTTAGACAATGTTTGCTTTATGTTCCAGATCTGATTCCATAGCATGGTAGAGAGATCTGAGAACTCCTGCGAATCGGAGCGAAGCAGGACTTGGTTTTAAATATAAAACGAGTTGGTTTGTGTCTTAAGTCTTTTGTTTATTATGCTAATTACTACAGATAAAGATTTGCTTAGCACCTAATGGGTATAGTTATGGCCTCCAGCGAGAGTATTTCTCACGTGCGGCTAGTTTCTGTCGTCTTCTCGAGAACCTCTTGTAGTATTTGCCAACTGGAACCAGTTGGGGCTGCTCGTACCACATCTGAGGAGCAGTCTGACGATGGCGATGTTTGCTTCTTGACCTGATCACATCCGGAATGACATTGTAGCGTGTCCTGCGAACTTGATCCTGGACAAACGACTTGGACCAGGCCACAGGATCCAAACTGGGATCATAGTCGGCTGCATTCCACCAGGGTCTGGCTTGGGTTATGTCCAAAACGAACAACAGCAGACAGAAGGTTATTCCCAACAGTGTGTGACTTATTGCAGAGTAGTTCATGGTCCTATTGCTCACCCAAGACTAGTGCACTTTGACCTCGCAACTCGGTCTCTTATACCCGGTTTCTGATCCACCCAGCTGAACACACACACAGCCCATTATCGGATTAACCCACAGCAACAGAACTACCTGGGCAGCGGACTTATCAATGAGCCAGGTACACGAACAGGTAAGTGCATTACCAAATCACTGCGGATCGTAAATCACAGTATGAGAGAGTGGAAAATGTTCACTCAAAACATATTTATCTCCAGGGAAGAATCGGTGGAAGGTAAGGAACTTATGTCAAAGGCGCAGCGGGCGCAAATCAGCGTGTTCATTTCACTTTCGAAAATGGCCCCGTTTCTAGCTGAAGCGATAGAGAGCAATATCAGAGTGGAGGAGGAGGAGGAACCTTGCACTTGACACCTGCTGCTTAAATGGCGCATGAAAAGAGGCAACGACTCTCCAGGTGATGGACATACGTGGGATAAACCCGTTCTGCATTTCTGCATTTTTCCTACTTTCCACTGGCGGACAAGTCTAGACAGCTCATCTAGAAGTGGCACACTGGCACCTGGCATAAAAGCAGCCACTGCCTTGGAGTCGTCTCCAGTTCTGGCCAAGATGGGCACCAAGCTGCTATTGCTGCTGCTGTTACTGTTCCTGATCTCCCTGGCTTCTGCTGGCCTCCGTCTTACCAATGGACACAAGTGGCGACCCAGAGTGGTGCAGCCTAACCTCGAGGGAAAAGGGAATTATCAGATCCTCTCCAGACGTAGCCCATGGAAAGCCCCATACAAACGCAAAGGCTAAGGCAATTCATTTCCCAAACAAATTTTCTGTTTAAATGTTCATGTATCTGGCTAAATAAATAAAATAAATTAGCTTATTGAGTAAAAAAGGGTTCAAAGTCCCTCTTAGAATCCTGGAGCATAGCCCTGCATGTTCATGCGCTCCAAGAAGCCACCGGGTGGTGGATACAGTCCCTGCATGTTCACCTGCACGGGCAGAGGCTGGGGAGCAGGATACAATCCCGAGCTGGCTCCTCCCAAGCCCTGGACATTGGCCATGTTGACAATGCTGTTTAAGTTTTGGAAATTGTCCACCGAAGGCTGCGGCACAAACCCATTGGGCAGCTGGCTATTGGGATACATCAGGGAGTTGCCGCCATAGATGGGTTGTGGCACGGGATAGCCTCCAAAGTTGCCAAAGCCAGCTCCAAAGGGATTAAAGCCACCGACTTGTCCTGCCAAATTGGGATCCGGATACGAGGGATAGTTATTGGCAATGTTTGTCTGCAGGCCGGGAATGCCATTGAGGCCGGGCAGGGGACCCGTAGAAAGTCCTGGAGCTAGACCTGGGTATATCAGACCCGGATAGTTGGGATACCGCACCAGCTGGCCACCGACGGCACTCAAGTCCATCTGGTTCATGGGCATGGGCATGGCCATGCCCATCGGTTGAGTGGCTGGCGTTACATTGGCCATCATCTTGACATCCGCATCCGTGGCGGCACCTGCCTTCAGCTGTCGCTCCTTCCGCACATGTTGATCCTGATCCAGGGGCTGGGCTTGAACCGTTCCCAGGATGAGCAGGGAGAGCAGGAGGAGAGTCTTCTGCACAATGAACTTGGTCATTTTGGTAGCTATCTCTGGTGGCGACTGTTTGCTTCCGGCTAGCCGGTATCCCCTTTTATGCCGAGGCCGATGGTGAAAACTTTCTTTTGCAATTATCCGCCTCAACGCAGCTCGGCTTTTCGTTTAAGTTGATGCCTTTTTTTATGTTTTTATGGCCACGCAAAAGTCGAACACTGCGGCCCACTGAGCGCCCAGTCTTCGGTTTTGTAATCTCTTTATAAACAATTCACACTTTTAGCCTAATGCCCAAGGCAAATAAGGTGCGAAATGTCTCAGCAGTCCGCAGATCCGAGATCGGAGATCGAAAATCGGAGTTTGCCTTGCAGAAAATCGGTGTCGACTCACCGCTGGATATACTATATATAGCCTATAAGCCCTATACCTGCACTTTATGGCCAAGCGGGGGTGTCGGCGTCTCCGTCTGTAGCCTCTCCCCTGGAAATCAAGAGGCTGAGAAAACACTCGTTTATGATAAGCCTAAAGTTATGCTAGGGAAAAGATAAGCGTACAGTAGGAAATATAAATAAAACTCAAATTTTTAAAGCTGATATTTATTTCTAATTATAATTTTCATTATCAAGTAAATAGATACATTTTAAAGCATAGCGATCACAATTTGAAATAGTAAACTTAACACTTGAAGATTCCCTGTCGGTCACTGGAAAATCGATTGATTTCTAACGACTACAAGGCACTGCGGCTGGAACTAAGAGTAAGGCCTAAGGACTAACTAAACTAAAACGGAATCTTAACAGCCTGGATTTAAAACTAAGACCCTTTAGGATTAGGCATCCGCCTCAGGATTTTGTGCTTTGAGTGGCTGCAGAGCCTGCAATTTCACCGTTTTGTAGCCACGATCTCGTCGGAACCACAGCCAGTTGTCCCCGTTGAAGTAATCTTCGATGTGATCCAGACTGCGTCCCTTGGTCTCCGGCTGGAACAGGCACATGAATATGGTGAGCAGGAAACTGGAGATGCCGAAGACCAGGAATACGCCACGCATTTTGAGGAAAGCCTGCAGCGCGGGGAATCCCTTGGCGAAGATAAACAGGACCACGTTCATCGAGGCGAACACGCCGCCGGCTGTTCTCCCCCGAATTCTGGCCGGGAAAAGTTCGCCCAGCATGATGCCAGGCATCACCATTAAAGCTGTATTGAATACTATGTAGCCCAGCAGGCAACATCCTGCCACTAACAAATCGTAGGACATCTTGGGCTCACCCACTCTGGCATACATGTAGGCACTCAAGGCCAGGCAGAAGGCACCGGAGCCAATGCCAGATATCATCATGATCCTGCGCCGGCGGACGAAGATCAGAACAACACAGAAGGCCATGCAGCAGATGACCCTCACGGCAGCCGTCCAAATTGCTGCCTGTTTGGTATCAAAGTCCGCTCCAAACTCCGAGATAATGTCGATGGCGTAGAAGATCACTATGAAGGTGCCGGAAAACATTTGCAGCAGGGAGAAAATGATCACAATGACCAATGGCTTGATGGCCACTCTTTGGCAGCATAGCTTAAAGATGTTCTCATTGGTCTTGGTGGTGGCCCTCTCCCTGGACAGTCGCTGCTTCATCTCATTGGCCTCCTTCTGGGCACTGATCTCGCTGCCCCTCAAGAAGGTCAGAGCCTGGAGGGCACGCTTCTCGTAGCCATTCCGGAGCAACCAGGCTGGAGTCTCTGGGATGCAATAGATGGACACCATGGCCAGCAGGGGCAGGATGTTAGCACACCAGGCCACACTACGCCAGTAAATCATGGAGCCAAGGGAGTAGACCAGCAAGATGCCGCTGGAGTAGGCCACATAGGGAGCTCCAATCAGAAGGCTCCTCAAGTTGGGCTCAGCGGTTTCAGCAATGTAGACCTGGAAAAAGGAAGATGGGTTTAATTATATTTTAATTATATTTAATTATATTTAAATCTTAAGATAATTCCCTGTGCTTTAATTTGTCTTCAAGAAATATCTTAAATAATATCCGAATTCCCTAAAGAAACCTACTTTCCTTACAAATTGCACACATGTAAGCAAACATTTTCATTAGATTGAGGGTCACAGTGGCTTAACTGTCTTAATTATAAACTGGAAACCTAATCCAAATATAACTATGATAAACTACACAATCTCCTAATCCAAATCTGTTCTTTATGTACAAACCCTGACCCCGAGAAAAGGAACTATCTCACCCGAACAACAAACAATTCCCTCTAGTTTGGGGGTCACAAAAGCATCAGCATATTAATTATAATATGAGGGTTCTCATCTCAATCAAGAGCTAGTCCCAGCTCGTGTGCCAAATGTATAACAAATGGAATTACTTTCTGATATGACTTAACCCTCACCCCCAGTGCGAACTTTCGCCAGCAAAACAATCTGATCTAGTTTGAGGGTCACGTCTCGCATCAACAGCATCAACATCTTAATCTCTGGGAACTCTTGGATGCTAATCATAAAATCGTAAATCATAGCAGTCCGGCAATCCATTAATGAAACCGAAAACTTGCCGGGAAAACACGCGCAACAAGTCGACGCCCATTCACCCAGCCAGACCCAATCCCCACGCCAATTCCATCCCACCCCTCCATTATAGACTAAGGTCAAGAATCCGGAACTACTCTATGCGGATAATGCCTCCGGAGCGTGGGCCCGTGTGTGCGGAAAGCTTTTGCTAATGCAAATGATGCGCTGGCCATTTAAAGTCCGGCTCCGGGTCCGGACACCGGACACCAGAGTGATGACGCTGTGCGTCGCTATCACTTTGGCCGCAAGATAAGTCACGGACATATCCATAAGATAAATAATAAACATAAATAAACAGGGCAGCGCCGCCGGCATAGCGTAGACACAATGGAACCGACCAGAAGAGCCGGAACAATAGACGAGCGTCAAGTGGCCAATTGTCCACCTGTCAGCGTTGCTCTTTTTTTTTGCTCCCCCTCGGACAGGAGTTCAAGGCCCTGTCCGATTACGGTTAATGGGTCACTCGGACAGACCTGGATTGTGTCACGTCGTATGGTTCCGGGTTTTGTGCGTCTTTTACGTGTGAACGAACTACAGGCCAATGGCCATGAATTCCCCTCGAGATGTTTCTAGTCCACTCACCTGTCCAGGTCCACCTAGAATTCCAGTGGCAAAGCCGCAAAGGAATCGCGCAAATATCACAATTTTGATGCTCTTGGCCATGGCCAGAGTGCTCCAGCCGAGGAAGAGGGGAATTACGGAGACCAGCAGGGTTTTCCGCCTACCCAGATAGTCGGCCAGAGGTCCAGAGATCAGGGAGCCAAAGGGAGTGGCCAAACTATGGACACTTGCTGTGAGGAATATGTAAAAATTAAGAAGTTTAGCTAGGTGTTTAAGGAGAAGTACTTACCAATCCAGGAGCCAGTTTCCACATCAATGGGTATCTCGGTGCTATTGCTATCCATTAGCTGAGGCAACAGGACAGCTGAGAAGCCAATGGGCATTCCACAGCCAGCGGAGAGCAGCAGAACAGCACAAGTGGACAAAATCTAGAATAAAGATAATAGAAAATATATAAAGAACAGGTTTAACTTATTAGGTACTGTATCTTGAAGATACTTTTCACTTTTTGGGCTGCATTATTTAAGATTAGGGCTGCCACAAAAGGTATTCTGTCTCCGAAATATCCTTGTTGATCTTGGGCAAAGATAAATAAATAGATACAAGAATATTCTGAAAGGTTCCCCATTTTCCCCCAGTGCATGTACTCGTCTATGTAATTAAATCTATCGATAAAGGCGTCAATGTTGCCGCATCTGCCAAGCAATTGCCTTCAATTGAAGTTTACAATATTGCATCACGGACGACTTTATTTTGATTTGTACACTGATGATAGTGACAAACGATCTGCGATCGCCGTCCATTGATTGCCCCCACAGTTCACTCAGAGTGCTGTGTGACGCGAACAGCCTGAAATTGAATGACATTCCGTGCCATTCTCTATAGCATTTCATTCGATTCAATTCCAGAGCCACCACTGCCGTCACATGGCAGCCACATGTAGCCACCAAAGAAACAGAAGTGTGTTTCCCATAATCATGCCGAAAGAAGAAAGTTCAATTGCGTATCTTATCATTTTGTCCTTCACGGAATATTTAGTATCTGTCAGGCACGCATGTCTTGGCCAAACCCCAGAGATGTTCGACAAGCGAATGACAAGATTATGGCCCGAAATTTGAAAGTGTGGCCAAGGTGTGGACTCCAGGTTAAAACAAATATATATACAGATAGTTGTGATCTTTATTTTATATTTCTATTAACCTATAAAATCTCCATTATTGGTAGTTAATTTACCTGATTTATCATGCCCCTTCTATTGGCCACATCGTAGTCCTGTTCATCGATGGTGGAGAGCTTCCTGGTATTGTGATGGTTACCCAATTTGCATTGAAACTCCGCTCCTGGCACCACATTGTAGGACATTTTATGGGGCACAAATTTAAGATATTCCTCATCTCTGCAAAATAATAAAAAAAATGATAATTGATAAATAAATCTGTAGAAAATAATGCGCATAAAATTAGTAATAAATGAATTTCAATGTTAATGGGACGTTATAAAGTTATAATAAAACGATTTCCCCCCTTGATAAGATATGCCTTTTAAGACTTTGACTCGTGAATACTTTTGTGTAATTCAAAATATTCCATTATTAGCTAGCCTTATTTATTGTCAAGGTATGCGAATATATATTTTCCGCCTAATGGGCCCTGACAATTGGCAATTATTGTCAATTTCATGGCCACTTGGCAAACACTGCTGAACCGCAGGGCCTGGCTTTTTGTTCAATAATTGTAGCGGCTTTCACACGCCACTCAAATTGATCCTATAGCCTGGTCAATATCCGCTTTTTGCTGCACTTTAAGCCCAGCCAATTTTGTGTTGACTCATTTCAGCTAAAATCAAAGCTTCGGGAGCGTCGCGACTTGCTCGAGGTGAGTGATAAGAAAACGCGGGAGAGTTGTGCTGCATACGTCACTGTTTTCGAAAAAAACCAGCTGTGCGTGTTTCAGTTTGTTTTGGCTCTGCGATAAGAAAAACAGTGGGGGGAAAAAATAACAACAAAAATGCGTTAGCGTTTCGCTCTCTCGCTCTCACTCTGGCTTTGCCAAGCTTTTGTTTCGCGCTTGTGTTTCAACTGCTTAAATAATGTTAATGTTTTTGTTTAAATGCCTGGCAAGGTCAATTTGGAGTCACGTCGATTAAGCCCCTGGCAAAGCTTTCTTTATAAAATATCTAATTGTTGCCAAAATTGTCCCAAAATAGGCCTTAAATATTCGCCACTTCCCCTTTGTATTGTCTGTGATCTATAAAACTGCAAACCTTGGACACCTAAAACTCACTCACAGCATTGGTTAAACCATATATGGATATGGGTTAATCGTGATACGATTGACAAGTTGGAGCAACTTTATTTGTGCCCAAAATATAGCAAACAATGGACATAAACAATGCAAAAGTTACTTGGCATTATCGCCCTGAGAAATCGTCTGCGATTTGTGATTTAAGGAAGTCCAAAAGATAATGTCTGAGAGCGGTTCAACAAACTTGGGGAAAACAAACTGGTTTCCATTGTCTGATTTTAATTCGGAGAAATTGCCATAACGATTAACAATGTCAGAAGTTTCATTAGCTCGTAGGGCAAACTTTCCACAATCACAATCGATCGGCGTGACTGAAGTCCAAGGGTATTTGTTGTCCATTAATTCCCTGATGTGTGAATTGAAAAAGTCGCCTGCACGACTCTATATCTATCTATCTTTCTATCAGTTTTATAAACTGAAACGCTCGCCCACTGTTGACACCACAAATTAGATAATTTATGGCGAATGTGTAGAAGCAGACTTCCATGGAACAATCAGTAAACAAATGGCTCTTTTTAATTGAGGCAATGGGGTAGAAATGAGTGAGGAGTCACTCCGTTGATGATGCCACCCAATCAAGGATTGATTTCATCACTGCCCCGGTTGGCATGGTAGTTCCGGCCCACCCGGCGTATACGTAATAAATAAACAGAATTTAATTGTTAGCCCAAAATCTGAACGAGATAAGATAAGAATTGAAAAGAGGCAACAAATTTTGGTAGCTGGTTAAGCAGAGTAACTTGAAACGGAAGCACAAGGCTTATCAGAAATGGTTAACTAAACCAATTAGTAGGGAATTTCCTAGAAGAAGGAACCTGAAGAGCCCTTGGCAAACTTTTAATTTCATAACATTTTGAAAATAATCTTGAAAAAGTAATTTGAAATCAATCAATGTCTACAAGCAATTAGAAAACAACTGAAAATTAGGTAATTAAGCTATAAAGGGCTTTAAGAAACAGAAACTACATGAAACATGAAATGTCAGACAAAAGCTATTGATATTAGCATTCAATCAGAGTCTGATTATAGCTATATAATCACCTTAGACATTTTCCAGTCATCATGAGGCGCGATAAGATGGAAGGTCTATAGCCTATAAACAATATTAAAAACAATGCAAAATTTCATTCTAAAAGAAAACTGAACTTTTGTTTTCGTTAAACACGTGTTTTGTCTGTTAAGTACCTCACTATCTAATCTTCCTACTCATATGTATATATGTACATATATATTGTAATAACTGATATATAGTGAAAAGAGCTCTCTATTAGTAGGAGCCTCGAAGCATTCATTGATCACTGATTCGGTGATAAGAGATGGGACACCATGGAGCCAAAAACCAGACAATGATTTGGCATTGAACTGTGTTGTGTGCCTCTTAGCGACAGCTGACAGAAACCCAAGCCCTGTGGCTTTTTGGGCATAATCTCGCCACGGATCGGAGTACTTAAGAGGCACGGCGGCAAACTACTGGCTGGACCCTAGCAACACCCGAATGTACAACACCGCGAAGCACTTCCAATGAAGCCGATCAAGAAATCGAACAAAAATTGTTTATACCGTCGTCGCTGGGGTTTAAAGTCGAAACGGAGGGGTATTTTTAGCTGGCCAGACAGAAAATTCACAGAAAAAACTGCTGATGATGAGTGGACACTGGGCGCGACTGCTTTGTTTTGTTTTGATTTGTTTTATTACCTTTCGACACTCATTTCGTCCAGCTCTAATGTAGGCAAATTAGTTCAAGTATCGATTTTATTATTTGGCTTTATGTAACACACTAGTCGCGACTTGGATGCATCGACTCGATCGTGCGACTTATAGATACCGATACCGGAGCTGGACGACAATTTCATTTAATGCCAAAACGAACACTGGCCGGCGAGTGGCTCATAAAGCGGCTTTTTATTTATGAGCAGCGATCGGCGCGACGCTGCCATCAGCAGCAGCAGCAGCAGCACGCATTTATTATTTTTATTCTCTTTTTTATTTCTGTTTAATTTTTTTATTATTTTTGCATGCCGCTTCAAACCGCCCGCTTGTGCTGTCACCTTCCCGCTCGCAAAGTATGCTTGCAAAAAAGGTTCTTGCTTGACCGCCAGCTGATGATCGGAGCCAACAGCTGACGCAGCATCGCAACGGTAATTCGTGCTCTCTCGCCCACGACCCCTAGTAAGCGACGAAAGAAGAGCGTTTTGTTTGGAAGAGAGCAAGTTGTTGAAAAGCTTATTTTCGAAACGAGCGAAGAACGGAACCATAAAGCAGATCTCTAGTTTAAATTTATGGAATCTATGATGGGAACAGTATATCACTGTGGATACTATAAATATATGTATACTATATAGCACGGCAGAAATGAAAATCTGATAGATAAAGTCTGATAGAGTCCAATCTGAACCATCTATATCTAGATTAAAAGAGGTTGTAGAGGTTTCAAATTGCATAGCTTTTTAAATAGTACACAAGTACGAATATTAGGGTATTGACAACTATAACTATTGTGGTCGCAGTCATAAGGTTTTGCCAAAATTTAGACAATATAGAAATACACACCCAAAGTACTCCCAAAATAACTGCTGTATTTAATCTACATGCATTACAATAATTTGTTTTGTGACTTATTGTGATATTTATATATAAAAAGAAAAAACTTCGGACCTCTCTATTAACAACTCTTCCTCAATAGCGCCTATAAGTATGCTCTATTTTTTGTAACTATTGCAACTGAACGACTACAGTCGATCTTTATGTTTTATGATATAACCAGTCGACTACAACAAATAGCATCCACAAGACTAAAGTTCTTGCAATGAAAATATCAAATTAAATTAAATTATAGATTAACACTGCCAATTTAGCCCGATCCTTTGCCAGGAACAAGCCACGACTAGTTTTCAAATAGCCCCCTTGAAAGCATTAAAGGACACAAGCTGCGAAAAAAGCAATCGTGAAATGGCCCGAGGGCCCGACCAAAGCTGAATTGGAAAAGCTTTTCATTCATAACCCTGCACAACAACAACGAGCATTGACTACAAGCCGAGACAGGAACAACAATAATGGTGTTAGCAGCTTGCGGAAATGCAACGGAATGAAAATTCGCACAGAAGATAAGCGGTACAGGGAAATGAAAATAAAAGAAAGAGAAAGCAACTATATATAAACAAAGGCGTTGGGGCCATGGAAACTGCACAAATTGCGTGGAAACTATGCGACAGAAAGGAAGGGGAAACTCTTTGTAACTTCTCACACAATCATATTCCATGAGTTCACCCCGAGATCTGTTGTAAGCGGCTTACGCTGCTCGGGATACCTAGACCCCACTCCCAGCCACTCCTCCGCCGCCCACTTCCGTTTCCTTTCGAATCCTCTAAGCTCGACCACATGCACAAATAAATGTATCACCCGGAGCGTTCGGAAATCGCTCTCTCGTCGCTTTCACTCTCTTTATGCTTCAGTGTTTCAGTGTCTAGGTCGAGGCAGCTTTCTCTCCGGCTTCCTGCGTATCGTGTCCTGTGACTGTATGCGTGTGAAGGTCGCCTGGCCATCGGTTCGATGTGTTTGTATTGGGTTTGTCCCCCTTTTTTTTTGGTTTTGTTTTTCTTTCCTGGGATATTTAAGCCGAGCGCAGGGAAAAACTATCGACCGACAGCAAGCGGGTAAATTAAAAAAAAAAAATTACTCCACTGTTCCTTTTTTTTCGTGTCTATGAAAATGCATTCCATTAGCTTTTTCTTTTCCACCCAAACACACCAAGTAGATGTGATTTTTTAATTGAACTATAATTGAGTTTTCCCCTTAAAAATGTGCTAACCAATTGCATTTCAATTTTCTTTTTGTGTGAAACACATACCCCTCATAAGCATAATTAAGTGAGTTATTGTTCAAGGACCAATTGACGGTTCTGAAACACTCGCATAAAGGATTGAAAGCTCACTGATGCATTGCCAGTCAATCACTGAGGATAAATGTTTTATATTTTAAAGTTAATCTGTTGAAAGAGATGTTCAAATGCAAAAGAAAAACGAAAAGAAAATTATATTTGGGTTCGTTTAGCTTTTACTCTTTGAAATAATAAAGATAAGTCAATTATATCTCAAGCTTAAACTTATAGTAGTCAAATATTATTTCAGAATAAAACAATACTTATATTTAATATAAAATATATAGATCTATTTGATCTTAGCTTACCCTACTTTATTGTTAAGGTAGACTTAAAATCTTTAGATTTAAATCTAATCGCCATATACATGCTCGATTCTTGTTAATTTTATCTCAGTGCTTCCGGCGGAATTACCCCTCCCACTGTCTCTATTTGCTAGCATGGCACTTCCCTTGGGGGACGTAAATCAAATTGCAAATCAAAAGCAGCGCCCAGCAGCTGCCATAAACTTTTATGGCAAGTGAGCGTGGGAGGAGAGCTTCGGGTCTGGCGATGTCGAGCTTTTCCGCTCACGCTCACGCTTACCGAGTGCGAAAAGCGCTCTCGTCGGTCACCATTCGCTTTCGCTTTTCACTTTTCACAGCTGGATTCTCGCAATCCGCTTCCTGGCCCGCTGGCTTCCGTTTCGCATTCAGTTGCTTTCGAATTGTCCGCCAAATTGGACGCTCCTGTGGCCAGCAGCCGTACGTACCCTTCGATCCACCCACGGGAGCAGACCGAACAAGAGCAAACACAGTGTTTGTGGGGAAAAAACGAGCCAAGTCGTGTGAATCGCTGAATATCGCTGAAATACATATATTTCCAGGCCGTGAAAAGATCCCCCCTGGACAAGTGCTGAAGTGCTGAAAAGTGAAGAAAGGGCGACTAGTTTCTTAATTGTGTAAGTCGCGCGTAATGCAAAACTCTTCTGTATGTGTGAGTGTAAGCATGTGTTTGCCTGCTGCTGTATTGGTGGGAGTGTCCTTCGGGCCTTGTGTGCCATTTTCACCGCCAGTTAATATTTAAAACAATTAAAAACTGACGGGAGTAGAGTGACATTAAAGCCAATACGCGCCCCAAGGTCCTGGCTGCCACCGATGGGACGCAATGACGGGCCTAATTAAGCGGGATCCCGTTGCAACGCGCCCAGGACACGTTGCTGCCAACGCTCGGATAACTGCATTGTCTGCTTAACTTACCGTTAATTCGGCTTCATTACTGCCCCCCACACTGACCAGCCTCAATCCGAGCTGGCTGCCATGGCTGCCATGGCTTCCCTGACTCTGCTCCACCGGAAACTCAAAGTGAGCAGATGGCCGTTTTCGTTGAAAATGGCCATGAAAATTCCCTCGAATTGCATCGCAATGCGTAGCATACTTTTTCGGGAAAGTTTTATCGAATTAAAGAGCACGGCAACATGGCTAAGAAATCATAAGTATTATTAAGAGCATTCAAAGAAATAAAACTTTTAAGAAATTAAGAGTGTAGAAGCTGATAGTTTCAGAAAGTATTTGCAAACTTTAATATTATAAATCTCTTAAAACTACAAATTGAACTTAAGCTACAGTTACTAAAGGAGAGTTCAACCATAAACCAGACTTCCTTTCACTTGTTTTTCCCCGGGTAAGACCTTTAATAACCTTGGAGGTAAAACGTTTACAAAATAGGCAATTGAATTGGTTTTAATTAAGGATACAAGATAATTATTTAACTCCTAGAAATTGTGTCTTGGTTCAAACCGGAAACCAGATTTGTCGGAAACTGCTCTAGCGATTAAAGCGAAATCTCTTAATTAATCAGTTAATACATATTTTATTGTTCAAATCTAGCCCTAATGGGTCCCATAAATTATGTCTGGATTTAACTGAAATTCAAAAGCTGATTGAAACCGCACTTTTCATTATCTCACTTTATTGATCAATAAATTTGCATGTGCACGTCAGAGCTCGCCCAGTGTCTGGGCATCAGGTGCAACCAATTCCGGCCAGAATGGATACTTGGGTCTGAGCAAATGTTTGCCACAAGTTGGCCAAGAGCCCTGGCCCGGGCCGAAACCCTTCTTCCCTTCTTGACCCACCGCTCAAGCCGAGCGTAGATGAACGCAAAATTAATTCCAGCTTCCACCCGCTGAGGCCAGAGACATCTTCCTTTTGGCCAGAGTTCCGATAACTTTTTACTACTTTTTTTGTGCTATTCTCCTTTTTCTCTAAGTTTTCCCCATACAAGCTTCAGCTTTCGCTCTTCGCTGGGTTCGGCTTCGCTTTCTTGGCTCATTGTTATTGGAATGTCTATGTCGGGCTTTTTTTTATTGTCTCAGACAGTCAAGCCTACCTAAATGGGGTTTGTACACCTGTCCTTAGGGATAGATTTTCTATACCTTTACCTATGTTATACTCATTAAAAATTCTCTATAACTCTTTAGAATTTTATTCTTTAAATAAAACTTAAACTTAAATAAAATCAGGTATCGATTTCTCAGTTAATATACCCAAGATCCACTGTACGTTTTGGTTCTTTTGTTATAGTTATTGCTAAGACTCTCGTTGTTCTCGCTACCTTAACATCCTTGCCCTTGCTCCACCAGGGTTTTGCCTCCGCCTTCACTGTCGCTTTTTGTTCCTTCTTCCTGTGCGCCTTGTCCCTGCCTGCCTTCCTTCCTTCCTTCCTGTTCGGCATGAACGTGCGTTGTTTCCTCCGGTTTCATACGGGCTTTTGGCATTGGCCTGTCCGTGTTTTGTGCGTGTTTGCCAGGGCTCAGGCTCTGGCTCAGGCTCATTCTTGGCATTCTCTTATTTTTGGGTCTTTGTTGCTATTGTTGTTCCCAGCTTTCCGCTCCCTGTTTAAATTTAAATCGCAATCAAATAACAATAAAAACATCAGCGAGTGGGCACAAAATCGGTGATCGGTGACATTCGTTGGATCCCAGTGCATTAGCCTTAAAGCCACATCCTGATGGATGGCTGGATTTGTGACTGAATTGTGTCACACAGGGCGTATACGCAATGTCTTGAAGTTGTTGACTTATTTATCGCCAGTGGAAGTTGTTGCAGAGGCTTAAGTGACAAATTGATAATATTCGGTGGCATGAGGGATGTTTATAAATTATGAAAAATATTCCTATGGGTATTTGCTGTTGTTGCTTAAACCTGAAAAATATTTACAAAATAAATAATAGCCCAACAAGTTATAGTTAAACGCAAAAGAGTCTGAGATTCCAACATGTTAGTGTGTATTTCCCCCCTTCGAAATCAATCAATATTATATGTTATATATCCTTATATGATATATATATCAAGGATTCCATTCGTCAGCTGCAGCCAAAGTTCAGCTTAACCTAGCAAAAGTTGATGATTACTCCGATTGCTTGGCAAAAGAGAGAACAAAGTGAAGGTAAAATGGATTACTTGTATTTATTAATGCAAACGTGCAGGATTAAGCCAGGAGAGGGGGGCTAAGGGGTAGTGGCAGCAAATGCTATGAACTTTGACCTTCGCATTGCGGCTGGTCATGGCACTGGCGGTGTCAAAGGGGAGGGGGTACTACTACAGCAATAAGCTGTTTAACTGCTAGTGCATGTCAGTACACACTTTTCCCCGCTCCCAAGCACTCCCTTTCTCCCCCTCTCCGCGTCGCAGACAATGCAACTGCCAATGAATGGGCTTGGAGACTTTCTCTTCTATAAGAATGTGTGTGTGTGTGTGTGTGTGTGTGTGTGTGTGGGTGAAAGTGAGCAAGGCTGATTGTATTAGTTGTTTGTGGCTAACACAGACATTTGTGTCCATTTAAGCGTAAGGCTCCGCCAAGGGAAACGCTCCCTTATGCAACATATGAAATGCAAATCAGATTGAAAACACAATAAAAGCAGCGAGTTTTCCCAGAAACGATAAAGGATAATATCCTTTTGGTTAACTCAAATTGTTACATATTCCGGTATTTTTTCACAATCGATTTATTACAATTAAATTCTTAACTTGATTATCTTCAATGTGGAAAGTGTGTACTTTTCCTGAATAAAAGTAATCCCCTTTTTTCGATGAAATACTTCTATAATTAAATCATTTTCGATATCGTTTTTTTTTCCAACTTTTCCATCCACGTGAATGCAATATATAAATGTTGACTATGCAATGAATATCTGTGTGTATATATATATTCACCTGTCAATCTCATGCATAGAAATTGTGCATTTATTTCGTTGTTAATCAATTTTACCCCCCAATAGAGGCATCCTTTGTTAGCATTCGACCACTTCGTGCAATTGCTGCAGGATCAGGCCCTGCACCATATCCCTGGCCATAATGCAGCCGGAGCAGGGGCAATCCTTGGAGTTGGGCACGTGCTGGGACTGTAGATTCATCAGTTGCAAACATCGTTGGGCTTTCGCTCGCCGGAGCTTCCTCAGGGTCCTCACCTTGCAGTACACCAGGCTGTAAATTGTGATGCCTTTAAATGAGATTTATAATCAAATTAATTCAATTATTGTAACAAAGTTTTAATTGCTATTTAGGCTTTCAATTTCGTGTATTATTAGTGAAACTAAAAAGGCACAAGTATGCATTAATTTTACCAAAGAAAAGGATTCGTTCATTCTCTTATCTTATCTCAAATTACGAATCTGATTAATTTAAAAATATAATCAATTGAAAACACAAATGTTCACTTACAAACTCCAAGAACAGCAACATGCAAAAGCACAATCATGAAGACAATTCGAGCATAATATTGATTCTGGCGCAGCTCTTTGAATGAAAAGATCACATTGCTGCTTCCGTTGCTCTTCTCAACAAAGGATTCACCAAAGGATTCACCAACATTAGTCCCTTCGAACGATGTATCCACATCCACATCCACATCCACATCGACTTTCGTGGAATTCCACTCAGTGATGTTTTCGTAATCAAACATTTCCAGCAGCTGTGTCTCGTTCAGCCAGTCGAAATCTTTCCAGGAATGCATAAAGATCCAGATTCTGAATAAATAATCAATACAAACTCTAGGGCCTCTCTCTGTCCGTACCTGTAATGTTGTCATCGGCATTGGACAGGTGAGGGAAGGTGGTCAGGGCAGCTGTAATCAACAACAGACACCACCTGGCTGCGATTCCCTGCGAGCACACAGACATGGTGCTGCCGTGATTGTTCCAATGCAACTGAACAAATTAAACACTCGCGACTTGCACGTTGCTGATCGATGCCTCCTCAGTCGGATATCAAACAGCTGCTTGTAGTTGGAAATAAACGATTTCGATAACAAATAATAATAAATACATTTGTAACATAATATAATAATTAAATGTATTAAGGAAAGATTAATATACTTTCGTTTAAAATGCAGTTTTGATCTATGGCATCCTTAAATGAATCCCTTTATAATAAATCTATTCCCAAGGATCTCCCAAAGATCAGTCAGTTTCGCTCGCTTATCCTACAAACACTGTGTAGTTACACCACAGTTCTCAATGTACAGGGAAATCCTGCCGGGGCGACAGTTTGGACAGAGGCACCCGGACTTGGCGGTGTGCTGCAAGGTCAGCTCCCGGATCCTCACTGTGTCCTGGGGCAGAGTGGGCCACACAATGCTCTGGGTGCGTGGGGCATAGATATCAAGGCCGTCCGGTGCCGAAGCCATTGCCTGCCAAGTTCGACAGTAGCAGCAGAGGCATCCTGCTTCAAGAGGATACAAGTTAATCAGAGTGAAGGCTATGGCTATAAGTCATACTCACCCAAGCAGCCCATAAGAATCAGGAAAACGAGGGCCAGAAGGGTCACCAAAAAGATTCTTGCATGATCCTCGGCCAGCGGAAAATAAGGATTAGTTGGCCTATTGCCCATTAGATCCTCAAGGCAATAACTTGCCTCCAACAAAAAGGAAATAACGGCGATGACGAAAAAGCATCGTGTTCCCGGTGCTAACGGCATTTTGTAAATGGCTTGTTACGCTTTCCACCGGCCATTAAACAACTTCAAAGTGGGGAAATCCCTGAGAAAAGCAGCTGCGGCCAAATGGCGACATCGCCGTGAAAACAATAACAATTGGTTGAAAACTTCTGGAAGAAACAAAAGTGTTACAAAGGTTTATATCCCAAGTTTTTTCAGGCGTCCGTGAGAGGAGAAACCAATAGTTTTAGTACAGATTTCTGGTATCTTTCAGAGTCTTTATAAATTATTTCCCTTTGCACCACCAAGTCTTATTTCTTTTCAGTTAATGTACATAAATCCTGCGAACATATATAGAACCTTCAGAGTACCACACACACCCACACTCATCGATCCACACACACAACACACACTTGTCGGAAAGCATTAAGTCTGAGCGTTTTGCCTGGGTGTGCATTTGTCATAAACCAAATAAAAAGTAACCCATTTGCGCTGAGAAATTACATTTAAATTGCAAATTTAAAGTAAAAACAAAAAAGAAAGTACTCTGCCACGACAGTCAGCAGATGCATTCGCAAAAAGAAAAAAAGAAAACGTGAAAACGTATGCAAAGGTGTCAACCGAATGGAAAAACGAGAAAATTCTGCGAAAAGTTGGATAACAAGAAAAAATCATTTGCAGACATAATTCACTTAGCCTCCAACCGCGGTTCTCTATCTCCGTGTTTATTCATTTCCCACACACATCGCCAGCATGCATTAATTTTCACACTTTCTCTAACTCTATATACCTTTTGGAAAATCTGGAAATATTATATTCACTCGTGTCCTCAAGGCAAACGGAAATGTGAGCGCTTTTAGCTGGTGCCATTTTCAATCAATATTGCGGCAATTAATTTCAAAACAGGCTAATGGATAATTTGTGTAGCACTAATTGTAGGGAATTTATGACTAGAAATACTATTATTAAAACTACATAATACCATTACAAGGTTGACGTTTTTATTCGAAGTTAAATAAGCAGAAATCATAAATAATTAGAAGCATATTTATGTATACAAAAGAAACAAATAATAATGCCTAATATTAAAAAGTCCTCAACTAGAAAGACCTGGTACCCTAGCTTAAAAATTAGTATAAACATCAACATAAAAGATAAGTCTGAAATACATTTACTAATTATGCTTAAGTCTATACATAAATCAATACTTTGACGATGGGATTTATGACGAATTAAGAGTTCACAGAAACATCAGTGCTGTATAGCTCTATTATTTATTCTACACAAAGTTGGGGACTTTTATTGTAGACATATACATTTACTTTCTGGAGATTTAAAAAAAAATCTTAATAATATTTGCGGGTGGTATATATAGCATGACCACATTCTAAAAACAAACTTTATCTGATTGTGATTAGAAAGGGACTCTTACACACAGCTAAAGATGTCTAAATGAATGTGCCTGAGGATATTAATTAATATTATTTATACTTTATGAAGTAGTAGATGCCTTCTTTGCTATTCCTGTACAGGGTACCTGTGTATAAACACAAGGTAAGGCCACAAGAAATACAAATTCACTCGCCCATTTTCAACAATTTAATCAACGAAATGATTTGCAATTTGAAATTCATAAAAAAAGAGGGGAATCACTTGAAATGCCACTTTACGCGCATTTTGATTGTGATTTAGCGCTGAATTTGCGATTACCAGGACGATGACAGCGAAGGACGACAGACGATGACGAAGTAGATGAATATTTAATGCGGGGAACAGGACCCGAAGGGACCCCAGCAAAGGAGCTGAGGTGCGTGGAAGGCACTGCCTGTCCTGTCCTGCCAGCCTGGCAGTCTGACAAATGGTCCGGACTGGGGTGGGGAGGGGGCCGGGGGGCCACCTAGGATATGCAATAGAACGTGAAAATCTGTTTTCCACAACGATCGGGGGCACGAGGCTGTGGGGCAAGGGAAAGCATTGGAATGGAGACGACTTCGTTGCATCGAAACAAATTTGTATGCGTGTGCTTTGGCCTCCGCCGATGGTCATGTTGCCTCTGCTCCTGGCAAACTAACCAATCGATATTTCCCGTTCTGCACTTGAAAAAGCCCCAATGATAGCAGCTCAAGCTGGGCGCACAAAAGGGGGCCAACATCCGCTGCTCTCTTTGATTGTTTAATTTTTCAAATACATTCTCAAATTTGATAACGTTTCGAAGACTTTAACTCGGACACATTTCAGTGTGAACAGTGTGTGGGAGAAGTAAATCAAATTTGATGTTTAAACTTAAATTGTTTAGGTTGAATTATTTTTTAAAGCCTTATATTTGGTGTAGTAGTATTCTACAATGCACCCGATAAACTTAAGATCTTAACAGTTAGCCCTTTGCTAAGGATATATATCCTAGATCTACACCCCTTCTCCTGAAAACCACCCCAAACCCATGCGGGGGGTCCGAGGTCACCATCTCGCTTTGTTTTGCCGCTTGTGGGCAGCCTTCGTGGGTTCAAGTTCAAGTGCGCCGAGCTTGCCCCTTCATAATTGCCGTGACTTGTGCAACAACAGAGGGGTAAGCGACGAGGGGGCGGTAGGCGTGACAGGGGCAGGAGGTGGATATGGGACTGGGACTGGAACTGGCCCCATGATGATGACGAAGGTCCCATGTCTCGCCTTGGGGGCCCGGCCCAGGGAAATTTAACTTTCGCATAAAAATGTCAAAAAAGGAAAATTATGAAATGCCAAAAGGCGGAAAACGCTGTCGGCGCACTGTTCACAAAAAAATGGGGAAAAAAAAGAAACGAACAGGAAAACTAGAATGCAGCTTCTGCTTCACCCACCCCGCACTGCACATTCCCAAGGTCGTTAAATGCAACACCCGCCACCCCCAGCGCCAACTGCGCTGCCCCAACGTTCTCATCAAGTGTAAACAAGCGGGCGACGGCAGAAGCTCGAAAACATTTTCACACTCGAATTGACCAAACACAAACAAGGCAAAGAGTGATGGCCAAGGGGGTCTTGGGGAAATGTGGAAATGCGGAGAAGTGGAGAAGGAGTTCAGCTCCCCTCCTCATTTTTGGTTTGTTTTTAGTTGCTTTTTTTCGCTCTTTCACGTATCCGACCCGTTGCACTTTAATTATTCATTTGCTGCTTTATTAAAAGGGCTTTCACTTTGCTCGCCGGCAGCTCTATGTGTGTGCCTCGAAACTTAAAGGTGGAAACCCTGCTAAAGGTGAATTACATGGAAATAAAAGAGCATTAGGGGGTTTATAAATTCACTCTTTGGGGCTTATGTCCACTCCAAAGTAGTTTTTATTAGCTTAGAACCCTTAAGTGCTTTTAAATACAATGAAGGAATATTTATAAGCAATATTTATTATAAAATAAAATCCTATGGCAACTATATAAATATATGTATAAGTACATATATAGTCCACCGATTCGCCTTGCTCCGATTTATATCCCAGTAAAATGGTATAAAAGAATACCTCGATAGTTTCATTAAATTTGTTCCAAAACAACTCTTGCACATCTGTTCTTATGATTCCCAACATGTTCTAACATCCCCGGAACGAAGTGACGGCTGCCGGCCAAGTAACAGAAATGTGTTGTGTTTCAAAAGTTGCAAGTCATTGTTTATTAGTGTTCATAGATACTTACTGGACATTGATACTTACTCATCAGAGTTAATCACTGATCATAGTTACTTACTGGTGATAGATACTTACTGATCCGAGTTAATCATTGATCATAGTTACTTACCGGTCATAGCTTTTTACTGGCCATAGTTACTTAATGTTCATTGATATATACTTATCATAGTTTTATAAATCGTCCGATCGTTCCTATGGCAGTTATATATATGTATATATATTGTCCACCGATTCCCCATGCTCCGACTTATACACTGGTAAAATTATATAGAAGAATTTCTCCATAGTTTCATTTAAATAGCTTGCTCTTTGTTCCAAATCGAATCTACATCATCTGTTCATATGATTCCCAACTAGTTCTAACATCTCCGGAACGAAGTGACGGCTGCCGGCCAAGTAACAGAAATGTGTTGTGTTTCAAAAGTTGCAAGTCATTGTTTATTAGTGTTCATAGATACTTACTGGACATTGATACTTACTCATCAGAGTTAATCACTGATCATAGTTACTTACTGGTGATAGATACTTACTGATCCGAGTTAATCACTGATCATAGTTACTTACTGGTCATAGCTTTTTACTGGCCATAGTTACTTAATGTTGATTGATATATACTTATCATAGTTTTATAAATCGTCCGATCGTTCCTATGGCAGTTATATATATGTATATATATTGTCCACCGATTCCCCATGCTCCGACTTATACACTGGTAAAATTATATAGAAGAATTTCTCCATAGTTTCATTTAAATAGCTTGCTCTTTGTTCCAAATCGAATCTACATCATCTGTTCATATGATTCCCAACTAGTTCTAACATCTCCGGAACGAAGTGACGGCTGCCGGCCAAGTAACAGAAATGTGTTGTGTTTCAAAAGTTGCAAGTCATTGTTTATTAGTGTTCATAGATACTTACTGGACATTGATACTTACTCATCAGAGTTAATCACTGATCATAGTTACTTACTGGTGATAGATACTTACTGATCCGAGTTAATCATTGATCATAGTTACTTACTGGTCATAGCTACTTACTGGCCATAGTTACTTAATGTTCATTGATATATACTTATCATAGTTTTATAAATCGTCCGATCGTTCCTATAGCAGTTATATATATGTATATATATTGTCCACCGATTCCCCATGCTCCGACTTATACACTGGTAAAATTATATAGAAGAATTTCTCCATAGTTTCATTTAAATAGCTTGCTCTTTGTTCCAAATCGAATCTACATCATCTGTTCATATGATTCCCAACTAGTTCTAACATCTCCGGAACGAAGTGACGGCTGCCGGCCAAGTAACAGAAATGTGTTGTGTTTCAAAAGTTGCAAGTCATTGTTTATTAGTGTTCATAGATACTTACTGGACATTGATACTTACTCATCAGAGTTAATCACTGATCATAGTTACTTACTGGTGATAGATACTTACTGATCCGAGTTAATCACTGATCATAGTTACTTACTGGTCATAGCTTTTTACTGGCCATAGTTACTTAATGTTGATTGATATATACTTATCATAGTTTTATAAATCGTCCGATCGTTCCTATAGCAGTTATATATATGTATATATATTGTCCACCGATTCGCCATGCTCCGACTTATACAGTAGTAAAATTATATAGAAGAATTTCTCCATAGTTTCATTTAAATAGCTTGCTCTTTGTTCCAAAACGAATCTACATCATCTGTACATATGATTCCCAACTAGTTCTAACATCCCCGGAACGAAGTGACGGCTGCCGGCCAAGTAACAGAAATGTGTTGTGTTTCAAAAGTTGCAAGTCATTGTTTATTAGTGTTCATAGATACTTACTGGACATTGATACTTACTCATCAGAGTTAATCACTGATCATAGTTACTTACTGGTGATAGATACTTACTGATCCGAGTTAATCATTGATCATAGTTACTTACTGGTCATAGCTACTTACTGGGCATAGTTACTTAATGTTCATTGATATATATTTATCATAGTTTTATAAATCGTCCGATCGTTCCTATGGCAGTTATATATATATGTATATATATTGTCCACCGATTCGCCATGCTCCGACTTATACAGTGGTAAAATTATATAGAAGAATTTCTCCATAGTTTCATTTAAATAGCTTTCTCTTTGTTCCAAAACGAATCTCCCTCATCTGTACATATGATTCCCAACTAGTTCTAACATCCCCGGAACGAAGTGACGGCTGCCGGCCAAGTAACAGATATGTGCTGTGTTTAAAAAGTTGCAAGTCATTGTTTATTATCATAGTGTTCATAGATACTTACTGGGCATTAATACTTACTGGCCTTTGATACTTACTGGTCATAGATTTTTCCTGGTCAAAGTTACTTACTGTCCATTGATTCTTACTAATCAGAGTTAATTACTGATCATAGTTACTTACTGGTCAAAGCTTCTTACTGGTCATAGCTACTTACTGGTAATAGTTACTTAATATTCATTGATACTTACTTATCATAGTTAATAACTGCTCATAGTTACTTAATGGGCATAGTTAATTACTGATCACAGCTCCTATTTGTCATGAAACTTTTTATCTTTTTAATTTCTTAATCTATTTTCCCTAATGTCACACATGGCGTATACTTAATTTAAGGTTTTTCACGTTAAGTATACGCCATGTGTGCTAGATTTATCTTAAATCGAAGACTATTTTTATACCCTTGCAGTGTTCCGATTTCCGATCCTATAATCATATATATTCTTGAACAGCATCAACTGCTGAGTCGATTTAGCTATATTTTAAAGAAACACGTTTTTTTAATTTGTTCGATTTTTTCAAATAATGGAAAGGGGTTACATCGTTAGAATTGTCAAAAATTGCAAAGAATTAAAATTTTTTATCAAAAACCATTCGTATGATAAGCAACTTGTAATTGTATAGTAAATTTTAAAAAACAATATTGTCTTTTTGCAATTCCCATTTAAATTATAGATTTTGTTTTTAACTCAGCACTTTAAAGTACTATTTTAAGAGACCAAAATTAAATACAATTAAATACAATAATTAAACTAAAGTCGCCGATGAAATGCATTCAACTGTAAATTTCAAACATTATCGCACAAGCGATTGGGCAAACATTTGTTTACAATTTCCCAACAAAATATTCCCGCCCAAAAAGCAGATAATACAAGCGTGCTTTTCAATCAAGTCGCTTACATACATTTCAGCCAGAAGTTGGTCAAAGTTTACTGTTCAGTTGGCCAGAATACGCCCATCCACCCCCACCCTCACTTACACCCCTCCGCCTTTATTTACCGAGCCGAAATGCCAACTGTTTGTGCAGAATCCCGCTCCTACGTGCCCAGAATAGTCGGATTGCTTGGATCTCAGGCTGAGGAAAATAAATAGATTTCTCTGTGAGCCAGCCCTAAAACGCTTTCAGCTTCGACTGACCGTTGCAATGCAAAACTTTGCCAACACTTTTCACGCTTTTTCAATGGAAACTTTAGCGCTTCCGCCTGCCACCTGCCACCTGCCACCTGCCGCCTCTCGATTCCCATTGTCAGGGCTGTGAATTGTGCAGGTTGTGTTTTCAACTATTTCCCAAAAAGTTCGCACAAAGCTAAATGTTTATTTGTACTGCAGTTAGTTTCGGGGCCCTGTTTGTTTCCCATTTTTTTTCCAGTTTTTTTGTTTTGTAATTTTTTTTTTATGTTTGTCGCCACCGAATCGCATTCTTGGGCCCTGCCCCGGGGCATTGCTGGAATCATTAGGAACTATTTGCTAAGCAAATGCCACCGACGGCCACTGGGAGTGGGCTGGCATAGTTAAAGGGCGGAATGCTGGACCGCAGGAAAGTGGGAGGGATGGGAGAACTGAGAACCAGGCCAGGGGCAACCTTGCTCGAAATGGCAATGGGAATTGGGCTCTGTGGTTTGGCAAGAGACTGGCCATTGTTTCTCCTCAATTCTGCGGAAAGTTTTCACTAGGATTCACTACAGTTTTCATGATGGAATTCCCTGGGTTTTTCCCCCATGATGCAGCTGACTTATTGCCATTTTCACAGGTCATCATTAGCACATTGCCAGCCCCATGGGCACACTCACTCGGTTAAATACACATTTGACTGCCTAATTACGAGGCGCTGTCAACGAATTGCCTTGCAAAAACACCGGCATCAGCCAAGAGCAAGAAAATGGCACTAAAAACGTGACCAGGCAAACACTTAAAGCGGTGTGGAAAAGCGGACGCAGCCTCTTACAGCTCATCTCGTCGTCTCAACCTCACATCATCACATATCCCATCACAAGCTGTTATGACCACTACAGCAAGTCTGACAGTTGTTCCATAAACCCTATATATGCCTGTATATATATGTATATATATATATATATATATATGGGTAAGGGAGGGTGCTCTTGTGGTGTGTGAGGAGATGGACCAGCATCAAGTGCCATTGACGGCGCGTCATTTTCTTGAGCACTCATTTATCCTCGGCTAGGGGCACACCAGCGTCTAAAAACGAGCGTGACTGTGATTTTAATTAACGTAACGGAAATTACAAAATGGGAAAACCGATACACAGTCTATTAAACTGGGATTAAGTGGAAATTAGCTTGGCTAAGAGCAAAATAAAGGAAAAATCTCTGATTTAAGTAAAGCGAATTTGTAAACAATATTGTAAATAAGGTTTCTATGACCTAGAATAATATTAATTTCCATGAATCAGCTAACAAAATAAACCAGCAAAAGGTGTTGTAAACATTTATGCTCATAATAAGCTTGTAATTTAATTAGAGAGCCATGTATAATTTGTTAAAATATATAACTACCGCTTTCAGTAATTGTGTGTAGGTTTTCACGGAAATAAAAGCTGTTTTCCCTCCAACGGAAGTCTATGAAAAAGTCGAGAATGATTTCTAATTGGCTAATGCAAACTGCAAATATATTTATCAGATTTATTCAGTGCTAGTATATAGGGTAAATATAAAAGTAAAAGAACGTAAAAGAGCTTCCCACGCGAGAAAGAAAGACCTAAAACATTTATAAGCTCTCATTAAACCTTCGCGTTTCCTAAGCCAATCTAAATATATATAGACAAATTATATTACCAACAACTTGCCTAAGCCTTTCAACTACTTGACCTTTTCACATTGCCATAATTTAGACTAAATCCAGGTCACGGCAGTTAATCATTAAGGCTGTCATTTTTATACCCTTGCAGGGCATTATAGTTTCATTCAGAAGCTTGTAACACAGTGAAGGAGTCATTTCCGACCCTATAATCCATATATATTATTGATCAGCATTAACAGCTGAGTCGATCTAGCCATCTCCGGTTGAAAAATAAATTTTCGGATTTTTTTCAAAATTTGAAATTTTTATAAGGGGTTACATCATTAAAATTGGCAAAAAAAAGTATAATTTTTAAAATTTTAAATAAAGTATGCAGATTTATTAGCCTTACAAAAACTTGCATAGGACAGCTTTCAGAACTAAAATTAATGCTTTTTTGGCTTAGTTATGAGTTTTTTAAACCTTGATTTTAGCCAAAAAATATTTATATAAATTTATTTATAAATATCGATGCAAATGCGAGTATTTTACGATTTCCGATTCTATCTTTTAATTAAACTGTAAAGTGCAAGGGTATTTAAACTCCGGCTTCTCGGAGTTAGTTTCATTTCTTGATTCATATTTTATTAAACATTCTTGGCCAGCTGTGACAGTTGGCAGTTGGCCAATGCCATGTTACCTGAATCTATATACTGGAGGAACCATATTTTTTGTATATTCCACAGCAGGAGAAAGATCAGGGTTCTCCGTCACTGACCTGCCACCAGCAATCATGGGGCAGAGCAGCAAGTCAGGAGCTGGCGGCGGAGGAGGAGGTGGTGTGGTGTGTCCTTCAACAGCGATCAGTATTGGTGGCTGTGCCTCCGGAACGGCACTAATTTCACTGGACGCCACTGGACCGGGCGGAGGCGGGGAAACGGAGCACGAGCGTGGAACCTGGACAGGACGCTTTGATTTCCTGCTGTCACTGCTGGGATATTCAGTGGGTCTGGGAAACGTTTGGCGGTTTCCCTATCTGTGCTACAATAATGGAGGAGGTGGGCTATTCGTCTTATATTACTTATAACATTTCATTTATCAAACTTATGCGTATCTTATACCCCCACAGGAGCCTTCCTTATACCCTTCACCATCATGCTGGTGATTGCCGGCCTTCCGCTGATGTTCATGGAGCTATCCTTTGGGCAGTATGCTGCCCTGGGCCCGGTGGCTGTTTTCCGAAGGTTCTGCCCCCTGTTCCGCGGATTGGGAACGGGCATGATCCTCGTCTCGGCCATTGTTATGCTCTACTACAACCTAATCATTGCCTGGACCATCTTCTACATGTTCGCCTCGTTTGCCACCAAGCTGCCGTGGCAGAACTGCGAACCCGCCTGGAGCACCAAGTGTGAGTATTCCCCCGGGGGACAGGCTAAGGCTAAGAAGGTTAAGGCTAATATGATGGCACCAATTAATTAATAGGCCAAGACACACTCAAGGTGAGGGGAGTGCGCCAGATTCACATCTTTTTGTTACGTTTGTTACGTTTTTTTTCGGGTAATAAATTAGGCAAATTGCAAGCTGTCAAAAGTGGAATTTTATTTTGCTATTCTCCGACCGTTTTGTTTTTGTTTTCCTCCGTTTTTCTTTTTCTGTTGGCGGCACGTGGCCCGGTTGGGAAAACACATGGCCGCGGGTGGGGGTAGGTGGAAATGGTATCTTGTGTAACCGTTAGACCCCTGGGAGAATTAAGGACACACACACAATCCGAAGTAAACTTTCAAGGAAACTTGCAAATCATTGCAAATAAAATTTAAATAACACAATATCAAAATAGTTGAAGTTGGCATAATTCGATGGGGATCAAAAATACATCACTCATTCGATGCTGCCCCGGGGACACATCCTCCTCCATCGACTTGCCGCACACGCAAACAATAAAAACAATAAAAAAAATATGTGTAAACTTTTACCGAGAATTATAATAACAAGCTGGATGGAAGGTTCCTGGAAACAAGGAGCAATGGCAATGGAACGAACCATAACGCAGAGGGAAATCCAGCGGCGCCTTGAAGTAGGCAATTGTTTTCGTGCCTCGCCTCGCTTGACATTGTAAGGTGAGAGAGAGAGCGAGCCTTCCGTTTGTGTCTCTCTGTCTCTGTGTGTGTGTGTGTGTGATCCTGGGATATAGTGTGCCATTGACTTCCTTATTTCTTCCTTATTTCCCACATCTGAAAAACCGAGACACTTTAAAATTGCCCACCACGCGAAGCACATAAATCTTTAACGAGCATCGAACGCCAACTGAGCCAAGAGATGCTGTTGGACGTGGCTGGTGGGCGGAAAAGCAAGACAAAGTTCGGTATGTAGGTCAGGGAATGATGAAAACTTTGCAAATTTCTTCATTGTTATCAAATAGCTTACTTTATAGACCCGGATATTAAAAGTGAGACAAGGTTTGGCTTAGAAAATGAGTTTGGGAGTTTCTTCATAAAAATCAAATATTAAAACTTAAATCCATCTTTGATTAGTGATTTTAATCCTCTGCCTTGCAGATTTTTAACTATATCAATTCTTTAGAGAAATAAATTTTGTATGTTGAGAACATTTTTATTTGTCAATTTTGAGTGGTATTATTAGTATAAGGTTTCCCTTGTAGAGCTAGGATAATATTCAAATCAATATATATAAATGTAAAACTAATAAACTAGGTAAAAACTCCTTAAACTTTATTTATATCTGTCTTTATATTTACTTAAATTGTTATAAAGAGAATATGTAAACTTGGCTTTATTTTGGCTTCCTTCTGTCTCTTTTAAGGAGTATTTTTTATTGTTTTTTTCTGTTGTCATGTTTAGCTTATTTTATGACGGCCGCCTTGGAAGCACTCAAACACACAACCTACACCCACTCAGGCCACACACACACACACACACACATACGCGCGTTTTCTCAAGTGGCTGGGTGTATATTCCTGGCAGCAACAACAAGAACAACGGCGTGAACGAGCAGCATCGTCGAATGCCATTGAAAGTTTTGCATGAGACACAGACCCACTTTGCCCAGGGGTATATCCTAGGGGGGTCAGCAGGGACTCTAGATAATTGCAAGACTTGTTTGGCTTCTAAAACCCAAGAATATCTCAATGTTTCAAGCTAAATCTAGGCTTTCACATGATACACAATTGAAATAGGTTCCAATTGAAACCCCTCTCGCCTGAACCTCAAAACTCAGCCACTGCCTTCGCTGGCACATGGCTATGATTTAATACGAGGAGGACGCCTAGTGAGCCAGCATCTCGGCCAGGGACTTGGAAATGAAATCAGACTTAGACAGAGGTCGCAGGTTGCTTGGCATTTCCGCTATTTTTGTGGGAGCCCCACAGAAATCGATAGGGGGATACACAGGGAGATGCCTTTTCCTCATATTTCACCTTCTGGCGGGGCGGCAGCATACGAGGACGAGGCGGCAGCTTGAAATTGTTAAAATGACAAACAATTATGTCTTAACTGTTTTTGACACTCAATCGCTGGGAGAGGAACAAGCAACCTTGGGACAGGCTTTTCCATAAGCCCTTAAGATACAAAGCGAGCGAGAGGAAAGTTGAGTACGATGCGGAGGAAAATGTCTATATGTATGAGGAGAGCGGGCGAGCGGCAGACAAGCAATTTCTTAAGGATTTTATTTATTGACACTTTTCGATTCGCCCTCGGATTTCGACAGGCAGCATCTCTGACCTCGTGCTCTCGTCGCCTTTGTCCTCGTCTGCCCGGCTCTGTTTCTGGTTCTGTTTCTGCCCCTAGATGACAAATGTTTACTTTTAGTGTCACGATTAAAATGTGTTTAACTCTGTTTGCCTATTGATTGAATATCGCACACTTACACTTACTCTTACATGTTTATGTTTCTCCGAGTAAATATTTGGATGGATTTTTCATGTGCCTAATAACGTGCCCCTGGATACTCGCAATTTATTTATTAGGCACGTAAACTTGGCTAAACTTTGGGGAAAACTGAACTGTCAACAACTGAAATTTGAGACTCATATAACCGACCAACCTTCCGCATTTCTTTCATACACAACCCGGGGCCCTCATCGCAATCTGCTCGTCATCAAAGTTTGCCATCAAACTTAAAGGTCACAAAATTTAAGGCCAATTTCCTGGGCCAGCCAGGCGGGCGTAGCTTTCAAATTGAATAAGAAACTGGAGGGTGTGTGCCTGGTGTATCCTTTCGCCTGTAGGACATTCCACACACATAGATTTATTTAAACCCGAATTTGTTGTTAGGCAGTCGGCATCGTAGTCGTCCTTTTTCTTTTATTTTTGCTCGTTGCTTTTCCCATTGAAATAAAATGTATTTTATATGATTCGCATCTACGGGCGTGTGTGCCTGTGTCTGTGTAATCAAATTAATTGCAATACAAACAGATGCAGACAGGCAAATTAAACGGCATGTAAACACTTTGAAGTTTCCGAACACAACCCATCAGAACCCGAACCAAACCAACCCTCACCGACAGCCCATCCATCCAACCAACCACAAGGAATTGTTCTCAAATTTATATCCATTTTCCGCGTTGGCAAATGAAGCTGATGAATTGCTCTGACAAATGTGCGTGTGAGCGATCGAAATGTGGCCTTAATTCCGGTTCAGAGCTCGGTCTATAATTACCAAGGTTTTATTTGCGGAAAGCGGCAACACGGCGTATGGGTAATGTCTATTGACACACATTACCCATACGCCGCGTTGCCGCTCGTAAATTGTATTTTTTTTATAGAAATGATTGATTTGACTTGAACTTGACTTTGAAATTACATTTTAGTCTACACATCTTGGCAGGTAAATTGCCAAAATAAGGTGATGCCAACATTAATGTCCTGCGGCGATATTCGTCCCTTATGCACATGTCAGTTGAACTCAACAGTTATTAGTCATTTCATGCTTGTTATTTTTTATTTTTTTTTGTGGAAAACTTTGCCTGTACTCACTCAGCACACTCAGAAGTCTGGATGTCATAAGCAGAGTTGCAATGTAACTTGGTTAAAGCCAAGGTAAACTGAAATTGCGGTTGGTTAGAGACCAAGTTGGTCCTTCCAATAGAGCAAGAGAGTCGAAGAAATGAGGTCTCATTAGAGAAATTCAAATAAAAATCCTGTCAGGAGAAATTCCAGCAGCATCTTTCCCGGGAAAAAAAAACTGGGAACCCCAAACAGATTGCTTTGCTATTGACCTTTCACCTCCTCCAGCAAGTCCCGACTTTCCCACTCAACTTACAAAGCTGGGCCAAGACCAGGAACCTTTTGTGCAACCCTTTAACCAAGAGCTTTGGCCCAGCCAGACCCTTTTTTATTTGCCGCACATTGTTGTCCGGACTTGCCCCTTTTATGCTCTGCTGTGATTTGCTACTTTGTCCTTTTAATTATGTAGCCGGACGGACGGACACACACAAACCCAGAGACACAGACCGACAGGCCCCCAGAAACGAACCGACAAATAGTTCATAAATATTAAAATGCTCTTCTGGCCTTTTATACATACATAATTGAGAGGGAGTGCCACCGACAAGTGCAGCAGCTCGTCGTCGCCCTTTTTTCCAACTTGCTGACAGCCTAAGTCTCTTGCAGATTGCTTCTCCTACGCCCAGGCGGATCAGTGCGAGGCCACCAATGGCACCTACTACCTGCGCACCTGCCACAATGCCACCTCTGCGGCGGAGAACAACATCACGGCGCTGGCCCTTACCGCCCTGAAGCGCCCACCCGCCGAGGAGTACTTCAAGTGAGTTCCGTCCATCCGAGAAGAAGTTACCAGTCAAGAATCTTTTGCTAAACCATTCTTAAACTAAGCATTAATATTTTAGAACCATTTTGCTTAATTTTCCTTATCAATTGATTGGATTCCTGATCTTATTTCTCCCAGTCTATGCTTTAATTTCGATTTAAACTTCCATTTTGCAGCAACTTTGTGCTAGGCCTGTCCAAGGGCATCGAGGAGACGGGCAGCATTAAGCTGTCACTGGCCGCCTGCCTCTTCCTGGCCTGGGCGATTGTGTTCCTCTGCTTGTGTAAGGGTGTTCAGTCCTCCGGCAAGGTGGTTTACTTCACAGCCTTGTTCCCCTACGTTGTCCTTGTAATACTCTTTGTCCGTGGAGTGACCCTGCCGGGCGCCAGCACGGGCATTATCTTTTACCTAACGCCCGACTGGAAGCAGTTGGCCAATGCTCAGGTGGGTCTCACAATGGGGAATAAGCAAGTCATTGTCCTAATGTCCTAATGTCATAATTTCCTTATCAATCCAACGACAGGTGTGGGGCGATGCAGCTGTCCAGATATTCTTCGCCTTGAGCCCGGCCTGGGGAGGTTTAATCACACTCTCCTCCTATAACAAGTTCTCCAACAACTGCTACAAGTGAGTCACTATTATAAGTTTATATATACTTTACCCCATATTAATCATTTGCATTTCAATCCTTTTCAGGGACTCGCTGATTGTGGCCTTCTGCAACATTGCCACCTCGTTCTTCGCCGGTCTGGTGATCTTCTCGATTATTGGCTTCCTGGCCCATGAGCTCAATGTGGACGTGGAGAAGGTGGTGGACCAGGGTGCTGGCCTGGCCTTCATTGTCTACCCGGAGGTGGTCACTCGGCTGCCCATCTCCCCTGTCTGGGCGGTACTGTTCTTCGTGATGCTGCTCACCCTGGGACTGGACTCACAGTTTGCTCTGATGGAGACCGTAACCACTGCCATATTGGATAGGTTCCCCAACCTGAGGCAGTACAAGATCTGGGTGGTTCTCTCGGTGGCCATTTTTGGGTATATCGGAGGCCTGGGCTTTACCACAAACGTAAGTGGTTTTTAAACCATAAGAACATTAACTAGTCAATTACTCCCTTTAGAGCGGCATGTACTGGCTGCAATTAATGGACAAATATGCTGCCAATTGGTCGGTTCTATTGATTGCCATTTCGGAGTGCATTCTGATTGCCTGGATCTATGGATCACAGCGATTCCTTAACGACATTCAGGGAATGATTGGCAAGCGATCCTGGTTCTGGAACTTCTTCTGGGGCATCATGTGGCGGTATATCACCCCAGCTACCCTTCTGGTGAGTTGATGCCTTCAAAACTAAATCAGAATAGCAAATACAGACATTACTACATTCTCCTTGCAGTTCATTCTGTTCTTCAACTGGGTGGAATACAAGCCGGCCAAGTATGGACACTATGTGTACCCTCTGTGGGCCGATACTGTGGGCTGGATCATTGGCCTACTGCCTGTCTGTGTCATATTCCTTGTGGCCTTTCACGAGATCTGGCGGGCGCCAAAGAATCTCAGCTTTAGGGAGCGAATCAAGTATCTGCTGAAGCCCACCGCCGAGTGGGGGCCAGCGGGTAGACCCTGCGTCAACCTTCACGCCGAGCGGTATCAGAGCCAGAACTACGACGGTGTGACCAACAACCAGATTCTCATTGAGCACGATCCCCCGCCCAAGCTAATGGAGACGAGCAAGAAGGAGAGCAAGTTGACCATCGATGTGGATGTGGATGTTGAGTGCCTGCCATTGGCTACAGTGGGCAAGCGACCAGGTCCTGGCCTACCCAAGACGATGGGCAAACAAATCAGTAGTGGCAGCCTGCAGGCAAATACAAAGAACGGCACCCATAAATCACCCACCGAAGTCAGTCCCAGCAAGCAGCCACTTATACCGACCGAAAAGGAAGCTAAGCCAACGGGCAAAAAGGATGCTGAGGCAACCACAAAGGTCCTGGCAGCGGGAACCCAGAGCAGCGGACGTGAGTGCACCGCCATGTCCACGTTTGCGGGCGGCGGAGAGAAGAACCCCACGAAAGTCAATTCGCCGGCAAAAGCCACGACGGTGACCACAGCAACACCAGCACTTGATGCAGCTCCCGTGAGTCAGGCCAAGAAGCCATCGTCCGCCGGCGTTGCCACTGCCACTTTGGTCACCATAGCGCCAGGTCAAACTCCTGCAGGAGCTGGAGCCAAAAGCAAGACAACAGTGTCAAGTGGTGCCTCAAACGGCAAAGCTCCGCTGCCATTGGCCCATATTGCAGCTCCACCTAAGGACACAATTACACCAATCAAACCGACAATATCGACAGCAGCGACAACATCAACAGTTGGCATTGCAGCTGGAGCCAAGCCGACTGTTAGCATTGCTGCCATTAAGGACACGAAGTCGGCAAACACAGACCCGACAAAAGTGTCACCAGCTACAAAAATCACACCATCAGCGACTGGCGCCGTCAAAAACATACCGGCAGCTGCTCCGACTAAAGTAAATGTTGACTCTGGCAAAAAGCCAACTGCTCCGCTATCCACGTTCAAGCCAGAAGCAAAGTCAGATGCAACAGCACCAGCAACATTCGTGGCCAAGGCAGCAACAGTTAGTGTAAGTGTGACAAATGGCAAAGTAAGTGCCAGTGTAGCAGAGATGCAAGCTGCAGTAAGTATCACAGCAGCCAAACAGCCAGGAGCGAGTGTTGCCAATGGAGCAGCAAGGTCACAGCCAGCAACAGTTGCAACAACAGTTGCAGCAACATCTTCAAAGACTCCAACAAAAGCCACGCCGCCTTCATCGACAGCCACGACCAGTGGCAAGACAGTGGTTGGATCATCGGCTACGGATAAGGGGGCAGCTAGCAGCAGCAGCAGCATCACAGCCAAAACGACGAAAGCTGGCAAAACAAAACCAGGTGAAATCAGCCCAACCAAGGCATCTTCGAAGTCACCAGCCATCAAAGCCGGCGGAACAACAAGCCCCACAAAAGCAGCTGCCACCAGTAAGGTGGCATTAGGTGGCACCCCGGCTCCAGCTGGTCTTGGTAAGACAGCAGCCAAGACATCAGCAGCAACTCCTCCAGCGACACCGGCATCCAGTGGCAGCAAGAAAGCAGCACCAGCAACCAGCTCCTCCAAGACGACTGCAACATCGGGCAGTCAGGCCAAAACGAAAGCCAATTCATCGGCGGCAACTAAGAAGTAATAGGACCTAAAGTCAGGTTGGTCGTAGTTCCCAGTATCGACAACTATTTTTATAAGAATATATATAAATATATATATATATGTGTATGTGTGTGTACCTAGCGAGCTAGGCCAACAATTGCTCTTGGCCCAAAAGAACCCAACTTAAGATGTAAATGTAAAACAAGTTAAACTAGGCGAAGGCACATAACACGCAATGTTTTTATAGATATTTAATAATTAATATTTAATTTGGAGTGGCATGGCGAGAGCGCGAAAAGGAGAAACCTTCATGTTTCCTATGCAAAAGTACCTATTTTATCAGTCATCAGTGTGCGATAGCTGTTCCTTAGTACCTAATTTCTATAAGCCACTCAAGATGGATTGCATTGATGATGCTAACGATGTTTATGATGAAGATGATGATGATGGATGAAAGACTCGATTGTAATTACCGAAAAAGTTAACGTAGGACTTAGTGCAGGATCGGAACGGGAACCGGAACCGGAAACTTCTCTCAGGCCCAGTTCCTGGTGTTTGTTTATCTTTTGTGTGTGTAATATCCTCCATGGATGATCCCTGTGAGCCCCGCAATTCGAGAGCAATGTTGAAAGTGCAATGGAAAACGTTGAGTTTTAAAAATATATAAATTTATATACAAATATACACAAGTATTACTATTTATACGAGTGACGACAAGTCATTTAATTGGGTTTGTTTTTCTACTACAAGTACTTTTAAGACTACTTTGGAGGGACAGAAGTATCGAGTGACGAGTGGGAATTTTACGTTTTATAAATGCATACATTTGTTTATATATTTAGAACCGTTTACATCACCGACCCCGAAACTAGAGCCCAAAGAATATTTATATATACGAGTATATATCCCTCAATCTGTAAATGTGTCGATGTGCTCACTGTAATCTATGTTTTCTATGCTAACGAGAGACTCATGTACCTAAATGTTAATCAAGTTGCATCAAATCCCCCGATTTGTGTGCATTTGTATAGTTAAGACAAAAAGTATTTAGAAGTGTTTTATGTATGTGGACTAGACCGATAATGATAATGATAATGCTCATGAGAAAACCAAAAAACAATAATTAAAAGTATATTTCTAGAATTTATATAACCATTGTTGTGTATTCATGTTGAGAATAAATTAAACTTATATAAATATATTAAAATATACAAAAATAGAACAAATATAATATTCGTAACTATTTATATGTGTTTGTACCTGTAGTTAGTTGAGAAAATGAATATACCACAAATTAATCAAGTATTTACCCTGCAATATATTGACATATTTTTGTAATTTGCTATAATTTACTGATTCATTTCCACGTTACATTTTTATGACAAAATTCAAAATTAATGGATTAAATTAAGAATATTGCCGACCCGCAACTTTTATTTTAACCCCCGAAAATGTGTGATAAATAATTTGCTTCGGCGCGAAATAATTTTCAATTTGTGTCAAACATACATTAGGCGTAAGTAAAATTGGAAACAGGAATATATGTATATATATATTGATATACACGTTGTTGTAATTTGAGTTTGTTGTTGTTGATGTTTGTTTAGCGCAGTAGCTGTGACACAAGCCTACATACATACATACATATGTACCTAGAGCCTAGAAAACCTAGAACCCTAATTCGGATAGATATCTATCTATATGAAGTATTTAAACAAACCATCGATGTTGCATGTTTGTTAGTTGAACTGGATGTGTGTACCTGTCAAAGTGAAAGAGGCAAGGAGTAACCTAAGCGGATTTATCAGAATAATACGATTAAGCAAATGTGTAATGGCTGTTCAACAAAGATACTACACGAAACATTTCGGACGAATGTTAATCAAAGTAATGCCGCAATTTGCTCAAACCTAACCTTAAGTCACCGAAAACCATAAACTGTCAATTCAGACAAGGTAATTTTAGTTCTAAAATAAAAAAGCTTGCCCCCAAACGACGGCACTTTATAATGTAGTGAAGTAAGTGGAGTTTACTTTAAACATTTAACAGAGGAGCTTCAAATTTTATATGAGACTTTGGGATGCCAACGGAATAGAGAAATGTTTAAAAGCAACTCGATAGCGCTAGAAAAATAATCAAATAACTGCAACACTCATATCCTTGAGGCCCTCGACGACCGATCAAAACCGTATAACCCACCCAACTCAATGTACACAGAATAAGCAGATCATCAACAATAAATATTAGCAGGAGGACGAGCGAAATACCTAAAAAATAATAAGCAGGACCCCCTGGCATGTACTCAGCAAATAAATAAAGTAAATATTTAAGACTAGTTAACCGAACACTAAACACAAAAAATGCTTTTCAATTGTGTATTAGTAAAGTGCTTCAAATCATGAACTATTATTTAACAAGTATTCTGTTCATATTAAAATCAAAAGTTCTTTGCTGGGTTATATATAAAATGAGAAAAGCTATACTCAGACGACTTTGTGAACTGTTGCACACTTATTTAGCAGAATAATGCAAAATCAAAATGATAAACACAATATAATACCGGTCGAACTATTCATAAATTATCGTACTAAAATAAATGTATAAAATTTTTGCTGTTCTGGTAATCAAAAATATATGTTATATCAAGTCTTAAGTGTAAGCAAGAAAGTATTACACATATTCCGAAAATGCCAAACTTAAAAGAGTAATCGTGAATAATAATTATGTTAAAATGTAACATTAAGCAAGGAAAACCATATTCATGAATAAATATTTATGGGTTTTAACAAAAACTATTCACTAAACGGGGTGTCATTTTTAAATCTGGAAAAAATAAAATATTAAAAAATATGGAGGGAAACAAGGATGATAGTTTTCTCACGGATTTGATAACCGTTATGAGCACCGAAGGCGTAATTCCCACCAATTCGTTCTGCCTCCTCATGCATATACGGCATTAACTATACAATTTAATTAATCCGGCCAAAATGAGGGGCTTTTTTCTAATTTAAATTTTATATAATCTTTCTTAGCGCTGGTCGGATTTGAACCCACGGATATTTCAAACGACGACCGACCAACGCTCAGCTCCACGGAGTCTCTCTCAGCCTTTGGGACAAAGATACAACCTGCTTATCGACGTGTACTGCTTTATCGACTATATTCTACATTATATTACATTCGCAATATGGCACTGCTTTAATTACATCTTGCTGGTTTTCTTAAAAGTTTTTAAACACCTTTTTCAGAAAGAACAATATTTTCTCCAATATAGGGATGTATCAACATTTTTTAAGAAAATAAAAAAAATTTTAAAAATGTAATACTTGTTTATATGTTTTTATAAAGTAGTGTGTGACAAGTAAATTTAAATGTAAATCAATTTGTTCTGCCTGCATTATTTTTTAACACGAACTCAATCCCAACTTGGTCAAATATCACTCTAAACTGAAGATCAACGCTAGAATGCTGCTTCAAACTTGTGTTATTTCAATTTTACTAACTAGTTTCCTTGGCATCTCAATGGCCTTCCGATATGAGGACTACAAATGGTGCACAACGGCTATAGATGGAATGTGTGTTGATTAATTAATATAAATACAATCTGCTATCGTTTAATTTTAAAAAGAATTTTTCATTCTTAAAATATGTTATGAGTAATTGTGTGTATGTTCAATTCATAATAATATGCCTTAATGCGTCGACGATTCTCATACTTCTAATCAGCAGGCAAAATCACAAAAGCGTATCCCAAAACACAAAAGGCATCATTTCTCTTTGTTTAATTTTTATGAATTATTATTTAAAAATGAACACTTATCGCTGTCCAACGAAAGCTCCAACTAGATAATCCTTTCTTGGTGTGTGTAACAATAAAAAACTAAGAAACAGAATGAGGAATGCATTTATAATGGCCTTGTGTAGATCTCTATATGCGATATGGTATGACTATGATTCAAGTGAAGAAATTAAACAACATACATATGTAATACGATGGTGTTCCATGAGTGCTCCTCTACTTCTTGAGCAACTTGCTCATATCCTTGTTCTGCTTGTTCATCTTCATGTCGACATCCTCGATTTTATAGTTCATATTGTCAAGCAGCTCGTTCTGCGACTCGATCTCGCCGCCCAGGTCGGTGGCCAACATCTTTAGTACCGAGAGATTGCTGCACATGTCTTCCAGATTGGCATCAATCTGTGCCTGGAACGGATTGGCCGTCTGGCACTGTTGACTTTGATAGGTGCTGCTGGGATCGCCACGCAGCCGACTAACCGGGTGATTGTCATAGCGATCCGCTGGAGAAAGCGGAGCAGGTGGGCTTGCGCCACCACAGGCGCCTAGATCGATATTGCTATTAGCCTCCTGGGAGGATAGGCTGGTCGTGGGAGAGCCAGCTGCAGTGGATGTTGGATCCCGATTCCCGGAGAGGTAGTTCTTCAGTCCACCAAAGACGCTCTTCAGGCCGTTGAGGTGACGCTGACTAAAGCGCAGAGTTGAGCTTATCTCGTCCAGCTGGTGTGACGTCTTCTCCAGCTGCTCCCGCTGCTTGGCCAGCTCCACAGCCGTGGCCTTGCCCACCTCCTGGGTCTCGTACAGCAGTCCTAAGAGTCAGTGGCGAAGTGAGTAACGCCCCTTAATTGGCTGACTTTTAACCCCCTTTAGCTTACCTAAGCTCTTGGTGGTTGAGTCCAGGGTTCGCTGCTCGATCGCTCGTCGCTTTTCCGCATAGGCTAGGCGCTGTGCGGCTACTGAGGGGGAAGAAGTTATCTCCTCATCGTCATCGTCCTCCACCTCGAAGGGATTGGTGCTCCTTTGCTTGGGTACACTGCCAGTTCGCTTGTTCTGCAGGAACAGGTCATCGTCCACGTCCTCGAACCTGTCCACGTCATCGAAATGGTCGTTCACCGGCTGTAGATAGTTATGGGCCATATTGCGTACAAAATTGGACACGAGAAATTTCCCCAATGGCTAATTTTGTTGTGTTTTTAGACTTTTATCTTCTTTGTTTTTGTACGACGACAATCGTATGACCTTTTGGCAATACTGATAAAATACCGAGGTTTTAAATCGACAAGTAAAGTTGAACAGCAAAGTTTCAAACCTCGCGCCCAGCGAGTGTGACCAGTCGACAAACTGGTCAGAATTACTTGCTTTTCCGGCCAGTTAGTCTAGGCGTTATGGTATAATTGACGGCGTCGCAATTGTGTGTAGAATTTTTTTAAGTCATAAAAACACTGAAAGCTGAAATTGTATTACCCGAACGTCGCAAATTCCAGGACAGGTCACGACGAAAACATAAACATAACCAAATGATTGGCAAAACGCACCGTGTGGCCGCGTCATGTGTCCTGCTGGTTCTACTAGCGGCGGCAGCGGCAGCGCAGTCAGCGACGGCGCAAACAGGACTGCGGCCAGGTGGCAAGCTCATTGAACTGGACGAGGACAATTGGAACCTTATGCTCCAGGGCGAATGGATGATCGAATTGTGAGTGATGAAAGTGCTCCCCTACGAGCCCATTTCCAATAGGTGCTAGCCCCCCGGTCCCCCTGACGTAACGCGGTCGGGGCGTGGTGCGCCGGTTTCCCGACATCATCCGGCAAGCTGGTTTTCTTGTTTCCCTGGAATGCTGCAAATTCCGTTGTGTTTGCGCTGTTTGATGACTCATCCCGTTGGTGGCAGCTGTTTTAAAAGAGTCTCTTATTGTGTATTTTTAGCTTCGCTCCGTGGTGTCCGGCTTGCAAGAATCTGGCTCCCACATGGGATCGTTTTGCTCGCGTGGCCCATGATGTTCAAGTGCAGGTGGCCAAAATCGATGTCACCACCTCGCCCTCGCTCAGTGGACGCTTCTTTGTCACCGCTCTGCCCACGATCTACCAGTAAGCTAGCTGAAGATAATGTTTAGAGAGTGAGAAACTAATGTTATCCCCTGCAGCGTTAAGGATGGTGAATTCCGTCAGTACCGTGGTGCTCGGGACGGCGATGCCTTACTCCACTTCGTGAAGAAGGCGCAATGGAAGAACATCGAACCATTGTCCGCCTGGAAGAAGCCCGACACCATTCACATGTCCATTCTGTCCTTCTTCTTCAAGCTGTCCCACACACTGAAGGTACGTTCACCTAGTCGGCTTATCGCCTCAGTTCATTGCATGAGACAGAAGCGGAAGCTTATCGACGGTGTCATACCGCTGACCCAGCGATTACCGCGCATTCCCATTCGCTAATTGACTCATTCTCTGGTCTTTGCTCTGTGCCGTTGTTTTGTATGTTTGGTTCATGTACTAATAGCACACGCAAAAACTCTTTAAGGACTTCAACGGGCGCCTGCAGGCGGAGTACGGCCTGCCCACGTGGGGATCCTACGCCTTGTTCGCCATCGCCACCATATTTGTGGGGGCTGCCCTGGGTCTGCTGCTCGTGTGCCTTGTGGACTTTGTGTATCCACCAAAAAAATCGCAGCGCCAGAGCTTCTCCGAATCCCAAGAGAATCTTGTCGGCGGAGTGGAAGATCTAGCTACCGAGGAGATCGAGGATGACGGTGAGGCCGATGAGAACGACGATGAGCAGCAGAATAGTGATGCGGAGGAGCAGGAGGAGGATGAGGACGAGGATGAGGAAAGCGAAGAGCAGGCGGGCGATTCACCATCACAAGAAAAGGAAGCCGACAGCGAGCCAGAGAAGGTCGAGAAGCCAGATCCCAAGCCGGGTGGCGATTCTGCCCTTGAAAAGCCAGAGAAGACGGAACAGGTGCGCAAGCGCAAGCCCCGCAAGGGCGACTAGGTGCAGTCAGATCCCTCCAGGATCAGCCTTAGCGATCAGAAGCGGCAACAAAAAGACTAACACACACAGAATCGAGAAACACGAACCTATTAAAATTTTATTTTAAGCAGATTCCAACTATTTGGCGCACAAATCTGATTCCTTTACTCCCTTCCCCAACTTAATCGTAGCCCGAAAACTGAAAAGGTTGGTACTACTTTTCCAGCGGAGACGGCGCCTCATGTATTTCTTATTATGTAAAACAGTTTTATACACTTTTAAGCGAAATCAAGCGTAACAATAACTAAATATAACTTTAGGTATATACACTTTCATTTTGAGTTTGCCAAGCATTGTATCTTGTGTTCATATTGATTTCTCACACCATTGTGTAACGATAAACCTTTCTCCTATTAAGCATTTAATTTGTAATTTAATCTCAATCAAATTGCAAATTGTATTAAATTTCGTATTACAAAATAAACTTAAAAGAAAACCATTAATTGACCTTTTAAAGCTTGCATGCTTCTAACTGATTAAATATAAACGCTAACCAGGTAAGGCCAACCTCGCTTGTGCTTTTTAACATAAATGTATATTCATGATATCCTCCTATCCTTTCAACGATCTGATAAATGTAACTTAAACAATCTTTAAAATTTAATTGGGATTACTTATCAAAATTAAGAGTTCATAAATATATGCATTTAGATTTGATAAAAAATAAGATTGATTTTCGTTTTGATGACTATGATGTTGAGATTAAAGACATTTTCTCTGAGGAACAATCTCTCTTGTTATATATTTTTATGACATACTGAAGAAATCCTGTTCTGTTCAGTACTTTGTTTATGCTAATCGCATTTTAAAGGAATAACTTCCAACCATACAAGTCATTTAAATATATTCTTGATCAGACCAATAGGCGCGTCGATCCGGCTTTTAAAAAAATTAAAGGGGTTACATCACTAAAATTGTAAAAATAGCATTTTTAGCTTAAACCTGCTAATTTTATACCCTCTTAAAAATTAGAACAGAAAACCCTTCCGAAGTTTACCATTTCAGTTGGCTATATACTATATATATATACTATTTAAAAAACTCTGATTTAACAAAAAAAAATATTAAAAGTATTATTCTAATTGTCATAAGTTTTTAAAGTCGCTGAAATTACAAGAGTATCGGCTTCCTGAAATTAACTTTTCAATTCAGACGATTTTCAGTTTTCTTAAATTCTGAATTTTATTCAAAGCTTCCTAAGCTTTTAACTAATAAGCTTTTAAATAAATAAAGATCGTTCAATTTCACAAATCGCTGAATTATAGTTCAGCACATTTCAGCCTTAAGATTTATATAAACTTCTCCTTTTTGTACAGCGACTTAGTTTTTATATTTACCTAAAATTAAATAAAAAAGTAATTAATTATTATTTTCGCATTTTATTTAAATAAATAAGAGAATTGTGTTATGGTGAATGGTTTACAAATTTTATTATCAGTTTATTGTAGGAGCATATGAAATAAGTAAAAAATCCCTGCAATTTCTTGATGTGTTACAACTACAAATAATTGAAAAAGTGTGTGGGTGGTGTGTGGCCGAAATGACTTGAATTTTCTAATACATATTTCTTTCCAAAGGGCTTAACAAAAAAGTCTGTGGTAACTATTGCTTAATATAGTTTACTTGCTGTTGTTGCGACATACAAACAGTCGCTTCTATATTCATATACATATAAAAAGATTACAAAATGATTATACAAATATTTGCTGTATAAAAAGGTTATTCATCTTCAGCGTTGGTTTGCCTGATCGATCTGTTGGCACTTGTGATTTAAATCGGAATTAACTGGTTTAATTACAACATTTTGATTATTAAACAAATAATATTTCTTTCAACAAATTGCTATGGCTATTGTGGGGTTCATTCTCGTGGGGTTTCGGGGATAAGGTACTTGTGGTGTGTGTGTATATTATTGGTTGTTTTTTGTATATATACAATATATATTAAATATATATCATTTGGTTGTAAAAGTTGTACTATTGCAGCGTATGGAGGATATTGATGGGTGGTTCGGGCAGGGATCAGGATCTGGATCGGGATTGGGACTCGGGCGGTGGGGCTGTGGTTGTCTGTTTTCAAATACTTTAAGTAATTGTCTGTGTGAGTGTTTGGAAATTTTTGCTGTTGTGAATTTCGGGTTTCAGGCTGGCCTTCAGTTAATTCGTATTAGTACAAAATGGCGAGATGTCAACAAAAACAATTGTGTTAATTACTTTGAAATATTCAAAAAGCAATCGTCATGCGTCCGTCAACTGCAGCTGAAAGCAGATTCTCTACACAAATCCTCCCCTGCTTCGGGGTCGAGAGGATTGGATTTGCTTTCAGCCCCAGAGATGGTGATTTGTTGTAAAATTAACCTGGGATAATTTTATAACAAAGGCGCACTTCAGGCTTAAACTACTAAATAACTAATTGAGGTATGATGAGTGTGGTGAGGCTTGATGAGTGGAAATTTTGAGAGAATTTCGTAAACCGGTCTATTGCATAAAATTGCAGGTCTCTTCGTCCGCCGTCGCCCGTATGGGCGCGGACAAGTAAAAAAAGCGTAGCAAACTAGTTGGGCAGAGCGATTCGGATGCGAGGATGCGGATGCAAGCTGCTCCAAGGACTGCTAGGCCACGAAGTCGAGCGGCCGGTTGAAGCCACCCTTGCGATTCATGTACTGGCGGTACTTTCGCTTTAAGATTACATGCACTTCTCCGACATCGTTGCCCTCGACCTTCCTGTTCTTGGTGGTGTCGAACGTGCAGAATCCCATTGTCTTCAGCATCTCGACCTCTTCCGGCGATTTACCCTCCAGATCGGCCTCGTTGATCTTGGGACGGTCGGCAGCTGCCGCATTGTTCCTTGTCGTTCGCCGCGACGTCGATGGACCGGAGCTGCTGTTGCCGCCGCTGCTTCCGCCGCCGCCGCCTCCGGTGCCCCTCGAGCGAGATCTGCAAAGCAACCATGAATTTGGGCATCGTGAATTGTGAATTTTAGAAAACTTTTCGGACGAGCGAATGCATGAGTGACAGATTGCCACCACTCTGAAGTGCCAGTTGATTGCATTCGAATTGCAGTGAGCCTGGGAATTAACTGGGGCGACCTTGGACAGTGCTCACTCGATTGTGCAATTTGAGGATTTAATTAAGGAAATGTGCGACACTTCCCAACCGGTCGGGTAACTTCATTAAGGGTCTCATTAAAGTCTAGGCTTTATATCTATATATCTATGTATAGACATAAGTCAGGAAAAAGAAAGCTAAGAAAATGGCCTTGACTACTTCGCCTCTTGGCAACGAAAAATCTTTAACACAACTAAAAAATAAGGAATAATAGTCTAAAAAGATAATAGCTACAAACCAAATGACTCAAGTTTGTATACAACAATAGTAAACTTTAAAACAAACTTGTCTTTTATAAGAATCTTCTAACTAAATTTGGTAGCTCGTTATCTATCAGTCTCTCAAATCTCTCATAGGCAGTATAAATTTAATAATGCTTTTTCAAAATCTATTTTGCGGTTTTTTCCCAATACCCTTTTTGTGGGTCATCATTTAGGGGGTACAGATAATGTTTCTAGATCTAGATCCCTAATTACTTCTGGCACTTGATTCTGTAATAACCTTGAGCAGAACAGTTTGTTCAGTTTGTTTTGTGGTGTATTTAGCACATAGCGCTCTTAGTTCACATTTTGTAGAAGATAACAGAAAATCGCTTAGATCAAGTATAAAAAGAGGTGGATATTCGTTCGTCTAGGACATGTCCTCGATGAGGGCGGCTCGCAGTTTGGTCGTGACCGTGGCCGGCTGGGCCTGGTTCAGCTTGAAGACGCTCTCGATCACCGAGATCTCTGTGGCCGTTGTGTTCATGCCCACGAAGGAGAGCCAATCGTTGACGACCATGCCGGCAGCGAGAACCTCGCTTCCGCGGTTCACTGTACCCGCCACCAGGGGAACCTGCAGCAACGACGACAGCTCGTCCTGATCTTCTATGCTCGTCTTGGGATGCACCATGCCGCCCTGGTTGCTCAGCACGGTGTAGGAGCCCACCAATGTGTTATCAGCTATTGTCTGTCGGAAGACCTCCACCTTAAGCACGTCTCCGATAATCTCCTCAGTCTCCTTGTCCAGATCTGGGTGGACCAGCGCCACATAATCGTTGCAAGCGATGACGTTGCCCAGGGCGGAAAGACGCTCCTCAACGCGCTGGATTTTCACAGCATCCGGCAGACTGTTGCGCAGGTGCTGCAGCTCCTCATCGGTGGTGGAATTAGGCACCAACAGGCCGTTCCTGTTGCCCACCGTTGTGCGTCCAATGATCCGGCAGCCGCCCACATTGGCGTGCACCACCGGAATCGTTTCGGCCAGCTCCGCCTCGAAGGCGCTGTAGAAGGTCTCGGAGCCGCCGATGGCCACCAGACAGTATGTGTTTGTAAGTTTGGTGAAGACGCCGATGTCGTCGTTGTTCTCGAATTGCACGCGCAGCGCCATTTTCTCTGTATGTACTTGTTTCTCTTTGCTGTGTGGACTCTCTTGTACTTGCTTTCGCGGCCTGACTCAGCCTGGTCCGTAGAGCTTCTCGATTTTGTTTATAAAGCCGGAAAATTAGTTAAAAGCTGTGATGAAATTCGCCAATTTCACTTCACGTGGTAAATTTTTTTTGTTGAGCCGCCAGAGCTGCAAATTCATCGATTACCTGCCTACCTATCGAACTGAGCCCTATCGATACTAGCTGCGAGTAAAAAAAAATGTTTGTTGGGTTGGCCTCAGCCACCCCTCCCCCTACCCCTACCCCTACCCTTGGACCACGCTTAAAATCTAGGTTTTATAGTAATTATACTTATCGTTTTGGCTTTTGGTACACTACACTTTGCTATTCACCTAGATCGCCGGCCCCGCCGCTCCCGGTCGCGGCTTCTGTCGCGCTCCCGGTCCCGCCGACTGCTCCCGCCGCCGCCGGCGCCTCCAGGTCCAACTCCTCCGATAGCTTCTCTTTCCCGGGAGCGGCGTTCCCTGCGCTTCTTCCGCTCCGATCGCTCCTTTTCGCGTCTCCTGTGCGCCGGCGAGGCGGGACTCCGGCTGCGGCCCATTTCTCCGGTTTGGTTATCTGTGCTCCTCGAGTGCGTCTTTTGTTCCAGGTGTTGTGCCTGCCGAGGAAGTGATTATAGTCGCCACCGCGAATGTGTCGGAATTCCGGCTCACCGTTGCTCTAGGCCGTGTCTAGCATTATTTGGGCGACACCGGCTAACGCGATAACTTAAAAATAAACGCCGATTTCGATTTGGGTTTGGAATGAAATTGCGCTCGTATTTATAGGTTCATCGTTTCAGATTTGCATTTTACTTTTGACACGTTTACAGAGCAGATTTACGTGTTTACAGATACATAGGGTAGAATTCTCGCATTTGGGGTAAAATTCTCGTTTTTGGGGTAGAATTCTTATGTTGGAAGTAGAATTCCCATGTCGGAAGTAAAATGCTTTACCAGATCGGTCTCATTCAGGTAGGAGAACGTCTATTAACAGAATGTTCTCTCGGAGTGAGCGTAACTTAACAGAGTTCTGTCGTGAGCGAGCACGAGTTTTGTTGGTGTTGCCAGACTTTTGAGTTGTATTTTAGCAAAGAATTTAGCCTATACATGTTTACAGTTTACAAGTGTACAAATTTTACACGGCTACAGATGCTGGGCTTTAACAAATTTTCCAAATAAAATAAATTAACCTTAAACTAGCCAAAGATTTAGAGAGGCGTCCACATTAATTAGTTTTAAGAATATACATATATTTGTTTTAATTATTTTTATATTAATTTATTTTATGTGCCATGATAGTCTTGGAAATGTCATATCCCGGTTGCTTCTCCATATCCTAAAACTGTTTTATTAGATTTTTATTGTATATATATTTTTTTTTTTAATTTTGCCAACATATTACGTATAAATATATTTATATATTATAATATATATTTTTAAAATTTTTTATTTATTTATTTATTTCCCGTGAACCACTTAAATGGCGTCCGTTTGTGATTCTTCAGCCCTACCGATCGTGGTTCGGAAGCGTGCTGCCAACTGCTTTGAAATAGAAAGAAAATGCATCTTGAAGATTAAGATACACACAACAATCTGTAAGTGCGTCAGAATTTTCGGAATCGACGGTTCGCTGGAAGCCGCCGAATAAACAATTAAACAATTAAATGTCCGTGCACAACATAGATGCTATCGTGCAGTAGGACAGATAGCCCGTAGTAAATAGCTAAACATTGTGATCCCAACCGATCCGTCCGGTATTCAGCATGTCGGATCTGCGTCTGCGAAACACATCGGAGGCTGTTGCAGTTCTAGCTTCTTTGGGGCTAGGACTGGTTTTGCTTGCGTTCGTCGCCACCACGCCGTCGACCGTGGAAGCCACCCAGTCGGGGATTTATATAGACAATGGCAAGGATCAAACGATCATGCACCGAGTGCTGAGCGAAGACGATAAGTTGGATGTGTCGTATGAGATTCTGGAGTTTCTCGGCATTGCCGAGCGTCCCGCTCATCTGAGCAGCCATCAGTTGTCGCTGAGAAAGTCGGCGCCGAAGTTTTTGTTAGATGTTTACCACCGCATCACGGCGGAGGAGGGCTTGGCCAACGATCATGGTCATCACGATGGTGATGATGACGACGAGGATTCATATGAGCGGAGTCATCGCTCTCGGAGAAGTGCTGATCTCGAGGAGGAGGATGAAAGCGAAGAGCAAAAGAACTTCATTACCGACCTGGACAAGCGTGCCATAGACGAGAGCGACATCATCATGACCTTCTTGAACAAGCGCAACCACAACATGGAAGAGCTGCGCCACGAGCACGGCCGTCGTCTGTGGTTTGATGTCTCCAAGGTGCCGAACGACAACTACCTGGTGATGGCCGAGCTGCGGATCTACCAGAACGCCAACGAGGGCAAGTGGCTGACCACGAACAAAGAGTTCACCATCACTGTCTACGCCATTGGCACTGGAACTCTGGGCCAGCATACCATGGAGCCGTTGTCCTCGGTGAACACGACGGGGGACTATGTGGGCTGGCTGGAACTGAATGTGACCGAGGGCCTGCACGAGTGGCTGGTCAAGTCGAAGGAGAATCACGGCATCTATATTGGAGCACATGCCGTCAACCGACCCGATAGAGAGGTGAAGCTGGACGATGTCGGACTGATCCACCGCAAGGTGGACGACGAGTACCAGCCCTTCATGATCGGCTTCTTTCGCGGTCCAGAGCTGATCAAGGCAACTGCCCACAGCAGTCACCACAGGTCTAAGCGCAGCGCCACACATCCGCGCAAGCGCAAGAAGTCTGTGTCGATGAACACCGTTCCCCTCCTCGACGCCCCCATGGAGAACACGCGTAGCTGCCAGATGCAAACGTTGTACATCGACTTTAAGGACCTGGGCTGGCACGACTGGATCATCGCCCCCGAGGGCTATGGGGCGTTCTACTGCAGCGGCGAGTGCAATTTCCCACTCAATGCTCACATGAACGCGACGAATCATGCGATAGTCCAGACGCTGGTGCACCTGCTGGAGCCCAAAAAGGTGCCAAAGCCTTGCTGCGCACCGACCAGGCTGGGAGCACTGCCAGTGCTGTACCACCTGAACGATGAGAATGTCAACCTGAAAAAGTATAGAAACATGATTGTGAAATCCTGCGGGTGCCATTGAATTCAATTTACCACTTTAGGCTAAGCAATATAAAGCATTTCTGTGTAGATCTGTGTCCATCTCTGTACTAATCTCGAATATTTTTTATACAAAATATACATACATATACAGCGCTGTACCTAACTGAACGAAAATGATTTTTAGTGTATCTTATGCGACTTTAATTGCGGCTAATTGTGAGGAGAGACGATTAATTAAGTCAAGATGTCGAAAATGCTATGCAGACATGTCTCTTTATTGTCTCTTCACTTGCTAAACAAACATTTAGTAAAAATAATAATATGCATTCCATACAGCATTCACATTTAGTTAAACATAATAATACTTCATGGTTCAGTTCATTCGTCATTGTCATTAAGAAAAAAGAAAAGAGATTTGGTTGCGCTAAAACAAAAAAAAGATAACGAATTAAAGGCTAGTTAGTGCCTAGCGTTTGTGGATCCAATGGTGACGAAAGGCGAATAGATCCATTATGAGATTTCCAACACGCTTGTCAATAAGACAGGACATCAGCCGACCGTCGAATACAGGGACATTTACCTTTAACGAAATGCACGCATCTCTGAAAATGTAGTCACGATTAGATTTGAAGAGTAATTAGTAAGAACTCTGTGTACTTACAGAATTTCATAAACCGGAATCGAGTTGCGAAAATATTCCTTGAGGGTGAATTCACCGTTTATGGTTTTGGCCCGGCTAACGCTAATCATAACATCGGGATTCTTCCTGTATAAAATCACAAAGATATGTCTGATGGGGGTCTCGATCGGTCGGACAAACTTTCCGAGCACGCTTTCAATAAAGCAACTGCTTGTATTACTGTAGAAGCCCTCGCTGTCCTCCTCGGTATAGAGCATGAAGAACTGTCTCTCAACCATGTGGGTGTAAAATTGTTCCTGGTTCTTGCATAAGGGACGATTCTCGTCGACTTCACGTATCCAACTGAAGTGAGAATTGACGGTTAGTAAGTACACCGGTGGCAAGGTGGCTATTGGTCGGTAGTTGATGGCCGGGGGTTTGGAGAAGCCAATGAAGGATTCCTCGATCTCAAAGATCTTTGATATGGCATCTGTTAGTGCTGCATGATTGGAGCCCGGTGGGCCGGATTCGCGTCGCCACAACTCTTGATCGCAGCAGTTCTTCAGCAGCTCGTAGTACATTTTGAAGAAGTACTGACGCGTCTTCATAACCAACTCGACAACGGGCTTGGGCATGATCATCCAGATCCATTCGTCGATGAACATATGAGCGTTGCGATCATTAGATTGGCTATCGCACACTTGTGAAAGCCGGAGACGGGGAGGTCCTAATAAGAAGTTCAATTAAATGTAAATCGAGGGGATTACCATTTAAAGGAGTTACCAGAAAACAGAGCTACTGCCAGGGGAACCACCATTGTGGCATATACAATGTGATCCTTATGCCTGGTGCACACAATCCAGGGTGTGCGAAAGTTAAGGGCCGAGATTTTCAGAGGCTCCAGGAAGTCACGAAGCACCGTGTTCGGGTGAAGGTGAACACTCGGGGAGATGGCCGACTTAAGGCACTTATTTCCCTGGTCTACGGCACATATATTGGGATACATGCCGCCGGTTAGCGCCGCCTTAACAATATGCCAATTTCCGGACATTTGATTGAGAGTCGTCATACCCAACTGACCATTAGCGTGGATCAGGTTCGCGGAGCGCAATGCACTAACAATTTCGTAGCGTGTATAGTTTAGCTGCTCCATCAAACCGTTTAGCACAAAATCGTATTCATCGGTGAGATACAACGGGGGCATCTTGTTCTTCAGCTTGCACTGCCACTCGTGGAACAGGCGCAGGAAGATGAAGTGGTCAGAAAACTGATTGTCGGCCAGCCGAGAGCGTTCGTTCTTGATGCGGTTCTGTATGTAAATGGTGAATCTGTCCCACAGGTGATCGATGTCCTCGTTAAAAGGAATCCCCAAAGGATCCGCCGTGGTCAGCGAACTGACAATGGTCAGTATGGGATCGAGGCACTGCAGCAGGATGCCAAATATCAACAAGCGACCGAGCTGGCAAGGCAATGGAATGTCCTGCAAACGACAGCCCAGCCAGGTGACTTCCTCAAGTTCATCGAGAACGTCTATTTTTTGAGGAACTGCACAGCATGGTGCACATTTATCAGTGGCGGTGGAGAGATGGTAAAGTTAAGATATTCACTGATAATCATGTTCGGCGACAGCATCTTTACGGCCAAGCAGATCTTGTCCAGCTGCATGGTCTGCAGACGTGGCTGGCTCGTTTCGGGCAGCGCATTAAACGCTTCCTTGGATATCAAACGAAAGCACTGAGCATCGGGAGCTAGAATAGGAAATATACATCAAATTTCTTAAAATATATACTCAAATATCGCCAACTACTAACCCTTTATGTCCAAAATCAACTCCCTGCGCATCAGACAATCTTTGGAGACCCATTCGTAGCGATCGTCGACGCCATAGACGCTGCTATCATAGACGGTGTTCAGCCGACAGGCGGTATCTATGAGGTACTTGAAGGGCACCTCCTGCAGCGGCAGCGATTCGATTATGTCCGTGGTGAGGACAACCTTGACGGTGTCGGGGCATCGGGTCTTAACCAATGAGTCGATGTACTCCATCTTAACATTCTCGTGGAGTAGAAAAATTGACAACTCCTGCAGGTTTCCGGTGAGGCAGTGACTCAATAGCATGTAGTTTAGCTTAACGATGTGATAGTAAGTGGGCAAAATAATGAGAATGTTCCCTGAAAAAAATAGAACATAAAAGAAAATATTTAAGTGGAACTTCCCTTGATCACAGGCTGCAGGAAAAATGGGTTTCAATGTGTGTTTTAATTTATTAAATCTGATTTACAAAGTTACCTATACATAAATAAACATTCGGCATACCGTTCTCATTCCATATAAACTAATTGTTAAGACAGACGCACATTAATAAAAATAGATATTGGTATTACTAAATGGCTTTACATCTTATTCTGCTAAAACTAATATAACTATTCAACAGAGATATATGTATGCGTGTAATTGTTTGTTTCTCGATTCTCGTGTTGGAGGCGGCTCGACATCTGGTCAGTGAGGTGAGAGCAGAAGTGCGGTGTATAGCAGGAGCTGAGTTGCATTTATACTTAGGGCTACGATGAGCGCTGTTCGCTCTCCAGGGCTTTGATCTGCCGCAGGATCTCACTCTTTTTTTTCACCTTGTCCAGCTGGTCCTTGTCCAGCTTCTTCTGCTCCCCGGCCTGAATTCTGCTCTCGATTAACTCGATTTCGCGGATTTTCTTTCTCAGCTTTTTCAATTGCTTATTGGCATCTATCTCCTGGGCTCCCTCCTCCAGCCTTAGAGTATTTTCCAAGGCCTTGGCCACCGCATTGACCTCTTTGCTTCTGCCAGAGGGCTGATTGGCTTTTGGCGGCGGCGGACACGTGCTGGACTGGGGCAAAACCAGGACGCCGGGCGTTGGTGCCTTTGGATTATTCTTGGGCCCCGCATCCTGCTGCTGCTTCTTGGCCTTGCTGCGTTCCTGCTTCTCGCGCTCCTTCTTGGCCTCGGCGGCCACAATGGGGCACATGCCAGGCGGCACTCCGGTCTGCCGTTGGGCCACAAACTGCTTGCCCTTGCTCTCGTACAGCGGCACCTCCTCCTGCGGCACATAGCCGTCCTTCACACGGCGGGCCTTGCGCCAGGTGCCGTCCGGGCGCTTGGTGGCTGGAATAAACTTGCCCTCGCTGCTCTGAAGGTACGTGCTCATCTTGGTGGTGCTTTTATATATAAAAAACAATGCCCAATTGCCAAGCGATACCAATCGATAGGTATGCGCCGGTGATGGGACTTTTCCGCGGGAACAGCGCCACCAGTGGCCACGATTAATCGCTGTATAAGCTTGGCAAACGAGTCACGACACGACCTCTGGATGATAGCCGTTACCAAAGCCCGGGAAACACAAATTTAAAATCCTAACCTAATCCTATAATCCACAATACAACTAGACAATCACTTACCTGGTGTAAACTCTGGTTTGGTGCGCAGCAAATACATAATGTCAATTATGAGATCGTAGTCCACAAACTCCGGCTTGGCATTCTTGACGACATAGCCATGGAGGCTGTAGTTGTTCAGGACATCTATACATTCATGGTTTCCCTTGGAAGCGGCCAGGGAAATGGCGTTCTGTTGCTGCATGTCCACGATATAGGGATCGGCGCCCATGAACAGCAGCAAACGAAGATGATTGGCATTGTTTAGGTCAGAGGCTATAAGGGCAGCGGTCTTCCCGTTGATCGAATGGCGGTAGTTCACCGGCACCAAATCATAGTTGATGGCATACAAAAATGGACGGATGGCGGCGTCGGTGCCTAGATCCTCGTAGGCCTGCAGACAATTGTCCATTTGTTCGTTGCGCTGGCTCTTGGTACGGAAAATCTCCGGCATTTCCTTGTATATATCCGGACCCTTGTGGATCCCAGCCAAGGCAATGCTGCTGTGTATGTCATCCAAATGGGCGATGCGAGTTCTCGACGGCTGATGACGCTTCATATTCACTTCGGCGCCTTCGCCAAAGAACGCAGTGAACTTCTTGCAGTTGTCCGTCTGGGAGAGCAGCACCACTCTCAGGTTTGGTTTGGTGTTCAAGACATCCCGCAACTCGCTCAGCAAAATATCGGTGTAGGGATCGTGCAGGTGTACATCGTTCACCACCACGTGGCTGATGTCGTCAAACTTCAGGGTGGCGATGGCACGGAGAAAGTACTGAGCCGTGGAATAGACAATATGTGTCTTGGACCCAACCATGTTGGAGTGGGGCAGTTGGATGCCCACAGACTCGCCCACTTCCTCGCCGAAATAGTTGGCGGCCATGCGGTGACTGTTGTGCAGCGCCACAACGCTGTCCTTCTCGATGACCATGATCCTAACACTCGATTTTTTGTTTCCACAATCATCCAGGATTATTAGCGGCAAAAACACCGATTTGTCCCACGACCGATCGGCATCAAAGACGATTACTCGATTTGCATAAATCAGCTTCAGGATCTCGTCGCAGTGGTGCTGTCCTGGAAAGCTCTGGAGGAAGAAACGCTGGCCTTCAGTCTTAAAGTAGGCCGTTTGCGGACGGATTAATGGCAGTGGCAGATGAATCGTACGCAAAGTGGGTTGCTGGCTCCCCAAATCGGACAGCTCCAGGTCCTCCCTGTTCAGAAGCGCAGTTCGGCTCAGCAGAGTAAACATGTTCATTATGCTCGCCGATGATAGGGTAAGGTTCTTGGGCAGCTCCATGTAGTGGCGACATGCCTGCTTGAACACCTTGATATAGTTCTGGCCATTATTAAACACAATCTGCGAGCGCAGGCCGTAAGCCCGGGAATGCGTTACGAACGCCTCGTGCTCGCTGGGACGATATGTGCACGCAAATTGCTGGCAGCAACGCCTTCCGGCTAGGAAATACAGCAACTGCTGCGGTATGAACTTTTCCTGGATAACTTGATTCATTTCTGCATTGTCTGCACTTCCACCTTTAAAAAACTAAAAAATTAAAGAAACACCAACTCGCTACTGCCGTTGGTGCGAAAATTTTGTATGACAACTTAAATTTGAAGCACAGGGTTGTAGTTTCATCGTTGAAACTTATTGGCTAGGGGTATTCGAGCGCGTATCGAAGCTTGTTGGTAACCCCCTTTTTGATAAAATCGATCGATAACTTTTATTATCGGTGATATATTTGTTATATTTTTTCTTATGTTGCCGATTATTTTACAGTATTTTGTAAAATGTATACCGTATTTAAGGATACATTGCAGACTCTAGAGATTATATTCCTAATGATAGGTCAAATGAATATATTTCGGGTGAGTATAATGCAACCTGACAAAACAGTGAGTAAGTACAACGTAAAAATCAACGAGTAGTGCGCGAAAAATCTAATTGGACTTTTATAAAGATTTTACGATTGATTACATTGAAAAAAAAAATAGTAAACCCCTTAAATTGTTGAATATAGTGGCCTGATTAAAAAATTGACCCATAGCTCACATAAAAAAATAATAAAACAACTTGTTAAATTGAGCTTTGGCGCATTTTTTTTATTTCCCAGAGGGATCTATAAATTGTACAATTTTTGTTATCCAATTCATGGCTCTTCCCGTTTTTGGAGCGCCTCTTCCGTAATTTTATTTTTCTCTCTAAACCAGGAACAGTGGTAAACAAAAGTAAAAGTACACTTTTTACTAGTTAGTTTATAAAATGAGTACTTGAAACATTTTTTTGACCACCATACATATAGTTTTAATTATCCTTAACTGAAGGCTCCACCAATGTATTGGATTGTTACCGCCGCCATTCTCGAACTTACAACATATTAAAGATTTCAAGTACATATTATTAAATACCTACAATTAGCCATTTCGTTTAAATGTAGAGTGTACATAATTATTTAAGTAGGCTACTGAAGGGTTTTGGTTAAATCAAAGTAGTATAGATTCTTAAACACACTCGTACATTTTATAAGTTGGTACCAAATCGAACTGGTATCGCATCTTTAAAGAAAGTTTGACTTTTCCACAGAGTTTTGCGAGCCGCTGCTCTGATTCGACCAGCCGGAATTGCCATTCTGCAATATATGAAAAAGTTAATAGAATCTGATAAATATTAGTATATAATGCTACTGCGCACCTGTTGTGGATCGTTGCAACCCGAGTTGTCGGCTTTGATCATGCCACCGGCTCCGGTGTTATTCGGATTATTCGATCCCTTACGTCCCCCAAAATTGCTGTTGTTGTTGGCGTTGTGGCCACCGTTTTGGGCCATCCACGATAAAAAATTTCCGCCCTGCAAAGTAACTGAAAGAGTTTTTTGTTTGAAACATTGATAAGTGGTGGGGAGGCTTGCCTGCTGGTCCTGGTTTTGATTCTGTAGCTGATTGCCAACAAGGCTCCACTGATTGAGGGCAGCAGCAACCAGCGCTGGGTTGATCGGCAATGAGTTTAAATTAAGCATCGACGGGTTGTTCATGTTTTGACCCTGGTTCGAAGAGCTGGATCCCTGAGAATTGATGCCCAGCGCTTGCAGGTTGGGCATGTCGAGATGGCCGCGGTTCATCCAGCCTCCGTTGCCGCCCACATTGCCGTTGTGCGGCTGGTTCATTCCGTGAAAATTCGCCTGCCTATTATAGGTGGTGCTACCGTCCTGGCGGTTCACGTTCCCGCCACTAGAGTGATTGCTGCCATTGTTATGGTAACCCCGCCCGAATTTCCACCATAATTATTGCCTCCCATGCCGTAACCGGCACTGCCAACGTGGCTGCCATGACTATTGGCGACGATCGAGTTGTCACCACCTCCATGCGCATTGTGTTGGTTATTACCTCTGTGGTGTCCGTTTCGCCCGGGATTCATGTGGCTGCCGCCCTGCGGATGGTAAGCGGGCATGCCGAAGCCGTTGGCCGAGTTGTAGTTGTAGCTCTGACCCTGCTGGTTTCTGTTCTGCTCGGCCTTTGGGGCAGCATTCGACACGTGAACCGAAACGCCTAAGGAACACATATTGAATATTGGAATCTGATATTGTCAAGGCAACCTCTTACCTTTAATTATGTGATCTTCCCCACACAGAGACTGCGCCACGTCGGGATCGAGAAATGTGACAAAACTGAAGGCTCGGAATGGACGGGGTATGAACACGTCCGTAACTTCGCCGAATTTGGAGAAATACTCCCGCAAGTCATCAGAATTTATGTCCTCTGTGCAGCGACCAACGAACACTTTGCATGGCACCTGATGGCCCATTCCCTGGAACACGAAATGGTTAGGCTAATGAACAGTTTGTACTATTATTTGTTTTACCTTGGAATTGGGCACCTTGACCTCGCACCAACGCCCGTCGATTAGGTGGCGATTGGACAGGACGCGCATCTGGGCATCGTAAGAGCCAAAGCGCACGAATCCAAAGCCCTTGGACTGGCCAGACTTCCCGTCCTTTTTGATCTGTGCCATCAGCACTTCGCCATAACTCTCGAAGTATTCTCGCAAACTTTCCTCGGTTGTCTTCCAGGGGAGTCCTAGGACGATAAGATCGGTGCACCGTAAACGGGTTTCGATGCGTTTTGTCTTTGCGGTTGAGTTCTCTAAGTTATCGTCGCTCTTGCGTTTGTTTTCTGTAAAAGATTACGATAATTTACATCTTTAACAGTGTTTAGAACTGAACTCACCCTTTGGAAACACACAGAAATATATATATTCGCCCCAGCCAGAGTCCACGCTGGGCGGGAAGAGTCTTCCCTCGTTGGAGCGAACTCCTCGCACAGCTTTGGTGTCCATGTTACGGTACTTGAGACCACAGGATCCAGGGAACTGAGCCTGAAGAGTAGACAGCAGCAGGGTGCCATCCTCTTCAGCCGGCAGCTCGATGGGCTCGTCACCCTCCTCCTCCGAAACTTGAACGAAATCCATTATCGCGGCCCTTCCCAACGGCGGCTCTAAAAATGGCAGAAAGTTATGGAATTGCTCGGGAAAAGTATTCGCACTGCGCTCTAGACATGATCCATCATATCATTCAATCAACTGAAACATCCCAACATATTCTGGCCTACATACATGAACATCACTCACTCAGTTCATACTTTCTTTTTCTTTCAGATGCATTTAAAAAATTTAACACAAAATAACACAGTCAATGGAAAGGAAAACAAATTTTAAACCTTCTTGCTCCCTACAAACTACGAACCTAGAACATCGAATATAAGAAGAAAATATATTAATATTTTAAAATTATTTTCAAAAATGATTTATATTTTAAGTCTGATATAAATAGCCATCGTTCCTGCTGCTTGGCTAATAGTTGTTCTTATATTAATACTGCTACCGAAATATAATGGCGGGGCAGGAGGAATGGTGAATAGTCATTGGTGGTTCCTAGAGCCGTAAAATCTTATCTTTCCCCTCCCCCAAACTGGGACTTGGTTTCGTCCTGAAATCTGTATGTTTGCAAGTGATTATATGCGGCATATGCACATACACTCTGCAGACACATACACACACACAGTACAAACACAGGGACGTAAACCCCAGTTCGACTGCCCTAAAAGATGGTTACACAACAATTCTTACACTATTGAAGGGGTTCAGACGCTGCTCTACAGACGCAGTGCCTCTTGAGTATCTGATTTCTTAAGGCGTTTCTCACACACGTTATGTTTTATATGGCAAGTATTTGGCATTAAGCTCGCACGCTCTCTCACACGTCTCGATTCACACACAGGCAGAACCAGGTAACACTTTTCTTTTCACGCTTCACGCTCGTATCTTCGTCACAACACACGCTGTATGCACATCCACTTTCAATTCGTGCGTAAAAAATACAAGTAAAAATATTTACAATTGATATTTCAACAAATTTTCTTTTGAAAAGAACACCATATTTTCCCTTTGCTGATTTTAAAGTTTCGATTTTTTCCTGTATGTATTCGGGTGCTAGTGACGGCATACAATAAAAAAAATATGATACTACAGATGTTATCGAATAGTTTACTAGGCCGATTCATCGATATTATTGTAAACATATTTTTCCAGAACATTGATGTTGCCATAGTTTTTGAGGAAAGTCGGTTTTAATTCTTGTGCATGTTGGAAATTAAGGTTTTTCCCGGAAAAGCCTCTACAATTTGCTTGTGATGAAATCATGACCCTTTATGGCATTGTATGGTCGTAAAGTATCACCTGACGGTAAAAAGCTAATAAAATTAATTCATTTCTCGCTCTTTTGAATATTTTTGTGTATTGATTAAATCCAATAAACAGTACAGTGCGCGCTATTAAGTTAAATTACAACTTATAAAGTATAAAGTAATCATTTTTATTAGTTAACTATAAACTATTTTAATATTGATTATAATACTATACTAAAAAAAGGATTTAATGTAATGTAAGACTAATTTTTAAATTTTCAATTATGATTCCAGAAACACCTTTTAATAAAGTGAATGTTAACTAACTCACGTTCCCAATAGGATGTTAAAAAACAAGACGGTTTTGTTTATTAATCAATAACATTTATTATTTACAGCTGAAGGAGTTTGACTTGCTCTAAGTAGACCGCTTTTGAATGACAAAATGCATTAGTTGGTTTCGAAATATTATTAGTGATTGGCGGTGCCGACTTGAATGTGAGCAGTCTAACAATTATGATACATTATTATACACAATAAAAAAGGCATCGTTGATTTGCACTACACAAATATTATTGTATTTTTCTCGTAATATTAATAAAATCACAGTGAACTATTACTGCACGCTGTTGAGTTGAAAATGTAGTTTTGGGCCTCCAAAATGTGCATTTCAGTTAAACATATAGCAACTAACAAGATTATATAACCGCTATACCGTATCGCGCGCAGGAAGTCCCACAGTTTGTCGCAGAAGATGCTCAGCAGGACGCAATGGAGCAGAGCGTGAACATTGACGATCCGCCACGTCCAGGCCACACAGAAGAACCAGGTGGACTTAAAGACGTAGTCCTGGCAGTTCGATTGACTGCTGCTCACATCCTCGCGCTCCAGCATGTTTTGGTAGACGGCAATATAGCGATTCCACGCCGTCGAACTGAGCAGGAGCTGCCCCGTGAAGCTGATCACATTCTTGGCCACTTTGCGCGTGGTGGCCTTCATCTTGGGTATCATAGTTGGCTCCGGCACCGTTTTGGAGTCGCTCATTGGGATGATGGAGTAGCCTCGGCGCGGTGGATTGTTCTTTAGGTAAAAGAAAATGCCCAGCAGCAGGGCAATGCAACCTAGTCCGTCGCACAGTCCATCTACATAGTAGCCGGACGTTCCTATTTCCGAGCGTTCGCCGCGGATGTGTTTGCGCACGCGCGCCACATGCCCATCCAGGTCGTCCAGGAAGGTGCGTATCTGGAAGAGCAGCACGCCCAGTCGCCTGTAGCCCAGACTATCGGAGGCAACAAGTTTGCCCGCCAGACAGGCCACGCCCACGTGGAAAAACGAAATCATGTTGGGCGTGATAAAAGTGGAGCGCGAGAAGCCGATGACGTTGTCGAATATGGTGGCCAACGGGGCGAAGAGGTAGTGGTTTGTGTGATCAAGCAGGATGGCCTTTACCGTGACATGACACAGTGGGTTTATATCACAGGAAATCCAGGTGTGATCCTCGTAGGACGGCTGCTTCTCTGCGGTGGGGAGTTTCGTGCTGCTGGTGCTGCTGCCGCTGCCCGATTCCGAGGTGGACTGCACGGAGTGCACAGCGGCTATGTTGGTGGAGACATTGGTGTGGTAGTTTCGTTCGATGGCATAGTTGTGGATCCGCAGGTAGAGCTCCACGTCCATGAAGACGTAGAATATGATCAGCAAAAACAGCAGCGTAAGCAGTATCTTGCTGATCTGCGAACTGGGCCCGATCATGGTGATACCTTGAGGTAGTGTTTCAACGCTAAATTCCTATCGACGATTTCAGGGAGCGACTGCAATGACAAAAGCAAATCAGAGGAAGCATATCAGAAGAGCTCAGGGCTTGCTTATTCTACGCCCAGTGTCCCCGATGCGAAAGCCCACAGATGACTAAACCGCCCCAAATACGTATGTATGAATGTACGTATTGTACATACACACAATCAGGCCACCCCCTAACACTTCGTACTATCTGCAGGTATTTACGGAAGCTTTTAGCAAGGCACTAAGAATTAAACTTGCTATTAGTAACCTTTTAACTGCCAATGACGATTAACGGGCTTCGCGCTTGCGGGGGTATGTGTGGGTGCGTGTGTGCACGCACCAATCAATCACACACAACCGTAGGCTAAGATATACCTGTGCGTGTGTGTATATGCGATAGTGAGCATATGCTGTTAATAGTAATACAATTAGACCAAATAACCAATTGTACCCAGATATTGGCAGTATTGGAGGGCAATTGGACTTTATGAGGTCAACTTACCGCCTTGCTGAATCATTGCACACGAATAAACACTGTATCAAAACATTCTCTCGGCCTCAAAGTTTGTTTTTCAATTGGCTCTCGCAACTTGTAGGAGCTTCGATATTCGCAGACACTGTGGCACTTATACGTAGTCAACAACAGCACAATAGATAAATAGTTCTTATTAAAATACACTCACACACGCGCAAGATAAATGTAAAAGTTAATGTTAATTTGTTCGTAAATTAAATTTCATAAATTAATAGTCGAGTGGTGTGGCCGTTTGCGGAATACCTGAAAATATGTAACTATCGTAGCTGTAGGTATCGATAACATTCCAGACTGTCAGGTGTGAAACGCCTGGTCACGCTTATCACGCGCCGTTGATAAACTTTTCACTTTTGTTAGTTTTGAATTAATACTTATTATTTACATATAAATATAAGGCCAATATGATTGCGAGGAGCCTGCGGGTTGCTGCCCAGCGGGGTCGTTGCCTTCTGATGCCTACCCGCAGCCTACTGGCGCCAAGAATACCCATCTGCCGAACGTACAGTAATGCCTACGACCATGACGGGAAGACCAAAGTTTCCATTTTCAATACGGAAACAGATCTGGGGCTCATGATTACAGGATATAGCCAATATGGATTTAGGCTGAACAACGATATGGTCCTTATTGGACCCATCAGCGTTTTTCCCAGGTGAGTGGCGAAGGCGGAGAGCGGTTGCCGACTTATGTAAACAACTGCATGTGGTGTCCACTCTGACATTTACCCCAAGTGTTTGATACTCAAAGTCAAGGCTGTCTGTGTTACAGCTTTCGTTCGCAGAATCAAGGTCGTAATTAGTTTTTTATATTAAAAAAGGGATTGAAAACAGCTGCATCTGAAATATTTTTCATTCAAACTAAACAAAATACATTCCTTCTAGATCGGTTCTTTCGTGGAACGTCAACAACTTCGAAGACATCACCGAGGATAGTCTTAGCCTGTTTCCTACTCTGGAACCAAAAATTGATGTACTCATCATTGGCATCGGCGACCAAGCCCCGCCACCGGCGCTCTCCAAACGGATCATAGAGTTCATGAAGAAATACAAGATCAATGTTGAGGTCTTGCGAACGGAGCAAGTAAGTAGCTCTTTTTTCTGCTGTTTCCCCAGTAAATATCAACCGATTTTCCAGGCCTGTGCCACCTTCAACTTCCTGAATGCCGAAAACCGGATGGTGGCCTGCGCCTTGATACCTCCGCTACATCTCACCTACAACGAGAACGATATTCTGCAGGCGAAGCTTAAGCAGAAGGAACTGTACGAGACGGATTAGAGTTAACTTCAAGTTGTTTCTTGTTAGGAATTAAAACGAATTGTAAATTCAGATTTCTTTATTCATAATAACGCATATTCATAGGTGTATAAAAGCTACGGTCGATCTTATTTCGATTTCAGTCGGCAGTGGCGCCAGGATAGCGCTCGATGAGCATGGCCACGCCCTGGCCGCCAGCAGCACAAGCAGCCACCACACCCAGTTTGCCGTCCTCGCGCACAAGTCTGTTGGCCGTGTGCATGCACAGGCGGACACCGGTGGCGGCGAAGGGATGACCGATGGACAGGGAGCCTCCCCAGTTGTTCCATTTGGACAGATCGGGTGTGCCCACCTTCTCGTTTAGGCCCAAGTACGTTTTGCAGAACCAGTCAGAGTCCAGTGCCTTCAGATTGGCCACAATTTGGCCGGCAAATGCCTCATGGATCTCCCACGAGTCGATGTCTTTTAGGGTGAGTCCCGATTTCTTCAGCAGCTTGGGAATGCCGTAGGCGGGTCCTAACAGCAGCTGGTCAACCGGATCCTGCGACACGTAAAGGAAGTCCCGCAGATATGCCTTGGGCTTCAGGCCGAGCTGCTTGGCCTTTTCCTCGGTCATGATCAGGCACGCGGAGGCGCCGTCTGTGAGGAAAGAGGCATTGGCCGCTGTCACAGTTCCATATGGCTTGACGAACGCCGGTCGCAACTTTGCCAAACTCTCGGGACTGGACACACGAATGCCGTTGTCCTTGTCCACTATCTGGTCCACGCCAGAGACTTTGAACGGCACTAAATCTGTAAAATATCCCTTTTCTTGGGCCTCCTTTGCCAGCGTGTGGGATCGCAGGGCGTACTCGTCCTGTTCGCTGCGCGAAACATTAAAAGCGGAAGCCAAGCGATCCGCCGAATGGCCCATGGTTTCACCTGAGGAGAACTCGGCCACAGCAGGGAGCTCGGGAGCCAGGAAGCCCGGCCTGAAGGTGGAGAGCAGCGACAGGCGCTGGCCAAGGGTCTTGGCCTTGTTGGCCTTCAGCATAAGAGAACGCATCTTGCGGGAGTGGCGGATGGGCACGTCGGACATGAACTCCACACCTCCGGCCACAATCACATCGTACGTGTTGGTGGCAATCAAGCCCATGCCGGTGGTAATGGCCTGCAAGGAATTCATTGACGGAATAACTTATTTACGGAGCTCTGTTTGATGGGTCTTACCGCATTGGAACTGATGCAGGCCATGGTGACGGTGTGAGCAGGTGTCTTATTGCTAAATCCAGCAGCCAGTGCTGCCTCGCGGGCAATATTCGAGGTCTTGACCTCTTGGATAACGCTGCCATAGACGATGTAGTCGATCAGCTCCTTGTCCAGGCGATTCTTTTGCAACAGTGACCTATCGATCATCGTTAAAAATGTGCAAATACTTTCGGAGAATTAGATATTACTTACAGGAGTGAGTGTCTGGCCAGTTCATGGGGCATCAGCTTGGAGTAGGCAGTGCCGGAGGTCAGGAAAGGAGTCCTGACACCGTCCACCAGCACGATGTTCTGACTGTTCTTCTGCTTGGGCTGTGGAGCAGCCACCGCGGCCGATAAAGCCCTGCATTGAACTGGGGAAAATATATAATTAATTAGGAATACTTTGCTGAAATTAAAATATATATATATAGAAAATATGTTTGACTTATTTTATTGTAATATTTTATTATTTCTGATCCACAATCTTTTATTATCGCAGACGTCACTGCCACTTTCGGGTTTGGACTTTGTCCCGTTCCGATTCAATCTGCCGCACATCGTTATGAATTATCAGAGGCAAAGTCCAAAGAATGCATCATTTAGTAGTTATAGTTATTGTAATCAATATTGGGTGGAAAAACTTACGTTTTCTGGAGGCGTTTAATAGGTGGAACGCTTTTCCCTTGCGGCAGACATTTTGCAGGCTCATTTTGCGAAAGTTTACTTTTCTTTTCGGATTTCTCGTCGCGTCTCTCGGTTCGCGTTTCGTTGCGTTGTGTTTCAGCTGTTCGCTATTGGCTATCGATATAGGCTATCGCAAGGTTGGAAGCCGATAATTTTCGAATTTGGTTTTCGAAGATTGAATATCCATTAACTCTCTTATTTTTATACGTTTGCAGGGTATTAAATTTGTAGTAAGAAGGTTGCTACACGTTGAAGGAGTCATTTCGGACCCTATAATCCATATATATTATTGATCAGCATTAACAGCTGAGTCGCCATCTCCGGTTGAAAAATAAATTTTCGGATTTTTTTCAAAATTTGAAAATTTTATAAGGGGATACATCATTAAAATTGTCAAAAATTTGCGAAAATTTCTTTTTTTTTTTAATTTTAAATGAAACATGAAGATTGGTAACCCTATAAAAACTTGCACAGAAAAGTCCAAATGGAAGTTAATGAATTTTTGGGTTAGGTATAAGTTGCTTAAGTTGCTTTCCGATTCGAACCTATGATTAATTTGCAAACTGCAAGATATACAAATTTTCTTTCTTTAAGGAATACAATAAAAACGCAGACACATTTTCAGGCAACTGGAACAGGAAAATAGTTGGCCATTCATCTCGATACAAAAGAACAAATCAAGCACTTTTTGGTAGTTATTGATATGGATAGATTTCACCAATGACCTTGACCCTCTCGCTGTGTTCCGATTATCCTATTAAATGTCCAGTTTACGATGACTGTCTATTCGTCACCTACGAATTGTTTTTGTACCCTTTACCATAAAAGAATCTCATTAACAGTGTCCTTGAACTACCTCGTAAATGTATGCTGCAACAGGCAAAGGATACGGATATGCAAAGGAGTAAAGTTAAATTTACTACCAAAATAAGATAAATTTTCTTCCTAGAAAAGCAAAGCATGAATGTTAACTAAAGCAATCAAAATTTAAAATCAAAATTTAATGTTACTTCTGCTCAACGACTATTGGATTCAAATGGAAACAGAAAGAATTATGGAAATGTATACAGTATGGTGTATAATTTAAAAATTCGGAGATCTTAAAATCCTTAACATATTTTTTGAGATTTGTATTAAAAGTTAATAGGATACTCTTCAGTAAAAACACAATTATGTCTTGTATATTTCACAATGTAAAACTTAACAAATGATCTTATTTAATTTAAAATGAATTCCTTGAAATACTTCTTCCAGCGACGCATGCAAATTCCTTTGGGTGTGGGTGCGTTTATTGCCCTCTAAAAGAAATTAGGTTCAAGGACGAAAGTGATTGAAAAAGGGAATAGAAAAAGGGTAGGATGCAAATGCAGGCGGCGTGTGCATCTCAAATGAGCGGTCGTTAAGACCTTACAATGGAAGTGAATAATGAACGGATGGCAACTTATTGGATCAAGGTCCTTGGTGAAATCTTTCTTAAAAAGGAGAAAAGCATACATACATATGTACATACATTTTTATTTAATATACTTATATACTTATATACTTATATACTTATGTACAATACATTCCAGAGACCTACAGCAAGTATCGAAATCTGATTTGTTTGAAAACTTTGTTTCACAAAAACTATCTACATAATCGATTTACAGATTAAATTATACTAGTTTGCTGGGAAACAGACTACGGGACATGACTACATTGCATTGTCCAGTGATGTAGAACTTGAATACATAATTTATAGACCTCCTTTTCATAACTTCTTAATCCTAGACTTAAAATTATAATAGTATGCTGGCGAAACAAAGCCTGTCACCGTTAGTTAGAAACATACTTTATTATAAGAGTTAAAGTTTAATAAACAAATTGTATCGCGAACAGACAACAATTCAAATCTGGTGAAAGCTCAAATGATGGCGGGAAAAAATACACATCAGCGCTCTCTTTGCTGTTGAGAGAACGCGAGAGCGGGAGAGCAAGATCTTACAGCCAAAGAGAGCGCTCTCTTTTACTTACAACTCTGCGAGCGAAGAACCTATAAATACGAGCTGCAAACGTAACGTTTGGTTTGTTTCATCCAAACCCAAATCGAAATCGGCGGAAATTTTTGCTTGCCAAGACGTGCGCGCGCGCAAAGCAAACTGAAAGTGGAAGCAGAAAAAGCGAAGCAAACGAGAGGCAAGATCGGATCTCCCGCTCTCGCAGCCGCGCTCGCGCCAGAAAAAGTTTTACCAATCAAGTTTTTTATTTCGCAATAAAACAAAAACAAAAAACAAAACTTCAACCTAGTTAAAGTTAATGTTGCTGTGTAGTGAACTTTTGTGAGTGTGTGCTCGCGTGCATGGGTATTGGTAGTGTCTCTGTGTTGGTTGTTGGTTTCTTTCGTTGCGTCGCAGCAGCAGCAGCAGCAAAAGAGGAGGAAGCGCAGCAGAAGCAAAAGTAACAGTGCAATCGCAGGAAAAACCAAAAGTAAAAAAAAGAGAAATTCAGTTTCCGCTTAATTATTGGCCTTGCGAAAGTGATTAAAAAACAAGGAATATTTACACTTCCTTAAACTGAATTACATACCCGAAACGAAACAAAAAGTGTGCAAAAAATGATCAATAAAAGGTGTGGGTGAGAGCGCAACGCCTGGAACTAACACAGAACCATTCAAAGAACGCGGAAAATTCGGTCAGTGTGCGGAAAGTAGATTGAAAACTGGATTCTTAACTTCGTCTTGGGATTAACCAACTGCTGAAAACAAACTTAATGAAAGAGGTGAGTTAGGCTTTCATCATTTGCATTGCAACATTGCTTAGCGAGCGAGCGAGCGGGACGCGAAACATGCAGATAAAAAGATGTGATGTTGTTTTAGGTATCTCTTTTTAGTTGTTGTACGTGTGCTGTGTGTCTCTTGTGCACCTAAGCACACAAAGCAGCCAAGGTCAGAAACTAACTTAATAGTGGTAGAGAAAACAGAAAACCGAAAACTGAAAACATTCCAAGCTCGCTTCGTTTCGTATTGGATCGTATTTAAGTCTGGCTATGAGCTTCGGGTCGTGGCGATCCAATCTTCGTCGGCATGAACATCATTAGCAGTAACAACAGCAGCAACAACAACAACTAATACTACGAAACTACGAAAAGTAAAGCCAAGAAAGGCTTAGTGACCTTCATCGCGTGCTTTTGTCCCTCTGTGTGTGTGAATGTGATCGTATGCATGTCATGAAATTTGAAGACATACATTAACTCACGCACGCACGCACACACCAACTAACTTAACTGCTTTCCAATAAGAGTGAAGGTGAAAAAGCACAACGCAACCAAATACATATAGACACACAGACAGACATGTGGTTACAGGGCGATCGCGCAGATGTTACAAAATATGCTGTTCGTATGTCGCTGTGGTTGTTGTATGTAGTCTTCAATCGCATAAAAACGTACACAAGTGCGGAGAGCTTTGATTTCACCAAAAACAAAACTAACAACCAAACATGCGGACATTCTAAAGGGGGACAGGGACAAACTCTTTAACTGCATTCTCAAACGCCTTTCTGTATCTTTCGCAGCCTTATCGGCGCGCTTATAAAGTTATGTAATTCAAATTTGGGTCACTTTTACGAGTGTAGCATTTACAGCAAGTACGGCGAAGGCAACAACGACGACGACGGCTCTTGCTGCGACTCTTTGCCATTTTCCGTGCTTCTTTGCAAGAGAGCTTTCGTGAAAGGGGAAAGAGCGCGAGGTTGACGGCAAAGGCGTAGTGAGAGCGAAAGAGAGGGGCTGAAAACGAGTTTGTCGCTCCCTTTTTAACTTTTTACCTTTTACGAGCTTATAATACTTTCAAAACCAGTGGCTTTCTCTTTTGAGGCCTTCGAACTGATCCGTCGTCGAGTTCCCGTTCTCTTCGACACATGTGCTTTATATTCGTAAACACTCACGCAATCTGCACACTGACACACGGCCATACAACGTGGGGGAAAGAGTAATTGTAAAACTACATTTACATTCACATTACATCGGAACGATGACGACGACAAAAATCGGAAAGTGTGGAAACATACTGACATAAATACATACTCTACGATTGCGTTCTCTGTCTAAATGTATGGCACTGTGTGTTTCGTTTTGTTTAGCTTTTGGTGTTGTTGCTACCGATCCTCTATCTCCCCTCCTTTCCTCTTCAAACAAACATACATACGTATATATATGTATGTACATACACAAACATAGAGAGAAAAGCTTTTTGTGAAAGGTGATTTTTATGCGCGCATTGTGAGTTAGCGCGTTTGTTTTGTCTCGCTCTCCTTCCCTCGATCGCCTCCGCTTTGTCCCTTTCATTCTCATTTCAAGTTTGCGACTGTGTGTGAGTGAGCGGGTATCGCGAACAGAGGAGAAATGTTGAAATGCAAACACAGCGTGCGAGACGAGATCGAGAAGATATATCCCTTCTTCTTCGTCTTCATCTTCTTCATATGCTCAATTAAAGTTTTGTCCAATGATTCAAGGGGTTATTACTGCATGTTTTTTTTCATGTCGAACTTTCACCTTTGGCAAAGATTGCGAAATCTTGCAAAGAATTGCGGTAGAAAGTGAATGGTGATATTCAACTATCCATTTCGCTCTGGTAATACCGTTAGCAGGAATTTATCTAGTGTTAGAATGAGCACACCAGTCTGGACCCCCTTCTTCCCCTCCCACTCCCGCAAATGATCCATGCTCTTTTCAGCTTTCGCTTCCCATGAAAAATACTGAAGCAATAACAACAGAAATAACACAAATTCCCATTACCATTTCCATTCTCTTGCTCTCCGCCAAGCCAGTCATTCAAGTTTTATTTTATTGAAAGTGAACGTTTCGTCTCCACGCGAAGGAGCATGGCTAGGGGGCTGACGCCAAGGGAGACGCAGCGAAGCGTAACAAAAAGCAAGACTATCTTTCTGAAGTTTTTATTTATTTATTTTATTTTTTTTTCGAGATCTGCTGCTGCTGAACTTTAGCTTCGCTTTTTATGTTTTCTGTGGGGCCATGCAGACTGGCACTCACACACACAAGCGCGCGCCCCAAAGAGCTTACAAGCCATGCTCTTGCACAATACAATAATGGTGGCCCCCTTCAGTAGTGCTGCACTACTCGTACACACTCAGGCCTTACACACCGATACAACCGCACAGGCCAGCGAATTTCAGTGTAACAATTTCATCGCATCGCAGCGCCAAACTCGAAATACAACAAAAAAATGAATACAACGGCGGGAAAGCTTTTGAGGCAGCAGCACTAGCAACAACAACCACAACAACAACATTGCCGAGCGTTTCTTTGGCAACTGTGCTCTATGAAGTGAAGCTTTCATCTTTTCCAACAAAGCGCACACACACACACGATCGCTTACATATTCATCATACATACATTTGACGATTGTGGGTTGCAGTATTACAAAAACACCAAGTACAGAAAACCTAAAAACCTGATTAGTAAACATTTTACTATTGCGTTGTCTGTGTGTTAGAGTTTGTTAATGCCAGCGCACTCAAATTCCAGTATTGTCGCATAAAACCGTTATGGAAAGCACTTTCTAAATCCCATTTCCACGATCCTTTTTCTAATACAATGCTGCCGTGTGTAGGTGCTGTCCGTGTATGCGTGTATGACACAATCGCTGGAAAGAGAGTGGCAGCATGGGACCGAGAGAGAGAGTTAGGGCGGCGGCGGGGAACAGAAGAGACACTTTCGGTGAAAGGCGGATTGTGTAATACCAAAAGCCAGAGAGCCAGACTACAGAGACAGATGCAGACATTTCCCATTCCACAACTTTCTATTTCGCTGACTCTACTTTTACTGCAGTGTTATAAACATTAATACGCAAAAGCCACAGTTCAACTTCTATAACTCGAACTTCCGTAAGTCGCTTGAAAATGTCTTCGTAACTGGAATTTTTAATTTTTATTGAATTTCGAAATTATGAAATTGAATGGATTGGACTTTAGCGAATGTACTTTTGAGAAAATGTTGCACATTTTTAAGACAATTCATTTTACACATTTTAAAAATTTTCTTTTAAGAGGATAGATACTAAAATCAGCCTCGTACGTATGGCTGTTAACTTTTTTTTATTATTATCATAAAGTCGAATTAATGGCTTTAACATAAACTCATAGAAAAATGTTTAATCAGCTAAAAGCATAATCTAGCGCAATTGGAAATATATTCCACAGAAACAAGAATTCGAATAGTAGTTTAGCTTATGCTCAAAAATATTACATTTTGAATATTAGAGTATTGTAATTTAAAGGAAAAATAGTTTTTCATAGGGAATTCAAACTGTAGTAGCTCTTCCTTATTGTAGATGAGTATTGTGGTTCTATATGGGACACGAGCAATTTGATACTTTTCATCTCGAGTGTAAGAAAACAGCAGAAATCTAACGACTCCCCTGCCTCGCTCTCCCACTTGCAGTTTCAAAGAATGTTGATGTTGCAATACAGCAAGCATGGCGAGTGCATACTCAAGGAAATCGGAGCAGCCTTCAGAGGGGAGCACCCGGCGGACCTGACCATAGTCTGCGAGAACAAAGTAAAGCTCCATGCCCATAAATTGGTCCTAGCGGCCGCCAGTCCGCTGATAAGGTGAGTTTCCTTTCGGTTTGATCAGACACACACATAACCATTTTACATACGAACAGGAACCTGCTACAGGACACGCACCTGAGCGACTGCTCCACCACCGTATACTTTCCGGACGTGAATGCCACCTACTTTAAATTCCTGCTGGATTTCCTGTACTCCGGCCAAACGTGCATCACCTCGCGCGATGTAAACTACCTGCACGATCTGCTGCTGCTGCTGCAGATCAAGTCGGACAGTTGGAAGACCACCGATTCCGCGTATCTGAGCAGCAAATGTGGCGGCAGTTTGCGGGAGCGATCGGACAGGCGGAAGCAGCAGTTTGTCCCCACGCAAAATCTGGAGGCACAGGATCAGACGCTTAAGTACGAGGTGGACAGCGTGGATGAGTCGCGCAATGCCGCGGACTTTTCGGCGGCCTTCCATTCCGGCGACAATTGCGAGAGTGCACCAGAGTGCGAGCGAAGTGGTGGCTGTGGCGACGGCGGTGGCGGTGGCGGCGGGGGCAGTAGCATTCTTCACAAAGAGGAGGAGGACGAGGACGACGACTACACCACCCACAAGGATAACAAGAGCGACAAAGACATGGATGAAATCGTAAATCTCTCGAATGCCCCACCCAGCGGTACTAGCGGCAGCAACAGCAACATCAGCAGCAGCAGTAACCACCACCCACATCATCACCATCATCACCACCACAACCACAACCACAACAATAACAATATCAATAATAACAACAACAACAGTTCATCAGCTATAAATCCCGTCAACCTTTCCCTCGACCTGCGGACGAAGAGCGAGAATTCGACCAGCCGAACCCTCGGATCCGGATCAGAGCACAGCGGCATCGACCTGGCGGTGAGCGCGAGTGAAAGCACAAAGCGCAAGGGCCTATTCTTTGACTCGCACAAGGATGTGATGAAGCCGCTGTCGGATGGCTCCGATATTAACAGTTCGCCGGAGAACTATGTGGTCACGCCGCACAGAAAGCGTCGACCCGGATTCCACAATACACAGAGCGACAACCAGCCATTCACATCGTATCAGCACAACTTGCTGGAGGAACTCCGCCTGGTCAAGTCGACGTCATCGCCCCATTCCGGCTTCGGATCGGAAAAGAATATGCTGTCGCACTTGGAGGATGGAGCGCTCAACGGTGACACTCTAACGCCGGATCGAAAGCAATTGCTGGAGGCGCAACGCAATCGTGCCCAGAGTCCCGAGATACCGATGCATTTGGGTCCCCAATTCGTATACCAGTGGCAGTCAAATCAGAGTGCCGCCATGTCCGCAATGCCCAATCTGCAGTCGCGACTCTCTAGTCTGTCGCACATCAGCCTGAATCTGGACCATCCGGAGGGGCGCAGCGGATCAGCTTCGGGCTCGGGATCAAACCTGGCCGGCAGCAATACGCACGCGTCCTCGGTGCGCGAGTATCGTTGCGAGTATTGCGGTAAGCAGTTCGGCATGTCCTGGAACCTCAAGACCCATCTGCGTGTCCACACCGGCGAGAAGCCGTTCGCCTGCCGTCTCTGCGTGGCCATGTTCAAACAGAAGGCCCACCTGCTGAAGCATCTGTGCTCGGTGCACCGGAATGTTATCACCACCACCAACGGGGCGGACACGGAGAATCGCTACAGCTGCTGCTTCTGCTCCATGTGCTTCGAGTCGGTCCAGGAGCTGGTGCGTCACCTGTCTGGCCACCACAACAACCTGCTGCTGACGAAGAATCTTCGCGAGTAAAGCGGCTAAGCAACCACCAACCGATGATCTGCCCGAGATCTGTCCGATCCGCCGGACGGACTACTGCAAAGAGACCTGAATTTTTAAATATATACAATGTACGATTGTACGGTAACGAGTAACAGATTTAATTGTTTAATGTATAAATATGTAAAATGTACATTTAAATCGTAAGTTTACGCAAACACACATTCACGCGCCTCTGCTCGATCATACGCACGTATCTTTCACCGCAGCCAGCGTCCTGGAGAGCTCCCACATCCGCACCTGCATCGGAGGGAGGCCAATAGAGTTGCTGTGTCTCATTTAAGTTTTATTTTGGACATTCAATCGAACCCAAGATCCACTAGATGCACCCCCTACCACTACGAACCCTTCCCCATTTAACCGGCTGGTCCATTCGCAGTGGAGAGCACTTAAGTTGTAAGGTTATTTTTATATGCAAGGTATTGTAATTTCTATTGTATTTCCAAACAACCAACAACAATCCGTCGTCTTGCATGAACTCTTCATTCATTGCCGCCTACGCCTAAAATATTTGATTAATTTTGTACACTAATTCTTTCACGTTAAGATTTTCCACAAGATATTCCCTCCTCTTTTAGGATCAAGAAAAACATCAAAGTGTGTCAACTTGTACAGTATAATTTCGCAAAGCTCGTAATAAAATCAGAAAAGCATTTCCGTTTTGTTTATATATACATTTTCAAGCAATTTTGTAGAAATATATACATTATGTTAAACCGATATTGTTGTGTTTTGTATAGAGTTTCAAAATTAAAAATGGTAAGTTATTTTCCTTAAATTATATATAAATTCAAGACCGTTAAATTTTGTTTTCCAAATTCGGCAAGCTTTTCTCGAAAAATTCGTTACATTTTTGGTATTTTGCCAATGTTGTGAAAGAAAAAGCTTGGTATTTTTCAGACCAAATTGGCAGGCCCATTGGTGGATAGGTGCAAAAAGTATAAAAGTACCAACAAACGAAAGCTTAAAATATTCCAAAAATGAAATGATTGAAAAAAAACAACCTTTCGATAAATTTGTTTTCTCTTTGTTTGTAAACAGTGTAACTAAAAGCGCAATTTGTCTACCCTTGCAGGATATTATAGATTTAGTCAGAAGCTTATAACACAGTGAAGTAGTCATTTCCGACCCCATAAATCATATATATTATTGATCAGCATTAACAGCTGAGTCGATCTAGCCATCTCCGGTTGAAAACTAAATTTTCGGAATTTTTTTAAAATTTGAAAATTTTATAAGGGGTTACATCATTAAAATTGTCAAAAATTGGAAAAAATTTCAATTTGTTAAAAATGTTAAATGAAGTAAGCAGATTTATTAGCCTAACAAAAACCAGCATAGGAAAACTTTCCGCATTAAAATTAATGCTCTTTTGGCTTAGTTATGAGTTTTTTAAACTTTGGTTTGTTGACCAAAATATCATATAAAAATATAAATAATATCGACTTAAAGAATGGTTTATAGTATTAGTCAGATCTTAAACTGTAGGAATCGAATTTATCCTAACTGCATAGAATGAAGCTATAAAGACTGCACTCAAAAGTGCTGTAATTGTAATATATACTTAAATTAATTAAATCTTTTAATAATAATGTTTAAAAATTAAAATATCCAGGCAATGTCAACGCAAGTTCGTTATGAGGCATAACGCTGTAAGTTGACTTTTTTAAGCATTTTGCATTTTGAATAGTAACGAAGTTTGGCGCCCCAAGTGGCGCTGTCATCGGTGGCGCGATTGCTGAGATGCTTTTCGATGGCGACTGAAGGCGGGTTATAGATAATATTCGCACTGCTGGTCGTTTGAAGTATAACAAAACAAGGAGCTATTTGGTCAGACCGTCGAGTGCGTATTTTCCATTGCGGACGATTTGCGAGTCGCTGAGAGTTAACGTTAACTGTTATTTTTAGTTAAAAATTGCATCTGATAGGTCGGATCGGAACGGGTTCCGGGAGCGCCATATCGCGACTATGTCCGCCAAGTGGGCAACCAGCAGCAACATCCAGGAGCGTCGAGGCATTTGGTGATGTGATGAACACTGCAAACTGAGAACTCGAGAAAAAACTCCAGCCCAGCTCGACTCCGAATCGAAATCACAATAGAGGCCACAACATAACGCACTTACACACACACACAACGCACAGGCCCACAAATATACACTGCAACATATGCACGAAGACAATTGCTAATTGGAGTTCAGTGATTGCAACTGTGAGAAGTGGGATAGGCGGATAAAAGCAGAACAACGGTCCACGGATAGCAGCAGCGGATAGCGGATAACGGTCAACGGATGACCATGGCTCTGCCAAAGAAAATTAAATGTTTTAAATATTTGGTTTACAGTTATGTGTTTCTCCTGGCGGTAAGTTGGCACACATTTCCACCTTGCATTGGTATGCAATCGCCCAACGAGGGCATAATTACTTGTTAAATTACATAAGGTAAATTCGTAAAAGCAGCGTCGCCATTGCGACATGTATGCATGTGTGTGTGCGTGTGAATGTTGCCAAGTAATCTACATTTTGGCCTGTTAAAGAATGCACTTCATAAAAGAAATCCTTCCCATTCATTTATAATTTCTTTATTTCTCTTTAATTTATTGAAAGTATGTCAATTAAATCCATACGGCAGTGATGTAGTCAACTTTAATGTTACATTTCCCACAAGTGCACTTTAACATATGTATGTACATATTTACATATTTACATACTTAAGCTTTTATGTATGTACATATGTATGATGTACATGATTCCCATGTAGAATTGCGCATCCTTTTATAAACGACTTTGTGTTAACGCGAAGCTGGCTCACGCTCTGTGCCTCTGCTGCGGGTCCCGACTTCGAGTGACCTTGAGCTACTTAAAAGCTGCGCCTAAGCATGTACAATTGAGCCCACTTACATACACATACACACATGCGTGCAGGCTTCGCCGCGTGACGTCAAAAGGGAGTAGACGTTCATATGTATGTATGTATGTACATGGACTGTTTGTGATGTATGTAGTGTACATAGTGGCAGCATCCCGAATACACAGAGTGCAGTTAAAGCCTCGCCAAGGACACCGAACAGGGAGGGCCTGCGATAGCAGATAGCAGCCAAGGACTCCCGCACCCGAAAACGAATGCGAGCTGTGATTAAAATGTTCACCTCTTTCAGCTGACCGGAGCTGCACAGATATTCCTGGGCACATCGCTGCTCTGGGGCCATTCGGTCTACTATGGCATCGTGCAAAACAAGCTGTGGGCCCCGGCAGCGATCCTCCTTTGCCTGGGACCCGTCACCTTCATCCTGTGCTGGATGGGCTGCCAGGCCACAAACCAGCGCAAGCGCTGCCTCTTGGGAATGGTAAATGGGTCTGGGTGTGGGAGTGGAGTGAATTCCTTGCCTCTTTTATTGAGAACTTAATTATACGATTCGGTTTCTACAGTTCGCAGCCCTGCTGGTGGCCTGCATATGTGTTCAATTCATTATCTGTGGCTGGTCCTTAGCCATGCGGGAGAATCTGCCCACATCCGTGGAGATCTTCATCGACGACTCCTTTGTCGAGTTCTTGGACAAGTTTTCGCGCACCAAGGTCGACAATTTACACTTGTGGAATCGGATGCAATCGCAGGTGAGCTTACCTAAGCAAGGAATCGGATAATATACTCTTAACTTTTGGAAGAAGACTAAATTATTTAGATTTGGGTATGGTTGTGCACTGATTGATGATTTGTTGCACTCTAGAGCGGTATAAATAATAATCTTAGCTATAAGCTAAATCTCAAATAATTCTAATTTTAAAAAATAACGTAAATTGAAGTTATATCTCTCAATTTAATAAATAATACAAGCTTGACACCTTAAGGTGGATCTTAAACGAACCAAACTAAATCAAAACCAAACTAAAACAAAATCACAGCAAAATTTGTTAGAATTAGCTGAAAGGAAACAGTGTATCTTAACTAAGAGTTTATATTAATGAAAATCATTGTAGAATACTCGTTTCCAATGTGATTGTTTAAATAATTGATTTTAATAAGGCTTTACTAAGGTAGGGAGGGATGTTTGCCTTGGTTTAGACTATTAGTTTAGGAAATAATTATAAAAATGTTTTTAATTTAGTTTTAATGGTGACTCGTTTGATATAAATTTAATCCTTCGATAGTTTTGATATTTTAAAGTTAATATATTCCAAAACTTTTTTAAATCTATATACTAAAATTCAATATTTTCGATAAGATATTGCTCTCAAAGTTATAAGTCTTATTCTTAATAAGATTCCTTCTTCTTCTAAATCCATTCAAGTTACAATGTTGCGGTGTGGACGGACCTCTTGATTACCGCCGACTTTCGCTGCCGTGGTCCTGCTGCTCCCGTCCGGAGCACGCCTACGAGTCGGCCTGTGATACGCACTACAAGCGCGGTTGCCTGGCCGTTGTTTCGGAGCAGATAAAGAGCCGCTTACTGATCACCGCGTTCGGAGCTGCCATTATAGCCATAATTCAGGTGAGATTGCCATATGTACCTGCGTATAACTGATCTAAAATTGGTTTCTCGCGCAACACAGAGCCTGGGAATCTTCTGTACTGTCCACCTGACCATTCTGTTCGGCAAGAACGACAACACCCATCCTATTAATATGAACCGAAAAAAGAAGCAGCAGCAGTTCTTGCCACTAACCATACAGGATAAGAGGCACGACATGCCTTCGCCCATTAATCTATCCCCATCAGCACCAGGGCAGCGGGTTTTAAAAACTGCTCTGCCCCCGGCCATGCACAAATGACAGACGATTAGCTTTTAAGAAATTGAAAAAAAATTTATGGAAAACTCCAAAGAAAAGATGAAAAAAATTATAAAAAAAATGTTGTAAACTGAGAGATGGAATGAATATAACTGTGACCCTCAATGTTACGTTATGGTAATTTTAAACAATTTAACGTTCGAGAAAAGAAACAACATTTGAATTTGGATTAACTCTCCAGTAGTTTAATTAAAGCTTAAAAACAATTGGATCTTACTTGTTTTGTCAGGGGTCTCAGGCGTTGTGGTGATGCGTGATGGTAGGCGGCACGTAGAAGGTGTCCACTGCCTTGGGCTTCTTTTTCTTGCCAAACCAGCGCTTCGGATAGTACACTTTCTTCTTGTAGATCTGGATGTCGATGTCGTCCTTGTTCTCGAAGTACCACAGATTCTGACGCTTCGTTTCCAGCTCGCTGAGCGTCTTCCTGATGCTCTCCCTACGCTGATCGAGACTCTGTGTCTCCAGTTGGTATTTCACAGCATCGTCGAACTTTTTGGCCCAGGCCTTGTAGCTCTCTTCGTATTCAGCTAGCAGCTTGGGCTCAAACTTCTCGGAGCTCCGCTTGACGCTGCCCTCTAACAATTCTTGGATGGTGTTGGATTTACCGCTCTTCTCTGCTGCTTCTTGGAGAGATTTGAGCAACGCTTCGGAACCCTCCGTCTTAAGGCTTTCAGTGACACTTAGTGCAATCGTTAGGGTTTCCTTATGCAGCGTCGCACCAGCCTTAGCCAGGAAGTTGGAGGCTTCATTCAGTTGTCCGGTAAGTACATATCCAATCAGGGCAATGTTTTCCTTGATCTCTTTCAGAGATCCTTCTCCAGCTGTCGCCAATCGAATCATGGCTCGCCCCAGTTTCTTTTCCTCAGTGCTTTCGCTGGCATCTTCAGGATAATTGCGAAGGAATTTGACACGGACCTTTTCCACATCGGAGGCCTTGGGTGGAGGCTGAGGAGGCTGGGAAGACTCAAAGGGCTTGAAGTCCTTTGCAAATGCGTGGAACGACTGGAGGGACAGTGCCTCGACCAGCTCGTTGTTGCATAAGCCCCTTTCCACGACAAGAGCGGCCACCTGGGCGGCTTCCACGGCGTGACCACTGTGCAGCAGGACGTCCATCAGGAAGCAGCTGGAAAACTGGTCAAGGAACAGGCCGTACTGAGTGGGATTGCGGAGCACCGATATTGCCTCGTGGGGATTTGTTGAGTCCAATAATTGCTTGACCAGAACACTCGGCAAGATGGGAACCATACTGGCCTCCTTTTGTTTCCTGCAAGGTATACCTGTATTAGTTTTGGTGCCAGGGGTCATTTTCATAGTTACCTTAGTTTTTGCAGGCGATCCACCAGATCCATTGGCCGATTATCTGGATTGACGAATAGGTCCAAGTCTATATTCGTTACCGCATGACTGCTGGGTGCTGCGAACTTTGCCGGTCCTTCGTTTGCCAATTTGCTGAATTCCGGGGAAAAGTAAGACATCAATCTTCTGGGCGGGAATGCGCAGGAAATCCTTGATCGCAACATGGCCAGCTAGTGTTTTGTTTTAATTCATGAAATTTTATAACTTTATTTCCTATTTTTTCCTCTTCTTGCGATAAATGATATATGAGCGCTCAGCTGAGCTATCGATATATTTTGCTCAGAAATTGTCTATTTCCATTGGAGTTTTGAGTATGTTCGCACTGCAATGATTTATTTGAAATCCAAAGATTGTAAGTAATGTTAATAATATTTAATAACATAAACATATATTAAGTAAGAAGGGATTTTGAAATGATTTTATTCGTCATGCATATAGCAATAATTTAAATAATTATGGACCAATCCGTTTTCGATGTTAGTATATTGCGGTATTTATAATAAAGCTACTTGCCAAACGGGCACACAAAATTTAAAACAGAAAAGCTCAAAAAGGAAAGGATATTAGAAAACAACATTGAGGCAAACAGAGGAACAGGATGAGGCTGGCGTTGCAAAATAGCTTTCCTAAGTAACAAAAATTAGATTCTTAATTTAATTTTTTGTATAGTAAAGACGTTAAAATACCTTTTTCACATCCCTTTTTGGGCTTTAATATTTATTAAACTTTTCAAAAAGTTCCGCCAAATCTCTAGTAACATTAAGGGTACCTTCGTCCTTCTGCTTGAAACAACTGGAATGACACACTTTGTGTAACAAACATTCAGAAAATAAAAATATAAATAAAAATAAATATATAATATTTTAAAAGATATCGAGGTATAGAGAGTTCTTGAAGAATTGTTAAGAGAAGCAATGGTTAAAGGTCAGTTAACTATTTGGGGACTATTACTATTCGACCATATATGCTACACAGACGGATGGCTTCGAGGATCCTCATGGAGGTTTAAAATCTTCTTCTGCTATTTACACGAAAGAATTTGAAATGAACGAGGCCTTGTGTGTAATGGTTTGGATTCTGATCCAATTATTACAAGTATAGCTAGGGATTTAACCAGTGTCATCCTGTTGATAAAAATTGATTAATTTTTACTAGTAATACCCACAGAGCCATTGCAATTCCATTAGTCCAATTAAGAAGGGGGGATGGGAGGACATGCTCTTTTATCTTTCAATTTCAATTTCTCCCCTCTGCTAAATTGTGAACAATTCCCTCTTGAGTGGCGTGAAATCCGGTACTTAAGCTGACTTTACCGACTTTTCCACCCCATAAAAGGACTCTCGGTTTTCCCACGCAGGTTCAACCAGCTGAGCCTTCGTAAGTACATTGGATACTCTGGCAGTTTTGTATATTGTTTTGGGTGCCCAAGTGAAAGCCATGGTAATGGTACACTGATCTTATTTATTTAACGCAAATTCGCTCCAAAATAGATAGTAAAAATAATATCAAAATAATTGTATTCGTCAAAATGTATACTAATATTTACATCGATATTAGTAGTTGTCTATATTTGATCGTATAAGCATTTCATTTGACGGGCATTCTGGGAACTCTTAACTACCGATGTTGGACTTAGATACTTAGAGCCGGATACGGAACTCTTGCGGTTGTCCATTTTGATGGACTTGTCTTTCATTATGTAGATGGCATGTCGCTCCTGCTTGCGGAACTTGGCTCTCCTGTTTTGGAACCACACCTGAAAGAACAAGGGTTTCAATTAATTCCTTAACTGAAGATGTAAGAATTACTAATAAATGGGGTAGTGGTTTAGGATTAAATGTATCGTTATAGCTTCGTGGAAGATCTGATAAGAATATTTTTTCATTATAAATTTACATCCAATAATTAGTTTTTAAGGATTTCTCAGATATAGTTTCGAGAACATACCTGAACTCGGGCTTCTGTCAAATGCAGTTTTGATGCGATTTCCTCTCTTGTGTAAATATCTGGATAGTGGGTCTCTAAAAAGATCTTCTCCAGCTCGTTCAGTTGGTTCGATGTAAAGGTAGTTCGAATCCGTCTCTGTTTTGATTTATCCGTCAAGCTCAAACCGTCATCGCCATACGACTTTAAATGGAAATCTAAGATATGGGCATCACAGTTTGAAATATAGTAATCAATAAGTTTGGTTAATTGTTGTGTTAATTATTTTTAGGAAGAGGTAAGTGTACACATCGTACCCGAGTTATAGGACGCTATGTTGTGAGTCCCAGGATAAAATTCTGAAACTGTGGTTATCTTTGAAAATAGTAAGCTCGATTCCTGATTCAGAGAACCTCTCATCGCAGTCTCGTTGGCACATAGCTTGTAGTTGGATGAGTCAATCATTAAATTATAGTGATTCATGTGATTTGCCACAGAAGAGAGTCCGCCACTTGCATTATTATTATGATAAAACTCCGTGTTAGCGTTGTATATACTACAATCCTTGTCGAAGTTCGCCTTGTTGATGAATGAAAATTCCATTGCAAATGCGGCACTTGTAAGATTTTACTGTTTTTTTTTTAATGAGTAGCACTAGTCATTTCCCGATAAAACACATAGTTATAGTCGCGCGGAAAATATACACATTTTTTAACTGCCCTTGAATAAATAAGCTTCGATTACGATTGTACCAACTACAGAGCCACAGCCTTTGGACGAAAAAGGATGCTGCACTTGTCTCCCGGAGAAAGGGACGGAAAATTTCATTCGTTTCCGCGTTTGGGGGCGTTCCTAACGACCGCCACTCGACATAAGGGTGGAAATTGGATGTTCCGGCGCGTGCCGTGCACTGCAATTAAAACTTAAGCATTTACCATATATTATATGTATTCTGCTCTTCGAAATGTGTAAATATTTTCTCCAAAATGTATAAATTCAATGGGTAATAGTACTTACAATCGGTCTTTGTAGTGTTACCAAAAATTAAGCAGTTCTTATGAAGTAAGTTGCTTATAAAAACTTTTTTATAAATTAAATAATTTAGATCTGATTATTTTAAGTGCAACAATTTTCGCAGGCCTCAAAAAGCAACATTCAGAAGATTAAATTAGTGCTTTATCCTTACATCGAAGCGCAAATGTTCTTCCACAGTAGTTCTTATACAATAGACATCCCTTTAAAAATAAAAACACTTAAAAAACTTGCACTCATAAAATTTAAACTAATTGTACTTGCAGTGAGTAAATTGAAAAAGGAAAGTTAGTCCTTTTTAGGTACTGAGTTTGTTGTCTGAAAAGGAAAGAGTATTTTCCGGGTGCACTACCGGTGTGGAGAGATGAGCCAATTTTGTAAAACAAATGGTGTTGTACCTAACACAATGAATAAAAGACACCTTACTATATTGTCTTGTTCATGTTATTACGCTGATTGAAACAAACAATGCTGTGAATAAGCGGTTAAAGGATAACGCCCCTTCCATTTGCTAACAATTATTTGCCTACGCTGATTAAGTATTTCTTTTGATTTGGGATTATTTTGATTTGACATCCAAAGCGTAAAACTTCCTCACGAAGAAAAGGGACACCCTACTAAATTGTGCTTATAATAAATCATGCAATGGTGTTCTTAAGATAGTAGAATTATGAAGTGTCTTTCTTGCAAACAAATATCTTAAGCTGGCTTTATTAATAAAGAATTTTTAACGTTAAATTATTTTTATTTACTAAATAAATTACATTTCTTATATACATGAACTTTATGGCACAGTTTGGCAAGGTTCAGGCTAGTTTGATGTTTCTGCAAGTAATAAATTGGAAAACTGTATTATAGATTATGTAGTTCAAATTGGTTTGTTAGACTTTATCAAATCATATCTTATCAAATAATTATATATAAAAATATAAATATATTATTAAACAAAAACAAAAAAGAATCTAACTTCGCGATGCTAAAGTTTATACACCCTGTCAGTTTGACATTGAACTATAGGATCGAATCGAAATTCGATTATACTTAAACTTAAAATACTCCCATTCTTAGAATCGATTATTTTATATGACAATTTGTTCAACAAATCAAAAACTAAAAAACTCATAACTAAGTCAAAAAAGTATTAATTTTAGTTCTGAAAGCTGTCCTATACTATTTTTTATTAGGATAATAAATCTGCATACTTCATTTAAAATTTTAAAAATTTGACATTTTTGGCAATTTTAATGATGTAACCCCTTATAAAATTGTCAAATTTTGAAAAATATCCGAAATTTTTTTTTTCAACCGGAGATGTCTAGATCGACTCAGCTGTTAATGCTGATCAATAATATATATTCTGACTGAAAGTAAAATACCATTCTTTGAGTCGATTTATTTATATATTTATATTACAATTTGTTCAACAAACCAAAGTTTAAAAAGCTCATAACTAAGCCAAAAGAGAATTCATTTTAATTCGGAAAGCTGTCCTATGCACGTTAGGCTAAAAAATCTGCAGAATTCATTTAAAATTTAATTTTTTGCCAATTTTTGGCAATTTTAATTATGTAACCTCTTATAAAATTTTCAAATTTTGAAAAAGTTCCGAAAATTCATTTTTTAACCGGAGATTGCTAGATCGATGCTGCTGTTGATTCTGATCAATAATGTATATGGTTTATAGGGACGGAAATGACTCCTTCACAGATATAAAAACATATAGTACCCTAAAAGGGTACAAATATTGTAAGTTGCTAGTTAAATTTCGTTCTTTACCTTCTAGAGGTTAAGCCAGTGAGAGCAGGTCAAGAATAAAATACTCCATGTAAACCTTAGACTGGCAATTGTTTATTTCTTCTCTTTGAAAGTAATAGACTGAAGGTGAGAATGGTATCGTATGTGTGAGTACACAGGTATTTTTTACAGCTCAGAATAAAGGGTTGAAAACTGAGCATACAAATACTCGTAGTATGTTTTATTTACACATTCAGTCGTTGCATGGTAGAGTGAAGGCGCTTTTCTTTTGTTAACCAACGAATTGGAACGAGTACACCTCTATGTCTTTAGAAAAAAAAACTTTCATGATACATGTGTGCACTAAACATTTAAAAAAGCTTATGCATATCTAACCAAGTCTTACCAAGGTACTCTTAATCCAATATAAGATTTAATTTAACGAAAATAAAATAAATTGTGGGCAGTAATAACAGCATGGGCAATACTAAAATTATTAGTTTAAAACAAAACATAAGTATCTAATTTATTCAAGTTCGATATCTCAATATAAGTCGACATAGTTTTCCGTACAAAATAATTTAAAACATCTTAGCTCTGAGTTTCCTAAACTCATGGCCTTAAAGGCAAGTGAGCCTTAGATAAGGTTAAAGTCTAACTCTCATAAATTCTGTTAAAGCAAAGTAAATAGTTATAGATTTTTCAGTTTCTTTAAAAAACTTTCTCATTTCGACCAATTTTAGCTCTTCTTTTAGAAGCTAGTGCATAATCTCCACAGTTCATATTTTGCATTGAACAAATTAAAATTTAATTGATTCAAGTGGGATAATCTTAGATTTCACTCAACAAGTTATATTTTTATTCCTTGAGATTTATTGGTTGCGGTTCATATAAAATAAAAAAATATATTTATAATATATTATGATTTATAATGTAAATTTTTATGCCCTTGGAGCGTATTATAATTTCAGTCAGGAGCTTGTAACACAGTGAAGGAGTCATTCCCGACACTATAATCCATATATATTATTGATCAGCATTAACAGCTGAGTCGATCTAGCCATCTCCGGTTGAAAACTAAATTTTCTGATTTTTTCCAAAATTTGAAATTTTTATAAGGGGTTACATCATTAAAATTGGCAAAAATGTCAATTTTTAAAAATTTTAAATAAAGTATGCAGATTTATTAGCCTAACAAAAACTTGCATAGGACCGCTTTCCAAATTAAAATTAGCGCTCTTTTGGCTTAGTTATGAGCTTTTTAAACTTTGGTTCGTTGAACAAATTGTCATAAAACTATAAATAAATCGATTCAAAGAATGGTATTTTACTTTCAGTCAGAAGCTTGTAACACAGTGAAGGAGTTATTTCCGACCCTATTATAATGTATATTATTGATCAGCATTAACAGGTGAGTCGATCTAGCCATCTCCGGTTGAAAACTAAATTTTCGGATTTTTTCCAAAATTTGAAAATTTTATAAGGGGTTACATCATTAAAATTGCCAAAAATTGGAAAAAATTTCTAATTTTTAAAATTTAAAATAAAGTATGCAGATTTATTAGCCCAACAAAAACCTGCATAGGAAAGCTTTCCGAATTAAAATTAATGCTCTTTTGGTTTAGTTAAAAGGATTTGCTGTTTAAACTCCCAGAGATTCAAAGCTTTTAATTTTCTTTTTGATTTTATGATTATGCTCCCATATGTCCTATATTCTTTAAATAACGGTAAACTGGGAGCTTCTGTTTTCATTTAAACAAGCATTATATACTCAAAGACCATATATTCCAGTCAAACATAGCCACCCTCTAATTTCCTTTAAGCCTCAAGGGAAAATTCTAGTTAGGGAATTTAGAAAAATATTGTCGCTATGGAAATATGTTTTGTTAAATTTTCAAAGGTGCACCCAGCCAAAATTTAAAAGTCTGAAAATGTTTCAAGGATAGGAAATTCTTAAGGACCCTAAGGTTGAACACATTGACATGTCCTGCAACGGTCAAACAGGCTCTGAAAAGTAATAATAGTTGTAGGATGTGTAAGTCAAGCAGCCAACTGGTTTTTCACAATAGTCAACGGCGGCTAGGAGCCAGTGGAGAGTAACGAAGCGGAAAGTAACGAAGTTTTCCAACCCCCACACACAGGCACACGTGCATTAACTGAGGCAGCTGCTCAGCTGCGATCTCCTCGAGCGCATGTGTCCACACAATAATAACGCACAAGTGGCACGGGCTACAATGCTAGGGGGTTCGGTTCGGTTTGGGATTCGGATCGTGTGCCACACGATCGGTCGCAGAATAAGAGAGCAAATGCCGGCATTATCTTGGTGAATATGTATGGTTACGCTGGGTGGGTTGGCTCTGGTCTCTTGGCTTTTGGTTCTCAGTGCTCCCGGTGGCGGCGGTGGCCATTTAGTTGTTTCTACCATATCATGCCGAGCGGACGGTTAAGTTGGAAAAGTCCGTTGTGTCGCCTGTGAAACTGTCTGCCTGCCGCGGTGTAGTATATATGAGGAAGTGTAGTCGATAGACCGTTATGAATCCTCTACTAATTGTCATTCTTGCACTTGGATTATTCCAGAAAGGTACTACGATTGTGCGAATTTTTTCGGCGATGTAAATACGATTTAGCATTCGGCAGAGAACTATTTTTAAATTAAGAAATGAAATCATTTCATCTGGCAAAAAGCGTGTATATAGGCGAATGTACATCGTACAAACCTTGAGAAAAATAATGACAAATCGGATATCTATAAATACATGTGTATACCTACAGATTTAAGTGAAAAGAAACGCACATTTTGCGGAATGTAAACAAGTGGTTACTGTCATAGCAAAAGGATATTCTACATGGATATTCATATGTATGTCCTTTTTATGAATATCACATAGGATCTCCTACTAGAATATGAAATTGTTCTTAAAATAAAATTCAAAATAATACAAAGAAAGTGTTCAAAATAATATAAATAAAAGGACATAAGCCCCGAAAGCAGTGTGATCATAATTGTATATATAGCTGAACTTCGGATTTTGAAAACGTATTTTAAATTTTTTAGACTTCGTCTGGAATTATTAAAGTTAATAAAAGCCGAGATATCAGTCGCCTTTTACGTGGAAAAATGGCACACATGACAAACTACCAAATGAAAAATATTAACATTTTCTGGCTTTATTGTTTGTTATTGGTATCTATTTTTAAACGAAACGACGGGCATCTGTTCATTCGAATTTTTGCTTTTCGTAAATGTATAAGCTTTTTCGCCAACGGCAACCATACGTATTTGTATACATACGGTGATAAATGTGATTTGGATTGGTATATATACCAAACATAGTGATCCAAACAATACCAAAACGTCTTTCTTCAAAATTACCAAAGTCTTGAGTAACTAACTTCATTATCCAATTCTATCAAAACTGTATAAATATTGTTTTGTACATAGTTTGAATTTAAAATGTATTGCTTTCATTAAATACTAATTATTTGTATATTTTATTATTTTATAATATTTCAGAAGCCCTTGGCTATCCCACCAAAGATGAGACCGACGCCAAGATTATTGTCCTTCAAAACGAGGAAATGGAGCCAACTATTTTAGACTGTGATTATGAGATCGAGGACAAGCCCACATTTCTCACAGTGAAGTGGTTTAGAGACGACAAGACCATATACCAGTGGATACTGGGGAAAGCACCAGCACCGATCGTTAGTTTGCCCTTAAACCGATATAGAAATATGAAATAAAACTAATTCTTTTATATATTACAGCCGGAGTTTAAGAACGATGTCGACAGTTCTTATGAGAGCTCCACGGATCCCAACAAGCAGTACAGCTCGCTGGCTCTGATCAATCCCACGATAGAAACGACGGGGGACTACAAATGTGTGGTCCACACCAATACCCAGTCCTTTACTAGTCACCAGAGGGTACAGGTCGTTGATGTACGTAACTATACTCTAAATCTTTACCACAACAAGATTCATAACGAGACGCAGTTGGAGTGCGTAGTGACGAACGTGTACCCCAGGCCGACCATTACCATCCAGTAAGGATATATCAGCAGTCTACATACCGGATATTTCCTTTTATATATATATACGCTTTCTACAGATCCAGCGACGAAGACGTGGTCAAGAGGGAGCCCCGAGTGCAGGAGGACGAGGACGGTTACTTCAATGCCACCGTCGTGGTGGCAGTCTACGATACAGACGATGATCCCGAGGCCTATCAGTGTATCGTATCCTTCGATGGCTACGCGAAGAACCTGACGACTGTGGGGACCTCGGCGGGATCAGCGGGTCTCAGTCAGGTTGACGTGAAAATGTGTCTATTCTGTTGTCTGTACTATCTGCTTTCCAAGCTGAAAGTCGTCCTATTTTAAATAAAAACGTTGTTGATATATTTATTGTTACTAAAATTATGTTTATTGAATTCTGTTTGCCATTCAACTATCTCTCTTATTTATGGCCCTTTCGGCTTGTTAATCCATTTTGTAAATAAATACGAATACTTCACACAAACCACCGACTATGTAGGTTAACTCGCAAAACTCTGATTTTAGAGGCCTTTATAAGAATCCTATGAATTAAAAATCTACAACTGTTGTTTCGCCCTTGGCCGTTTGACATTTAATGAACATTTAACACTGCTCGGCGGCGCACAAAATCAAGAAAAGAAGGAAACGAGTGGCTGAATTTCGGAAATTAAAGAATATATCATTTTTTTATTGATATGTGGGACTCGAGTCCAGCAGAAGGCTTGAGGAGGAACAGCCGTTAAGATAGGCCTTGTGCAATTTGTTGACAAACTCTTTGTCGTTATGTATTAGGTATGTAAAGGCCTGCACGAACTGGGTTAAGTTCAGGGGCTGCTGCACGCGCTGCGGCTGCTGCTCCGAATTGCCATTGGGGGCATCGAACATGGTGGGCGGCATGAGGGCCGGCATATTGTCGCCGGCCAGTAGCCGCCGCAGACACTTGCCGGCATCGTCGTTCGCCATGAGGGCCGACGACGATGGGGCACTTGGTGGGGCAACAAAGCTCTGGCCGATCTTCAACTCACTGAGCAGCGACAGAGGAGGTGCGTTCGCTTGCTGCACCTTCTGGAAGGGCGATATTCGGCTCTCGGAGGTGCGCGTTAGCTCGCCGGCAGTTTCTCTACCGCCGGCCGAGTGGATAAGGTTTAGGTCCTCCCCTGGCGTGGCCGCGCGCTGCTGTTTTTCCAGCTGGTCCACGGACAGCGGCTGGACGCGATGGAACTGCGACTCCACTGTGGCCTGCTTCGCAGACTCGAAGAACTTGAGAACGTTACCGGCAGTAACGCTTTCCGACGGCGTCTTCGACTGTCCGCTCACCTGTGCGTTGTACTCCTTTTGCGCCTTACTCAGCATATTGAATATGCTCGCGTTGTCTGGCTTGGGGTTCGTGAGCGTCGGGGCGGAGCGCGACACCTGGCCGTTGGTGTCCGCCCTGTCCCTGTTCTTCAGCAGGCCATTCACCAGGCTGTTGATGCGATCACACTCTTCGCTGTTGTAGAACCAAAAGCCGCGAATCCGCGAACGCTCGTTGCGGTAAAGCAGAAAGGGGGGCTGCGACTGCAGTTCCAAACTGCCGGTGATGGGTTCCACGAAGGAGGTCGTGTTTAGCCGGTTGTTGATGAATATGCTGTGGAACGGCTCCGCGTTGCGGTGATATATGAAGAATGCGCCCTCCACGTCCGTCTTCTCCCATTCGTTCTGCGTAGAGTTGAAGGTGTAGAAGGCGACGTGCGAGGACGAGTCCACAATCTCCTTGGCGTAGGGATCTATCTTCTTGATGGCTGATAAGTTCATCCGGGTAATGCTTTCGTCGGCCATCGTAATTGTATTCAAATCGCTATGATAATTATTAAGCTCTATTGCAATTATTTGTAAATTCAACAATCCCTTACGTATATATATAATATGCACATTCGCAATTTTTTGGCATATCGATAGCTAGGTCCTCGATTGCGCGCTGTTTCCACTGGTCTGCATTTGCAAGAACATATTTTCCAATTTACGGGATTTTCAGCTGAATAAATTTTGCAACTATTTAATTATCTATCAATTATATATTTTTTACTTAAAATGGAAGGAGCCACTTAATTTTAAATTAATTTTAAATATCGATAGGTTTCCTAAAATAAGCCTATCGAATTGGGCCACACTAAAAGGAAACTGGCGGGAATAATTATTGATAGCAACGCGATATATATTTGTTTATAAACTTCCTCAAAATGCAAAAGTCCATAACGTAAATATGCGTAATTATAGTGGCACGTTATTATCAATTTAATGGGTTCATTTTCAGCTCCTTCTTTAAGAAGAAATCCGATGCCGCAGACAGCCCCTCACCGCCGAAAAAAATGCCGAGGTAAGCTTAATTTGTTTGCAGTTTCTTGCACTGCCATTTTTTATTGGAAATTATTTAATCAAACCCACAGAATCGACAAGAAAGCTGACCTGCCAGAAGAGACCTGTGTTAAGACCGAAAATGCCTCCCCAGAACTCAAGCCCAAGGCGGAACGGATGTCAATATCTCCAGAGAAGACAATTGCTCCAAAGAGTGTCAAGGAGGAATTGGATGCCACCACTGATAGGAAGGTCACAACCATAGGACTTAACTCTACCGCGAAAGATAGCAAAGAGGATGTGGAGAACTACGACCCATCGACGGACTCCTATCATCCGCTTAAAGACGCCTACTGGAAGGACAAAAAGGTGTAAGTAGTGGAAAAATGATTACTAAAAAGGACACTAGCTCTCTATATGGAATTCTTCCTTGTTTTAGAACTCCCTACTTGGCACTGGCTCGCACATTCCAGGTCATCGAAGAGACGAAAGGCCGCCTAAAGATGATCGACACACTGAGCAACTTCTTCTGTTCGGTGATGCTGGTCAGCCCCAGTGATCTGGTGCCCAGTGTTTACCTCAGCATTAACCAGCTGGCCCCCGCGTACGAAGGTCTAGAGCTCGGCGTGGCCGAGACCACGCTGATGAAGGCCATCTGCAAGGCCACGGGTCGCAACTTGGCGCACATCAAGTCTCAGACTCATCTAATCGGAGATCTGGGAATTGTTGCCGAGCAGTCGCGTGTTTCGCAACGCATGATGTTCCAGCCGGCGCCGTTGAATGTGCGGGATGTGTTCAAGAAGCTGCGGGATATAGCCAAGATATCTGGCCAATCGAAAATGGATCTCGTTTACAACATGTTTGTGGCCTGTCGCTCGTCGGAGGCGCGCTTCTTCATTCGGTCGTTGATCGGAAAGCTAAGGATCGGCATTGCCGAACAGAGCCTGCTCACTGCCCTGGCGATTGCTTTGGTCAAGAAAAACCACATCGACGACTGTAAGGCCAGCAAGGTGCCGGAAATCTACAAGGATGAAATTGCGGAGACCACTTTGCTGCTAAAAACTGCCTACAGCCAATGTCCCAATTATGATATAATCATCCCAGCCATACTGGAGTACGATATTAAGGAGCTGCAGGAACGATGCCCCATGCATCCGGGCATGCCGCTGCGGCCCATGCTTGCCCAGCCTACCAAGGGTGTCCATGAGGTATTCGAAAGATTCGGTGGCATGCACATCACCTGTGAGTGGAAGTACGACGGCGAAAGAGCTCAGATCCATCGCAATGAGAAGGGTGAGATCAGCATTTTCTCGCGCAACTCTGAGAACAACACGGCCAAGTATCCGGATTTGATTGCCAGGAGCAAAGGCTTTCTCAAGGGCGAGGTGGAGTCCTACATCATAGATAGCGAAATAGTGGCCTGGGACGTGGAACGAAAGCAGATTCTACCGTTCCAAGTGCTGAGCACGCGCAAACGAAAGAACGTCGACATCGAGGAGATCAAGGTTCAGGTTTGCGTCTATATTTTCGATCTTCTGTACATAAATGGAAAGGCTTTGGTGACAAAGAATCTGTCTGAGCGCCGAAAGCTGCTGCTGGAGCACTTTCAGGAAGTCGAGGGAGAGTGGAAATTCGCCACAGCTCTGGACACCAATGACATAGACGAAGTGCAGCAATTTCTAGAGGAGTCAGTCAAAGGTTTGTCCCGGCTCCTGTCTTAAGCTTAATTTAAAATTATGATATATTATAAATCAGGTAACTGCGAGGGTTTAATGGTGAAGACGTTGGATGAGGAGGCCACCTACGAGATAGCTAAGAGATCACGTAATTGGCTCAAGCTGAAAAAGGATTACATCTCCAATGTGGGCGACTCTCTGGACTTAGTAGTCATTGGCGGCTACAAAGGCAAGGGCCGAAGAACAGGCACCTATGGAGGATTCCTGCTTGCCTGCTACGATACAGAGAATGAGGAATACCAGAGTATATGCAAGATTGGAACAGGTACTTGTTGCATATCAGATAATCATATTCCAAAAGTGAATCCCTACTGCCCTCCGTTTTAGGCTTTACCGATGAGGATCTGCAGATGCACTCCGAGTTCTTGGGAAAGCATGTCGTAAGCAGCGCCAAGTCGTATTACAGATACGACTCCAGCTTGGAGCCGGATCACTGGTTTGAGCCAGTCCAAGTGTGGGAAATCAAGTGCGCCGACCTGTCTCTCAGCCCCATACATAGGGCTGCCATTGGGATTGTGGACGGAGAGCGTGGCATCTCGCTGCGATTCCCCCGCTTTATACGAATCCGAGACGACAAGAACAGCGAGAACGCCACGGATGCCCATCAAGTGGCGCATATGTATCAGTCGCAGGATCAAGTCAAAAACAACCAAAAGACGTCCACACAAATGGAAATGGAGGATGAGTTCTACTGATCGATCGTTTATTTAACAATAAAATCATGTTTTCGCTATTTAACCATGCCAGCCGAGTTGGCACTGTTGCTGCTTTCAGAGGACTTTGAGATGCGACGAGCTTCCGGCTGACCTTTCTTGTTTTCTTCCTGGGGCTTTGATTTGTTGTTGCGCCTGCCAGAACGCTTGCTTTTCTTGGATTTCTCCTCCGCCACAGAAGCCTCGCCATCTGAGCCCTCTTTACCAGCGTTTTGGGATAACTCCCCAGATCCAATACGTGGGATGCGCACCTTTGGCTGATAAATGGCGATCGAAGGGCGGTCCTATCACGAATACATATGAGTTTTAGTAGATTTATTAGATTGTCAGTGAGATTTTTTGTAAAGAAGTAAAACCAACCTTGTTTCGAATACGCCTCTCCTCGGATGCTCGGAGTTGCGCTGCCTTGATGGGATCCTCGGCATTTGTTTCCTGGGAGCTGCCTCTGTCTTGCAGCCCAATGGTACTGCCTTTGTCATCCGTACCGCAAGCGGATTTAATAAATTTCTTGACGGAATCTGATACGTCGGAGCTTTTCTTGGAGTCTGGATCTGTATTCTCAGCCTTTGAAGCAGTAGGTCCTGAATCAGTGGCATTTTTAGCTTCAGACTTATCTTTTTTTAGAATAACTATGTCTTTGTCCTTGGACTGCTGCTTGACACTTTTGTCCTTGCCGCCGAAGGGTTTATCTTTGTCCGGCTTACCATCCACTTTCTTTTTACTCTGCTTGGCCAACTTGCGCTGCTCGTGCTCTTCACGGCGCCGCTGGTCGCGCTCTGTGCGTCGTTTCGACCGCGACGTCTTGGCCACTTCGTTGCCTTGTGCTGCTGCAGAAGCGGTATCTTTGCTGTCTTTGCTGTCCCTGCCTTCTTTCTTAGGGGCTGGCTTCTTGTTGTCTCCGCCTCCGCCTTCCTTGGCCTTACTGCCTTCCGCCTGCTCCAATAAGCGAAGTTGCTTCTGCTCCTCGCGCTGCTTGCGCTTCTCCTCGTTACGTTTGCGCGCCTCCTCCCGACGCTTCTCCTTCTTGTTGGCCAAATACTGCAGAAGGGGTGTGGATTTGACCTTTTCATCTGCACGACGTTCGAAGTTAAAATCAATTTTTACGTCCCCTAACCGACTCGCCTCTTCTCGCTCGTCAGCCAGCCGCTGAATAAACTCCTGGTAGTGGGACTCGCTCTCGATGGTGTTAACCTTACCGTCATCGTTCCGGGCCCTGTTCTTGAGAAAGCTTTGGAACGGGGCGTACTCCACGATGGCTACGTACTCAACACCTTTGTTATCTACAAAGACGTAGCCGTCGAATCGGTCACGAAACTGCAGCACCTCCTCAGGGTCCTTCATCGACATGTCGATGTAGGCGCGGCATGTGGCCTCCTGGCCCAAAGACCAGTCCGCCGGGCAATAGTAGTAGGCGTCATTCTCGGGCAGCGGACCAACTTGGTCCAGGAATTCCGTTTCTGTCATTGTAGGCGGCAAGTGTCGTATCACGATCTAAAAGTAAAGTCTGTCATTAGAAAATTCACTCTATTTGTGCATCCCTAGTACATTACCTTGATGATGCGGCTGGCTTTTTCCTTCTTCTCCTTGCGGCGATTTACCTTAGGTTTGTCCGGATTGCCTTTCGGCTTTTCCTCGGCCGTAATTTCAGACATTTTAGACGTTTCAAAGTTTGTGTTTACATTCCAATGAAAAGGCAACCGATAGAGATGACACCTAGCAGCAAAAAAAAAATCGCAAAAACTAATCGATATCACTAATGTTTTTATTGACAAATTTTTTAGAAAAAAGAGCAGAAAGTCTTGTAATATTTTGTTTAAATATGGATTTTTTACTAATTTTTTTTAACATTTACAATTCACGCCCCTCGGTTTGATTTGTACTTTGTGACCGCAAGCTTTTCTGCAGCCACGATCGGGATTGAGTAATCGATACTTGTCCAGCTCTAACCACTATCCTTACAGCTGTGGCTTCCTCTTCCCACTTCCAGATCACCAGCACGATTTTAAAAAGTGTTCAGTTATCGTGAATTAAAATTTTTCTATCAAAAGTCTCTCGTTTGGACAAAATGATAACTTTTAAGTTCCCATTGGGACTGTCCCTGGAGTGCTATGTGTGCGCCAAGAATAAGGCTCACGCTTTGCAATCAATTCGATCTGCCGCCAAAAACTCGACATCGGTTGAAAATAAGAAACTGTTGGAAAAAGAATTTGTGACTCCAGAAGTAGTTTGCAAGAGTTGCAAGGTGCAGCGATATTGCAGCATGGACCATCTCTTGGAGGATCGCCCGGAACATGTTGAGCTCTGCCGGGTATTGAGCCATCTTCTAAGCTCTCAAAAGCTAAAGCATCCGCTACTGCATCGAGGCAACATCTCGAGCCCGGAGCACTTACAGTTGGTCATCTCCCAGCTGAAGCTCATACTGCGCGTCAAACTTCAACGTCCTCTTACTCCGCGGGAGCATCACGTCATTAGCAATCCAGCCATATGCGAAGTGTGCTTTAAAACCGAAGCACTTCTAAAAGTCTGTAAGGATTGTGCAGGAGTGGCCTATTGTTGCGAGGACCACTGTTACCAGGACGCAAAAAAGCATACTCCGAAAGAGTGCCGAACTCTAGCTATGATCTCCAGTCCATTCCGTCAACTCGACTGTACATTAAACCTAAGAAGCTTCCACCAGAGCGTTGACATGAGGCAGAGTCACCTGATTGATGCCTTCTTCAAAGCCACGACTCTGAAGATTGATAATAATCCCCAGAACATCGCGGTTTGCTCCTCCTTCAGCGGAATCGCCAGCGCGTGCCTGGCTTTAACGAATATTTCCTGGGTCTCAGATCAGTACAGCGCTGTCATTGTTTACGTGGTGGCCGCCACTGAGGAGCACTTACTTTACTTTCAGGAGATGCACCTAAGATTCTTCTTTCTGCAGTACCAAAGCATCCAAAATTTGGACTTGTACTTCATTGGACCTAAACTTCTACCCAGAGAGTCACCCAACAAAAAAGTCTTTCGATTTCGGGGTCTAGTTCGAACCGTTGTAAAGCATTACTTTTCGGAGACCTTTACTGCATTCTCGAAAAGTATGAAAGTAGATCCGACAGTGATCCTCTTGCTGGAACCCGATTTTATCAATATGGACACGGCAACGGAGCAACTAGTCAACCAATTGCCAGGAAAAAGAAACGGAGGCGTATCGGAATTCAATTGGGAGAACTGTCTGGGAACTATTCTTCGGACCTACGGCGTTCCCATTTGCTACACGTCGGCCACAAGATTTCAGGCCATGGCCGACTTTACTGCCTTTGACTCGATGGCCTTATTTCATAACATAGCTATAGAACGAGTGTACAACATAACCGAGAATCCTTATCGGGAAATATTACCCCTGTACAATTTTTCTGACTGGCACAATGAAAGGATTATCTATGCCAACAACTACCTCGAGGTACTCTTCACGAGTAAAAACAGGATATAGGATTTGTTTTAGTCAAACTACATTCCAGGAGAATTATGGACAAGTTTCGTAGTATTATGAATGAATAATATTTCGTTTCGAACGTGATTTGAAATCTCTCGCACTTTAATTTAAACATTTTTGGTAATTGTTTAAGAATAAATTGTTTACCTATTTCATAGCCTACATTTAATAAGTAATAAGTATAAATGCTCAGTTTATCAATGCAGCAGCCACAGAAATTTGCGCTAAGAGGAAAACGATTACAATATTTTCGGTAGATTGTGTTGGATCTGTGGAACGCGCGGATTTCTAGATCTTCTTTGAGATGACAACGATTAGGTCGATTAGCCAATAGAATGATTGATGCAGGTCTCCCTCGCACAGATATGGCGCCTTCGTCCACGACTCTACACGAAAGCCGCAGTTCTCCAGCAGCTCCATAAACCGGCTGGCCTCTTCCTCGAACGACGTTTGTCGCCCGGTTCCCTCCAGAAGCGGGCGCAGTGGCAAGTGGGAGGTGTTTGTCTCTACGTAATGCATGTATGGAAGTACCAAGGCCACCACGGCTCGGCCATTGGGAGCGAGAGCAACGTGTATGTCCTCCAGCAGCTTGAACGAATCAAAGCACCGATCCAGCACGTTCAGGCACAAAATTAACTCTACGTTCTCTAGCCCGCCAATCTCATTGATTACATTAAAGTTCAGCTTCTTTAGCCGCTCCCGCATGGTCCAGCTGGCCTCCGTGGCAAACACCCGGAGACCGGCACTGCCACTTAGCTCGGCGACAGTGTTAGCAACTCGCAGGGAGATCTCGCCATCGCCAGCACCAATGTCCAGCAGCGTCACCGGTTCAGTTACAGATGCTGGTGAGAAGCCGCCGGCCACGAGTAGCTTATGGAACTGCGCTTCCGACAGGATAAACATTGAGCCTCTTTTTAGGAAGCCATTGATGTCCGTCTGCGTCATGAAGAACTGGAGAATAGATCTGGCCAGGGCGTGCCACAAGTGCGTCCAAATGTTCGTCGATAAGGCCTTGGCACGCTCCAACCAACTCACCGTGGTCGCATCTGGCTCCAGGGCCACGAACTTGGCTTGGAAGCGCTGGGGAAGGTCGTGGGCCAAGGAATACCACTGAAAGGAAAGCAAATCACATAAAACAGAAGCTTTTGTCGAGGACAGGAAACAGATGCATACCTTTCTAGTGTCTATGTTTTCCAGAGAGTTATCATTGTGGAACTTTGCGTGGATGACGCGTGCCAGAGTTCCTCGGGGACGATAAATAGCCATATTTCATTAATTTATTTACATGTTATAATCGCTAAGCAAATACAGTTAGTTGGAATTTAGTGCGAACGCGGCCGATAAACTAGTGTTGGCACTTGCGATAGTTCAAGAACTATCGCAATTGGACGCAAACGCAACAAAACAAAGAACATATCTTTAAAATATAAGGCACCCTTGAGCAATTTACATTTATAATTTGAAATGTTAATTACGTTTTAAAATGCCAGGTGAAGTTTTAGTTCATCCAATTGGAAATACAGGTCTGCGATGTCATGTCTACTATCGATGGCGAAAGAATGAATCAAATTATTGAATTTATGCTGTCTTGCATGCATTTTTAAACTTGTGAACTAATAAAAAACTTTAAAATGCAGTGAATATAAAGAACTTATTAGTTTTCGTCTTGAATAAGTGAAAGACAATCCACAAATTGAATAAACATCAATTAGGCAAGCCGTCGCCGACAATTTTGTGTGGTATTCGATACATTTTGGGCCCATTGCACACGTCCACATTTATTTACCAGTCGAGTAATGTATACAAAAATAAGCGGCGGCTATTAATTTTTTGTTATTTTAATGAAACACAGTAGATGGAAATGAGTACAAACGTTGTTGTTGTTAACATGGACGAGAAGGCGGCGGGCGACGACCTTCCGTACTTTCCGGAGAAGTTTCCGGGCAAAGTGTGCTGTTTATGCAACCTCGGGGAAAAAAGTGCCTTGGGACAGGGGACGATTCTTCAGCTGAAGGCGCCAGCGGACCTCAGAGATAAGTATCCCTCCGATCGGATCAAGGAGGACGGATCCAGGCTGTACTATGGCCAAAAGCTGGTATCAAACGGTGCGGGCGAGTGTCACTACGAACTGGACAAAATCGGCCAGCCGGAGATCGTGCATCCCGCCGATTTTGTGGACGAGGGATTCGTTTACGTCCACCGAATGTGCATAATGTGGTCGCTGCGCAAGAGTCAGATATCCGATGCGGACGCCACATATTTTGCGAGCAACTTTGGGGAGTTCATGGAGCAAAAGTGCAATTTTTGCGGCCAGTACGGAGCCTCCATCAATTGTAAAATGAACTGCCGCCAGGTGCACCACTGGCCGTGTGCAGCTGCTGCTGGCTGTCTCCTCATCCTGGAAAGCTTCACGGTGTTCTGCACGGAGCATCTGAGTCAAGTGCCGGTGATATGTAAGTGCATTCAATCATTAAAATATAAATTGCTATATAAATTCACTTTCGGGCACTTGCAGGTAGTGATAATAATGTGGAGTGTGTGACATGCTCTTCGCTAGGCGACCTGTCCAAGCTCATCATGTGCAGTACTTGTGGAGATCATTCCCATTCAACCTGCATTGGACTGGCCAATCTGCCAGGTAAGCCAGATACATCACTCTTTATAACATCACTCTTTATAACCGTTATTAAATGTTTTTTTTATTATGTCTAGATACGCGTTCTGGCTGGAACTGTGCCCGATGCACGAAGTGCCAGATCTGTAGGCAGCAGGATTCGAATGACCTGAAGTACGTAAAATGTGAACAATGCCAGAAGATCTATCATGCTTCCTGCTGGCGGCCTGTTATCTCAGCCATTCCGAAATACGGCTGGAAGTGCAATGTGAGTATTAAGCAACTGAAGCGTAAAAGTGACTCAAATCCCTTCGCATTTTAGCGCTGTCGTGTCTGCACAGACTGCGGCTCACGTACTCCTGGCGGCGGCAGCTCGTCCCGCTGGCATAGCCACTACACAATCTGCGATTCGTGTTACCAGCAGCGTAACAAGGGGTTTTCCTGTCCGATCTGCCAGAAAGCTTACAGAGCAGCGTCACATAAGGAAATGGTTAAGTGCAGCTGGTGCCACAAGTGAGTATGATTCACCTATGCCTCAAATAACATCTCAACACCCTGGTCATTCCCCCAGATTCGTACATAGTACTTGCGACGAAGAAGCCGACTTGACGGCGTATCACAAGAAAAAGGAACAAAATCCCGACTACGACTATGTGTGTCCGAACTGCAAGAGCAACTCTTCAGGTCCAGGTCAGTCACACCAGGCCATCGACTCGATCGTCCTTTCCGTAATGGACCATTCGACGGCAGATCAACTAAGCCTCCGGGAAATCGAGATTGATCCGCTGGAGGGCAAGCCCAATATGGATCCAATCGGCGATGAAATTCAAAAGCTGCCCACCGGCAAGAAGAAAATGTGCCTCTCTAGTGTTCGCGGCAAGAGTGGCAAGTTCGTGCTGCAGCGAATGGGGGTCCTCTCGCAGATGAGCAAGAAACGGAGCACTCGAGGAAAGGGACGCTTAGCCGGCAACTTGTCCAACATCTCTAGCGACCGCTGCGTAAATCGCAACATGGACACCGACCTCACGAGCGACAAGAAGATGCTGTTGTGTTCGGCGCGGGACAAGTTCATACTGAGTCAAGACATTTGCGTGATGTGCGGATCCTTAGGCATCGAAAGTGATTCCGAAATGATCACATGTGCCCAGTGCGGCCAGTGCTATCATCCATATTGCGCCGGTGTGAAGCCCTCCCGAGGCATCCTGCAAAAGGGCTGGCGCTGTTTGGACTGCACGGTGTGCGAGGGATGCGGAAAAAAGAACGACGAGGCTCGCCTTCTACTCTGCGACGAGTGCGATATTTCGTATCACATCTACTGTGTAAACCCGCCGCTAGAACAGGTGCCCTCAGGCAACTGGAAGTGCTCCTTCTGCACGCTGTGCCAGAAGTGCGGCCGCAACCCCACCGAAAAGAGTGAATTCGGCGACTCCAACCAGGCCGAGTGTCCGCCGTGTGCCAGCCAGTCGGCATGCCCGTTGTGCAAGATTCCCTACAGCAGTGGCGAGATGATCATCCAGTGCGAGCTCTGTGAGCTTTGGTCCCACTTCCTCTGCGACACCATAAACGCTCAGCTAACAATAGACTATTACGACAATAATGTGTATAAGTGCTTAAAATGCCGCTGCTCGGTGAAAGGCGGCGGCCAGTTAGCTATAATGGATGCCAAGGCAGGAAACGAGGACGGTGTCCTCACAGGAAAAACATCAGCTGGTCACTTCACACAGACTCCTGTATCTGCTGGCGATGTCAAGAGTCACATCGCCTTGCCCAGCGATCTTCCCGAAACTGCACCAGAGGCAATTCATTGGATTGACGGCGTGTGCCTTAGTGAAAGCGGCCTGAGCATGATTAAGTCCTTGTCCACGGAGATCAAGCGAAAGCGCAAGATGCGGCAGGCCATTGGCAATGGCAAGGACGGACAGGAAGCTACTGAGGCGGAGGCGCAGTGTGAGAAGTACAAGGACGGCATGGTGTGGGATGGAACAGAGAATCCTATTCCCGAGGGCTTTACCATATCCACCAACGACGAGGGTGTGCATATCTTGCGCAAGAAGCGTCAGCGAAATCTACAAAAACTGGGCATCGGCGGCTTCTCGGTGCGCAATCGTGGCCTGAAGAAGGACAGCGAGGAAGCAGCGGCCGCCGATCATCATCAGTTGAACTCCACAATGATGAGCATGGACAAAAAGAAGAAGATTATAAGGAAGAAACAAAAGAATAAGCTAATCGAAGCCTATCCCGTATACTTGCAGGAGGCTTTCTTTGGAAAGCCTCTATTGGAATCCGGAGAGCTTGTGATGGGCGAATCCGATTCCTCTGACGAAATAGACGCCTCCATGAAGGTGTACTTTACGCGGCCCGAGGGCAAGAGTCCCGAACATGATACCAAGAGTCCAGCCAAGACGGTTAAGAAGGTCAAAGCTGAGAAGCCGGTGCCAGGTCCGCCGGATAACAAGACACCGGCAGCCGCCATCGAGCAAATGCCCATGGCAGTTCAGCAGAAAACAGCCTCCAATGTTTTTGGTAATTATCTCCATTTTTATGAAGTAACGAATGAGTTCTATTAATTTTTAAATTCGCTTCTAGATCCTTCACACACCGAGGTTCTTGCTAGCCGGCATCCTTTGGATACGTTAGCTTCGCCAAATATTGCGGAACTGGACGTAGCATCAGCTAGCTCGATGAATTTGGTTCAGACTGGGGATATTATTGAAAAGCCAATGAGGTAATTATATTTATAAATTATGTATATATATATATACAAAAATATATTATTTATTCACTTCCAGAGAATCGCCGGTAGTCCTGGTCGACAATTACTTGGTGCCGCAGCAACAGTTGTCCCAGGATCAAGGTCAAAAGTTCCACAATCAGATATACTTGTCGGGTAATATCGCCACCCAACAGATTCATAATTTCCACCAGCAGCAACAGCAACAGCCGACGGACCATCTAAGTGCACACAACAAACAGAAAATGCAGGGCATGATGATGGGCCAAGTGGTTCTGCAAGCGGAGAAGCGGGGTCCCGAGGAGGAGCAGCCCAAGATGGTGGAGCCCGTCGTGCCAGTTGAGAACATGAATGCCGGCACCCAAAAGACTGCCGAGAAAATGCGCAAGGATGAGGGTAAGGATTGTAGTTATCGCAACGAATATATGTCTTCATCGAGTTTATTTCTCTTGCACAGACCTCGGCCTGATGGCTACCATTTCCGCGGTTTTGTATGCAAACACCGAGCATCCGAACCTAAAAGAATTGTTCCCGAACTGGAATGATCGATGCAAGCAGATTTTAAAGCGTTGGCGCTCGTTGTGCAACGAGAAAAAGGCTCCATTCCTGCAAAAGGCAAAGGATAACCGTTCCGCACTGCGGCAGAGGCGCGAGCAAAACAAAATTCCGCCTCCACCCGCACCCAAGCCACAGAAGCAGGAGGAAATGGCCAGAGTTTGGAAGCAGCAGCAGCAACAGCCGTCAAAATTGAAGGAGGATCCGAATCAAACGAATATGTTTGTCACTTACAGTAAGTAGAATAAAAATAGAAAAATACCCTTCCTTTCTTAATCTCTATATCTCTCCGTTTTAGATGGAAATGCTTACGACATGGCAACCACTTATGGGGGCTCGGCGGCGCCACCAACTGCCAGTAATCCACACCATGTGATGCCCAATATTAACGATAGCTTGGTGTCCAAGGCCACGACAATCCAAAGGACAGCTACATCTGTTCATTCAACTGCAGCCACCGTTTTGAAAATGGACAATCGCTTGGAACTAAATTCGGTCTATGGGTCTGAGCACATCGGCGATAAGAAACTCAGGAATCTGCTGCAGAAAAACAGCGCGGAACCAATGCTATTGGAGGCCAACTCTGATTTGTTCCTGCCCAACGACGTTATGAGGCTGGGCGGCATGATGCAACCGAATCACACGCCCATTACACAAAACAATCCAATGTTAAGCATTAGTGGAAAGGCTCAGCCGTCGGAAGGCAGGGCCTTGGAGCAGGACGTGAAGATGAACGAGCCGCCGGAGGGCACATCTTCTGCGTCCGTTGAATTGGAGAATGTTGGCTTTAGCGACCTGCTGGGCGGACTTGGAGAAGGTGACGACGATGACCTACTCAAGTCGCTTACTTCCGAAATGGGCGACGACTTTAATATCTTGGAATATGCAGATCCCGACCTGGACGTGAATGTTCTCAACTCTTTGGACTTTGATGACAATGAAAAGTGTTCTACGTAGAGAGAAAGCACCTGCACCTGAATCTGAGTAAATGGAAATAAAGAAGGCAATAATAATACGACATTCTTTAATCTTTTTGCTTTTATAGGAATTATATAAAAAGTTAAAGAAATAAATATGTGAGATCAAAATAAACAAATCTAACTATGGATCCTCTCTAAACTGGTTTAAAAAAGAAACCGTAGATAAGTAAATGTATAAACATATGGCATTGTATCACGATTAGTTAAATTTCAAACTGGAAATGATTTTGCGCCGATCATAATATCGCTTAATGTGGATATCGATTTGTGATTTCTCATTTAGTTTTATGGTGGAGTTGTACGCTTATTACCATTTCACTTTCACTGAGAAAAATTGAAAAGGTGAAGGCAAATATGAATTTGTTTGGCCTTTCGCAGACTCTCTTTACTATTTACTTGTTACAACTCTTAATTAATTGCACTTATTCACGGCTTAATCTGAAATATGCAATTTTAAAGCAAACGCAACCTTCCAATTCACAAAACGACACATTCGGTAGGCATTGAAGAAAGTTTTCACCAGGCATCTGCATCATATCTGAAATGTATCTTAAAAGCTTATCGACAGCGAACCAAATATGATGTTCAAAAGACAATGCGAGTTATCTTCTATACGAACAACACAAAGACTGTGGAGGCATCTGCTTTGGACGATAAATACGACCTCAAAGGTTCAGACTGTTCGACCTCAGACAAGTTTGCCATAGTTTTGCACGGCTGGATTCAAAGTTGCTCTGACGAATGGGCCATCTCCCTCATTGAACGTAAGAAATATTATTATTAAATATTATATAAAGCGTAGTATATTTTTCATTCGGACTTCCAGGGCTCAGCTATTACCGCGGCGGATGCGTGATATGCATTGATTATAGTGTGGTGGCAAGTTCATCATATATGCGGTGAGCACTCCTTTTACTAAAATATAATTAATTAAATTAAAAACTCCCTCCCCCAGATTGTATACGAACTTCGACACCCTAACGGGGGCCATAGCCTCGATTATATTGACCCTGATTAAACAGGGATTCGACCCCAAGCGGGGCTATATGTTTGGATTTAGCTTCGGCGGGCAACTAGCTTCGGCCGTGGGACGTTCCCTGTGGCCCCATCATGTTATTCAAAGCATAGATAGTGAGTATTTCGACGTACTTCCAATCAACTGAAAGATCACTTTTATTCTTTAGCCTGTGACATGGCTGGACCAGGATTTGATCCCATTGCTGTGGATCACTCGAAGGCCGGCAGGCATGTGCAATGCTTTCATTCCAGTCGAGATAAAGGCACTTTCGTGTACTCCTGCCACCGCAACATTATGCTCGGCAGCTGCGGCCTCAAACAGCCCTCGGTGGCTAGCCAATTGCATTTGGGGAGCCATGGACTCTGCGTCGATATATACATTAACACCTTTGATTATCCCTTCTACGCTTTAAACGCTACGCCCTCAGAGTGCTGGTCCTTGCAGAAGGCAGCCAAGATACCGGACGGTTATACAGTGGGATACGAAGAAAACTATGATAGCCAAATCACAGGCCAAATCTTTGTGCCTACTAGTCTGCATTATCCGTACAATTTGTCCAAAAAGGAGCTCCTCAGGATATTAACAAAGAAATAGTATTATTTTAGAAGAAATAATGTAAATATTAAGAGCAAATCCCGCAAAATTATAGATTTTCTTTAAAATATCTCGTGTGATTTATTAGATTTCAGCTCATATTTGTTTGTTTGTAGTGTAGTAGTTCGAATTCACCAAAAATATATGTCAAATCAAATTTGAATTATATATTATATACACTTTATCGGTAAACACCAGCCATGTATTCATGCATAAGCCTACTGATTGGGGCAGTCATTGGGCGACTGCTTCTTGTTGCCGCCGGGTCCTTTGTTCTGACCCTTTGCTGGCGGAACGTCATCCTCGTCATACTCATCCTCTTCGTTCTCGTCATACTCCTCCTCATCTTCATCATCCTCATCATCAACAATATCGCCAGTGAAGTAAAGCACTGCTTTTGGAATAATTCTGGCACGCAAGAAGTGACCAATTTCGAAATCGGTGGCCAATATCTGGAAATTATTCCAATATGATTAAAAAGAACCAGTTAAATTACGACTGCTGCTAATTTACCTGCTGAGATTCATCATCGATTTCCTCTTTGTCGGTTGGAACCTCCGGGGGATTGAAGAAATTGAAGAAAGAATCAGTTGGAACCTGCTTGACAATGGTGCGCACAGCGCCGCGCTCCTTATGCTTCTGCTTCTTCCTGATGGTCTTCACCGTCAGGTTCATCTTCTTTTCCCAGTTGATGTTGCAGCCCTATATGATCACACGAGATAGATTTGGTTAGACAGCACTCAATGGGAACATTCAGGATAAGATACATACCGTGCACTTGTAAATCTCGGGCCCTTCGAAGGCAAACGGATCGTCGGGATCAACAGTCGACTTCAGGACGTACTGTTTCGTTAGGACCGAGTTTGTGAAGTACTCATTCTTATCGAAATGGAACTCCAGGGTGTACGAATGCTGGAAGAGAGCAGCTGTTAGCAGGGCAAGGGAAATCAGTAACGAGTCGGGAGTAACTTACCCCATCAACGTATTTAATGGATATATCGGACAGCTTGCGCATAACTGGCTCGTCATGAGGTTGAACCATCTCAGAGAGGATCGCCGTGTTGCGGAAAACGGTTAGCCAGAAGCCGGGGATGCCCTTGGCGTCCTGTGGAATACTTTTGAAAGTCTTGAGAGACTCAAGGAAGGGCTCGATGTCGGCCTCGTTGTCGGTCGGATGCTCCGGCTCCTTCCAGTTGGGCTTCTCCGTTGGAGGGTCCACCGTGCCCTCGACGATCTCCTTGCGCTTGTCGAACAGCGGCTGATATTTGAGCTGGTACTTCTGCTCCAGCTTGTACACCTCTTCAAAGAACTCGGCCTCGATTTTCAGGTGCTCCAATTGCAGATTCTTCAGAAAAACAATTCTGTTTTGAATCGGGGCGGGCAGTGCCTTCACCATTTCCTGCAAGTACTGACGCCGCAACACAGAGCTCATGTACGCGGGCCTGCGGGCGAGGTGCCAATTAATAGTTGTTAGTGCTGCCCTTGTTGCGAATGTCGTCACCACCACTACTCACATCGACTGGCAGTCGGAGCCAGACTTCTCTTCATCGACCTCATTGCAGGACTCTGTGTCCACGTTTCCCTCTGGCGGAGCGTCCATTATTCGGTAAATGCGGATTTAACTGAAATGCAAAGATTTTCACTTTAAGCAAATGCCAATTTAGGGTTCATTTTTGTTACAAAGTTCGATGATGTACAGCCTTGCACTCGCAGATATGTAAGCATACATAAATATGTAAATGCATACGAATTCGAAAATTGTATCAGTAAAGGAGTCTCGCACACAAGGGCCTTGCAAAATCAAACTGCATGTATTTATTTATACAGCCAAATACTATAAAGCTAACATTTTCACAGACGCAGGGCCGTTTTAAAAACTAATACGCCATTCCGGCCCATGCACCATATGTACATACTTATACATACATACATATGTACTTATATGATGTTCGCAAATTACCACACATTGCGTTCTTTGAAAACACGTGGTGGCGCAAACACGCCGTCGGCTTTGGCGGAATTAGATGCCGTCTTGACCTGCAATCCGGTAGCGCGCACACTATTTGGAAGGCAAACTAATTGCCCCTCCCACTGTTCATCACTCACACAGAATTATTTAAATATTCCAACTTACCTTTAATAAGAACTGCGACACGATGAGCGAACGACGCCGAAATTTTTTGAAAAGGTGGTCCGCAGTTGGTATATATGTATGTACAAATGTACATATGTAGATAAATTTGTAAATGCAACCATGAAAAGGGTTGACAACTTGTTTCAAGAAATGGTGGAAAACTTTGCTCGAATAACTTTGTTATGTGACGTGACAAAAACGTAACGCTTGGACGTAAGGAAACCTGGGAGCCATGTTATAAAGATAATCGGATTTTTCTTTTATTTAAACATATTGACGGGACAGGGAAAAATACATATGTCAGCCTTTTCTGCTTCAATTCAACCCTGAGCGGCATAAAAAAATACAAAATCGGCAGCAGTCAGAACTGTGTGATAGGTAAACGGAAAATTGGGAATCCTACTCCCAATGCAACGACCGGAATTACTTCATTTGCCAGTCAGACGATAAAATCTGGCTTACAATGAGCTAGCTTAGAAATGCGTTCCTGTACATATTCATAAATAATAAATGTGAAAACTAAAAAAAGAAGAGAACCGGTGTATATTTTGAATTTAAGCGCCTTAAAATCGCTTTTGACGTGACATTAAATCAAAGCGCGCACCAGGGCTGGGACGAAACAACCCATCAGACAGCTTTTTCACGTTTCTTTTTTCGATAAATAGGAGCAAAGCTTATCGATTTCGCAATCTTTTCTTAGGTTTAATTGAAATATATTCTTTTATTCTAAATTTGAAACACATATTTTCTTAAAAATATGTCAACATAAATTAAAACAAAAATATATTATTAATTTATTTTCTTATTCTCTGCATTCTTACACATTAGACAAATGTTTTTTATATATGGAAGCCCCAATAAAAAACATACATACACACCAAATATTAGTCTCATTATTATTTTTACTCTTTTTATCGATATATGTAAATATTACCATTAAACTTAAATAGAAATTGTCTGATACATAAACCCCACAAAAAAATATATACATATATGATTAAAAAGCTTCCTATATAATGAGACTCGATTCGATCACGGTGTTTTCATTACAACTATCGCACAGCACTGTAGCCCTATGTAAATTTTAGGAACTCTACATAGCGCATTTTAAAGTGTTTTGCATATTTAGTCATGGCTCTTAAATTCTACCATAATATTAATTCGTTTACCAGACAAGGGAGTACATTTGTCCAAAAGACCATGCAAAAAACATGTTAGTATAAAACCATGAAAGTCCGCCAATTTTGTTTGCAAATTTATTAAGTTCTTAAAAAATATTTTCAATAAATCTTCAAGTTGGCCACATGCTATAAATATTTACATATGAACATATTTATGTATGTATGTACACATACATCGCTCGCGGGCGTTTTTAACTGCTTTATAAACTTTGCCCAGAAACAGTAATTTCGTGCGTTCACAAATGCCGAAGGAGAAATTATCATAAAATGGTATCATGGGGAATTAGGGTGCTAATTGCAATAAATATATCACTGGCGGATTGGTTTTCCAAAATACAATCGGTATTCATGCGTCCCCTATGCGTTACATTTGATTTCAATTACACTTTTCATTAATACAACAGTCTTTCCCCCAACTCGCGATTCCAAAGTATATACAGTGGAAAATCATTTTGTATTACTCATGCGCCTTTAATATGATAGTTTTATTTTATTCGTACAATTGAAAAGTTCACTAATAATAAGCTGGAGGAGGAGCAGCGATAATAAATTTAAAAAAGGAGAGCTGAAAGGACGTGTTAGTTATCAGACAGTGGATCGTCGGTGATTTGCGAGTTCAAGGCGCTTGCTCAAGTAAATGGAATAAAATTCGTGCTGTGGCTGCGCGTAAACATTACATTTTCCCCCCGTATCAGAGGCATTCCCGATGTATGTACATGGCGTATGTATGAATGTGTGCTTGTTTGTGCCTTCTTGAACGAAGTGGGACTAGCTTCTTGGGGCCGCAGGCTGACCTGTAGGCCGCCGACGGATCGAACTAAACCCTTTGGCTCCATCGATGTTAGATAATATGCACGATTCCAGCCAGTTTTTACATACGGTCGGCGGCGCTCATCCTTTGGCTAAATGTAGATATGAATGTATCTGCATGCATTTCTTTGTGTACTGGCCATGTAGATTTGTATTTACGTACATACATATGTATGTATGTTAATCTGCGGAATAATTTCGTATATAAGTATGTATATATGCAGGTGCAGCGAACCCCAATCGATGAGTACAGATTTAGGAACTTATCAATGAGCCCCCACTGGAGCGCGTTTTCGGGCCAAGTCGAGATGAAAGCTGATCTCGATAAGCTCTCTCTTGCTCTCGTCCCTTGTGTGTCTGTGTGTATCTATGGGTGAATTTGCAGGCAAGAGTTCTTGTGTGTCTACATGGACTTCAAGTGAGGAGAATTAAGCAACCTCTGATTTATTATCCAAAACTTGCTTTGGCTGCATGACTAAATGGTATATGCATGTTTGTTTTGGTGTTTACTTTCCTCTTTATCAGTCGCGCGCTTAAAAATACAGTGGCGCTGAGTGTTATTCAGACTCGGGCCGGATTGCATTCAGTCAGCTGTTTAAAATGTATCTACCCATAAAGAGCGCTGTTATATAACAGGTTTTATCTTCTTTATCTGCCAATAGTAACTATCTTAAGGTGGAAACATGCCATTTCCTTCCGGTTATATAATCAAACCTGTGACATAACACTACGCCTGAGAAGAAGTAGTATCGTTATCTTGTGTTCGCAACAAGAGTGTAAACCGATAATCGCAATAAGATCGAAAACAATTTTATATCTGACCTGAAAATTTGAGCATTGCCGAAGGTTTTCTTTTGGTTAGGTCATCTTAGCAGAATTAGTATGTGTTAGTTTGTCATGTGATAATGGACTAAATATTATGCAAATAATGTGATTTGGCCACCCGGAACTAACGGTATCTTCGATCACGGGTTATCAAATGTAAGGTGCGGCCGATATAAAAGGAAAAAGAAAGTATGAGACTTATTGCTGGTTTATCAGATATATCCCGGACTAACCCAAAAGAGAATTATTATCGGCCGGAAAATAAATGACCTGACTTAACAGTTTATTAGTTTTTGAGTTTACGCGTATCTGGTATCGTCGGGAATGCCTTTGATCATTTTGATTTTTCGTTTGATTTCTGATAAGAACTGTTTATATTAATGACTGTTTGTCTCGCTTCCAGAGTGCCTTAAAATAACAAATATGCCAGATAGATTTCAAGTCACAAAAGCAGACGAAGACACCGTATTGGACTATCAACAGGATGAATCAGCGAGTGGAAAACTTCTCGGCGACATCCACGATGAAACACTAGGTGAGTTAAGTTTTAATTTTATCTTCGATTAAATTATAAGGGATCTGAAAGTAAGCCGAATTCAGGAAAATGAACCACCATTCTCCGGTTAAGAATAAGTAATCTACACAACACAAATAATCAGGACTAACTTTAAGGACTTTACCCCAAATATAAGCTTTAAATCGTGTTAGCACACATTATTCAGACATTGACCCACCATCGAAAGACCACTGTAGAGCCAGATATAGAGCTTAAGGGGCTGCAATCCAATCCTGCGCTGCCCCAATTCGTAAAAGTCCAGGATGCCCTGCTGACACATTTCCTCGCAGCAGCTGTAAGGCAAAGCTCACTTTCCTTGTACCTGTGGAAAGCTCCTAGCGAAAGAGAGAGAGCGCCCAGGCAGAGCAGCTTTTCCCTTGGATTTGCCTTTCCAGCGGATGGATGGATGCTGGACGAGAGTCTAGTGCTGCCGCTGGGTTGCTGGATGCCCTGGCCAAGTGGTGGGCCCAAGGAATGAATATACACCTGCAATGTCGCTCTCGGCTTACGGCTCTCCGCCTTTCGCTCTCTCGGTGGCTGGAGCCTGTGTGTGTATTAAGAATGTGTGTAGACGACAAAAGCTTTCGATTTCATCTCAATTGAACGAACGCTCAGGGTCCTGGGCAACATAATTTTTATTCGGCCGAATACCAACAGTTTTTCTTAGTTTTTCTATTAATCCGAACGAAAAGTAGCATACATCTGAGCGTTTTCGCTCTCGCCTAACATAATTTTTGGAAAGAACCTTCTTTCAAATAATACAAAACCAAAAAAATTAAATAAAATACAAAAATAACAACAAAAAAAAAACATGAAAACGGAATTCTTTTTGAGCACCTTTAACATATAACAAAACCATACTTTAACAATCGACAAAATTCTAACAATAATCAAATACATACATGGATAAAAGTGCGTTCAATTACCAACCAAGTGTGTGGTGTCCCCGAAATCCAAAAATCGCAATCGGATGACGAACTCTAGACTGGTTTTCCCTGCATTCCCCTGCAAAGGCGTTCAGCTATTCATTTCGTAACAATTTGCTGCTGCAGCCTCCGCCTCTGCTACTTTCCGTTTCCATTTTTCAGTTATTTCTTTTTTTTGCTTGCCGCATTATGGGGAAAAATAAGATGACTACGACGACGCCTATTTACCGCCCCAAGATGTCGGGCTTTGAAAATCCTTGACCTAAATTAATCGGTTACATACTTTTTTTGTGTCAGGCCTGAGCTGCTGGCACAACTTTCGTGGCTACGAGTGCACACAGCATCCCTCTTTCAGCAGCATCCCGTTTCCTGCTCATTTAAAATCCACACTCACCTCTGTAGCTACCCGGGGGAGTCCCCCGGATAGAAGAAAAGAAAAAAAACTCCATTCCTTGCCCAAAGTCCCAAATCTTGAGTGTGTAGCAGAGATATGTGCGGGATATATACACTGCCGCCGAATCGGCCACGCCTTTCGGTTATATAATGCTAATGCAGATGAGATATGTGCAGGGTTCCCCCTTAAGCTATGGCCATTAAGTAAATTCTCGTTCGCATTCCATCTAGTGTTACCTAATTTTAAGTGAGAAAAGTGCAATCTAGAGCCCAGAGTTTGAAGCCAAACACACAACGTTAACATGCAAAGTAACAAAGATGCTAAAGATGATTCGGATGAAATGGAAATAATACCATCCGAACACAATGGTACAGTTCACGACACAAAAAA